AGGTAGGGTATTTTATGCACATATGAAAGAATTATAAATCACTGGTTAATGTTGAAAGGGTACCGGTGGCTAACCTTTTCTTGTCCTTGTTCGGAGTAAGTGTTCCAGTTGCTGTCATCACAGCTATATTGTAGCTTGTAACGTTCTACCCACTGGTTTTCGTCAGCTCTCCCTTGTGTGATGACACCTGCTACTCTGGTCGGTGAATTCAGGTCAACCTTGGTTGAACGAGAAATAAATATCAACCAGGCCTTTTTAGGACATAATTTGAAAACGAACGAACATTATTGGCCACACCAATATCAACAAAAACTGCCTGGACACTAAGTTATAACGGAAACAGAAGTATAGATATTGTTGAGCATATTTTGCTATATATGTAGCTACGTCAATATTTGAGATAAAGGATCTTATCTAGTGTTGCTGTCTGTTACTGAGTTAGGCATATGTTGGTTAACACATTACTGGTAGGATATTATATTCAGAGACACAACAAAACCTATTGTACGAAATATTTATGCAACAATGCAGCCAACACACCGAGGCCCATGTAGATTATGAATGTATTAATAGTACATGTATGTGTACATTTCACAGCTTCGACAACAAAAATGTTAATCACTCTTTTGACAGTCGCATTTTAAGCTATGGGGGTGAGCTCTTAGAGTAGAGTAGAGTTTGTTTGTTTTGCATAACCGGTAAACCGCCTTTATAGGCGTAACACACCAGTTTTGTACATGTAAGTACAAGCTGCGTATACGTAAGACCAGGCTGTAAGGTTTGGACCACTCACACTGGGAAGGACCCCTTTTTTTCAATAAGTGCGAAGGGTTCTTTAACGTGCGTGGGGTGTGGCTCACCCAAATACGGGACCTCCATTTAACGTCCTATCTGAGGGACGTCCCTAACCTAACCTACTAGGTACTCATGAGTACTAGGTACTATGATCATTTACACGTGAATGAATTGAGGAAAGTCGTGTTAGTGCCTAGAGTAGAGCATGTCCTCCCAATTACGGTGCTGTACATCTAGCTGTACGCGTTGTTTAGCTTGTAGCTACTGGATGTGCAAAAAGGTAGGTCAGATCAGTTGTTCATAGTTTGTCATAGTGTAACCAGCTACTACGTTGTGTCGGCTCTAATGATTCATATACCGACTAATTGAAAAAAAAAGTAGTAACCCGTTCTTTAGTATGTTTGGCTTATCTTACCTGGAGCCACTGGTCATTATTGTTCCCGCCAGCACACCAAGCTCCTGCCCATATGGGTTCCACGTTAGGGTCCCCGACTTGAGAGTTTAAAACCGCTTTCTCCGTAGAGCAGTGATCATGAGTGGAAGATGCGGTAATCTCAACGTCACCATTTCCCGCGACCGACGGCTCCACAGTAGTGCACGTCTCTACAACACAATCATAGATATCACACTCTTAGCAAATTAGTCCATTTAGTATCAAAAAGAAACGTAAATCAGATGACATGTTATGAAAGCGTCCAAATCAAAAAGAGAGTAAACTATGTTGTATGCTTAATCAGCCCGGTGTAGTACTTTTCCATTCTTTTATAATTAATATCAAAATATTACTCTGAAATTTTCTTAACGTCAGGACTAGTACCCACAATAGTAATGTCAATATCTAAACTCGTTCACGTTCAATTGATGAATTTTTATAACAAGTAGATTTCTTATGTTGAGTTCAGTGAATACCATTAAGCGACGCCAGCATGGCTAGATATCCAAAATAATACTTGCAACCATTTTAAAATTCAAGACAGTATCATTTGTTTGGGCAGACTTGGTTAAACAAGACAGAGAACTAAACTTAACTAAGTAGAAACCTTCACTTACTGCGAGTAGCGCCTGATATTTGGTCGATATCTATATTGTGCTACATTTTTTCTACCCTCATTAGTTTGATATACGGACCAAATCATGCTAAAAACCATACCACACACTGTTAACGGAGTATTATCATAGCTTAGTTAAAGTACATCGACTGATCCAGCTTAGTTAACCCTATCTAGACCGGGGGGGGGGGGCTAAAAGTGCCCGCGCCAACTTTGATGCCACATAGCGTCTGAATGGCTAGGGCTAGAACGACCAAACTTGGTGACTTTTCCTAAAATATTGTTGGCAACAATTTTTTATCATTGGAATAAGATAGTAATTTTTTGTGTTGCCATGGCAACGGGTTTCTGACAGGCATTTTTTGCTAAATTTAGTAATTTTTGTTTCAACAATAGAATTTTATGGGTTTTATGTCAAGTTACTCATGGTTTCTAATATTAATAACATCCCATATGAATTTATGTAAATTTTTACATTAAATATGCATAATTTATGCTAATTTGATGACGTCATTGGCCAAAATCCAAGATGGCGGACCATATAATTAGAACAGGTATATACCAGTTATTTTCCTTAAAATTTCATCAATACTTCCATTTCTTTTTCCAAAAAAGGTTTAAATGAAGGTATTTGGTATGTTTACAATGTATTTTAGGCTTTATCACCAAAAAAAACTATTTTTGAAAATTCAACATTGATGATCCAAGATGGCGGATATCTTAAATATGTATGACGTCATTTTATGACGTCACTGGTGTTGCTATGGGCAGCATAAGACTTAGTACACTCTAATATTCTGTCATAAACACTTTTGGTAAAGTTATGTTGTATACCATTTAGTTTTCAGGGAATAGCCTATCTTGGTTATTTTCATCCTGAATACTAGTAAAAACTGTCCGAGTCAGATAAAAAATGGCGGCCATTACACCTAAGAGGTCATCTACCTATGAACGAGTGTTTTTCTTGGTGAGAATTTCCCCTTTAGCCATCCCAACTGATGTAAAACGTCAAAGCGGTGAAAGCTTGTTTGTAACTGATGAAATTAGGACGTAATTGTCGGCAGCCGCGCGCTAGGTCGGACGTGCACAGTCCAGTGTTGTGAGTTGTACGTGTGAGTACGGCCTCCTTACGGTAAAGTTGTAATCGCACAGAGATCGTACGTTGTAAGCACGTACAACTCACTTACCACTTGCGCAACGTACAATGCACGCAACCGCTCACGGCCAGACGTAACGTGCAGACCACACTCTTACACCTTGCGCAACCGAGCGATTGACGTGCGAGTGACGTGCGTCGACGCCACTCCTTCCCTACGTTTTCAGAAAAAAACGTAGCAGACGTAGCCTCCCAAAAAAAGTACGGACAAAAAGCACGTACGGCGGGTTGTGACCGTAGCATAACGTACGTTCCTCATGCGAAAATGTTTATGGTATAGTATAGTAAAGTATAGTATATTATAGTATAGTATAGTATAGTATAGTCCCATCGTCTTTCTGTTGGCAGCCAATACAATGTTACCACTGTAACATTGCAAAAAAAGTTCAATGGTAAAATAAACAAAATTGTTCTAATATATTTGTTGTTAGATTCGATCCATGGTAATTCCACTAATATTGATCACAAAATGACCGAACAGCTCAAAACATGTACCTTTTGTTATAGTGGGGTAAATCCAGAGTATTTCTCATATATGAAAAGTATCCTTAAGTGAATTTGTAAATTTTCTTAATGAATTTAGACGTTGACGACAAAGAATGGAGGTTGAAAATATTCTGTAATATTCTCTCCATGTGCTCGCGAACCATAATCTGCAAATACGTATCCATTCAAATCAATTGACCAACAATGTGATTACTAGCTGCATGGTCGTTTGCCTCGCACACTTTGTCGAAAGACTGTAAAACTATTGAATAAACAATGTGATAACTAGGCAAAGTTTTAAGTGTTTATTGAAAAAAAAGGATCCCGTTTTGTAAGGAAGAAACTAAACTTGGTAAACGTAGGTGCGTCTTTGTACAATTAGCAATATGCCTCTTTGTGCAATGAATTAAAACTCTGATTTGCTTTGATTAAAAAAGCAATTGTGTTTGAAATACCTTCATTTTATATGTATTTTCGTATTGATCAACCTCATATTTTATATAATCATATCATGTGTTGTGAAACTGTTGGAAAAAAATAGTGTGATCGATAGCTAGGCAATACACTGGAAATGATGATGGATGTTCAACAAAACTTACTTGTTTCACATATGTATCTCATTGAATAGCTGCAAGTTGTGTCTGCCAACTTGTTTCTGCGTGAACTGTCGGAATGACTTGCAGACATAAGACGAGAACAGAGTTTTGAAGATTCATCAGGTTCCCCTGGAGCCCAGGCAGCAAATTCCCCGAGCGCCGTGCCTTGGCTGTCGACCCACGTCCCGCTCGGTCTACTGAGTCCGACCCAAAAATTACTATTTCTGTAAAATATAATCAGTGAGAAAATGAAATATTATACCTCTTACACCGTGTGCTGTTTTGATAGAATTTTTCATAGTGAATGTTGTTTCATAAGGTATTTTCAAGTCTAATAAAGTAGTAAGATGTGTCTCACAGCATATTGTACCGGTGCAATGGTGAAGTGGGTACAGTGCGTGCCATGCATTCGGTAGGTCGTGAGTTTGATCCCCGGCCGAGTCATACCAGCACTAGCACTCAGCATTTGGGAAAGAGTGTACCAGGGTCTAGCCCTCTGCTGTATTGATTGCACTGCTGTATTGCCCGGGGCTACTGAAACGGAGATTGGCACGGCCCTATGCGTCACCTAATGTGGGACTTATTATTATTAACTCAGCTTATGTGCCGTTTATCATGCAGCAATCGAGAGGAGCGCTAAATAGCCACAGGGCAAAAAGTCAGGGGTCTGTGTTCTGTGATCAAATTACGGAAACATAATGTGCAAAAACTTCGAGTAGGACAAGAATTGTTCGTGTACTATATAGTGTATTTGACTTTGGAAAACACAATACGTACGCGTCTAGACAGTTCTTGAAAAACACAAGATACTCCTGCTCGTTTGAGTCCCGCGGTACGGCGACCATTCCTCCCACCGCGGCACACCTTGTCTGGGCCGTGTCGTAGTTTACGCTCTCGTCGGATGGCGACACGTACGTTTTGTCATTGGGCAGACTGAGGGAACCAGTCGTTGGACAACTCTCAGGAAGATCCCAACCTACAGTAAGGAAAGGTATTGTTACTTTCACCAGACGCTTTGCACTAAACCAAATGAGTTGTATAATGAAATTATCATATAGCCAGTAGCCGACGACCAATCAGAAGGCTCCATTTCCCATGAGTTATCAGGCCATAACCTAAAAAGTGGGTGGTTATTCAGATAACCACCCAGTTGTTAGGCCGTACCATTATACGGGGCGGGGGTGGGGGTGGGCAGGACACTAACAGAAGTATAAAAACTTGTAGTACGTATTGTAATTAATTTGAATATTTTTTTTAAATACAGCACAATTAAATGCTTAATTAAATGAACAATTATTTTATTTACATTTATCTTTTGAGGATTAGGAAAAGTAATAAAATGCTTATCTGGTCATCTTCTCACACATAAACGATATCAAAGCAACAAAACAAAATGGTAACAATGATAAAGAAAGGTGAACATGTTTTTGTTGTGATGACGTTGGGTTTAATACATGGACAAATTTCACTACAAAATTCAGGTAAGATGGCCCTACCTGTTGTGGTTGATACAGCAGCCCCTGCTGTTGACGGTGCCGCTGTGCTTGTAGCAGCTGTCGTGGTGGTTGTAGCTGTCAGAAATAATTAGTACAGAGAAAACAAAACAGATAATGAATTAGTTATGTCTTTCACTTGTCTTTCACCAAATTTTGGCAAAAATAAGTAGCGCGGTCAAATATATTCTGACAAAGCACCTAAACGTTTTCCTTAACTTTTGGAAGACTCGAATGTTGTGATTATGAACGAAGGACTTCAATTGTGCACTTATGTACCCTTATGTTATTGTGGGCGTAAATCCAGAGTATTTCTTATACATGAAAGGTATCTTTAAGTAAATTTGTAAATTTCTTAATAAATTTAGACGTTGACGATGAAGATTGGAGGTTGAAAATATTCTGGAATATTCTCTCCATGTGCTCGCAGACCATAACCTTTATATAACATGCAAGTACGGATTCATGCAAATCAATTGACCAACAATGTGATTACTGGCTGCATTGTCGTTTGCCTCACACACTTTGTCGAAATACTGTAAAACTATTGAATAAACAATGTGATAACAAGGCAAAGTTTTAAGTGTTTCTCTGTTTATTGAAAAAAAAGTATCCCGTTTTGAAAGGAAGAAACTAAACTTGGTAAACTTAGGTGCGTCTTTGTACAATATTGCTTCTTTGTGCAATGAACTGAAACTTTGCTTTGCAAACTTTGTCGAAAGATTGATTAAAAAAGTATTTGTGTTTGAAATACCTTCAATTTATATGTATTTTTGTATTCAACCCCATATTTTATATAATCATATCATGTGTTGTTAAACTGTTGGAAAAGAAATAATGTGATCGATAGCAAGCTAGGCAATACGCTGGAAATAATGACGAATGTTCAACCAAACTTACTTGTTTCACATATGTATCTGTAAGAACTGCTACAACCTGCGTCCGACCACTTGTCTCGGCGTGTACTGTCGGACTGACTTCCATACACAAGATGAGAACATAGTTTTGAAGATTCATTGGGCTCATTGGGCGCCCAGGCAGTAAATTCCCCAAGCGCCGTGCCCTGACTGTCGACCCACGTCCCGCTCGGTCTACTGAATCCGAGGTAGAAATTAGCATTTCTGTAAAATACAATCAGTGAGAAAGTGAAATTTACCTCTTACACCGTGTGCTTTCTTACGATGTTTCATAGTGAATGAATTTTTATAAGGTATTTTCAAGTCTAACAAGAGTTCCAAGATCTCATACCTCCATGAAATATTGGCTTGACATGTAAATTTCTTCTATAATTATGCAAATGACCCCCACATTAACATAATAAATGCACAGAGATGTTGACTTTTGATAAACTTACACATGTACCAACTTAGTATGAAATTTCCATCTTTACCACGAAGGAGTCATAGAATTTTCAGATTAATTGCCAATTAGGTCTGTATTTGCATAATTGGTACCTGGTGATATTCCACCTGCCATAGATTATAAACATTACATGTATCAAAGCCCCATGATGTAAAACACAGAATTTCCTTATTAATTATGTAAATGAAGTCATCATTAACATAATTTGCATTCAATGTAGAGCCCTGTCTAAGCTACGTATAACCACATACCAAAAATCATAGAAATACATTGTTCCTTTGGGAATTTATCTTCGATGTTCTGAAAGGTTTCCCCAGAAACCTTCCTGCAGTTCCAGAACAATATGCTAGGTGGATCAAACCCACACTACTTATTACTGGCAGAAAAAACTATCAGTCACCAAAATGTCAAGACCATAGCATGTCCATGACAGAAGATACAAAAACCGGAAGTTTTGCTGCAGTACCAAGGTCGGCCACCAGGAGGCCCATTTTTGACCTTGACCGTTGTCCTCTTAAGACCTATCAACATACCAAATATCATCACATTCCATAAAGGCTTTCTGAAGTTATGCTGACTACAAAGTTGTGGAAACACACAGACAAACAGACAGACAGACGCACCAAAAACAATACCTACATTTGTCATGGAGGTAATAAAGGTGCAATAGCCGGTGCAATAGCCAAGCGCTTGCATTGAATTCGGTAGATCGTGAGTTTAAACGTTTGATCCCCTATGGAGTCATACCAAAGAATTTAAATATGGTATACCATGGAAGTAATTTTTTACCTCCATGGGTATACACAGCTTTAATCTACTTTGCACTCAGCATTTAAGAAAGTATATGGGATTGGAACACACCACTACCAGTTGTCTAGCACCCTGCTGTAGTGATTGTACTATTGTGTTGTCCGGGGCTACTGAAACGGAAATGGGCACCGCCCAATGCGTCATCTGATGATGGACTTAACTAACTAATCGTAACCCTATCTACACCGGGCTTTCAGTAAACAAAAATACCTAAATTTACCAAAAAAATGCCTGTCAGAAACCCGTTGCCATGGCAACACTAAATACCATTATCTTATTCTTGCCAACAATATTTTAACCCTAAACAGTACACCTGGGGTGCGGGTGGATCCCAGCACTATATATTCTGTAATATCTTTTTTTCTGAAATTTTAGGTAATTGTCACCCACAAAGTTGTCCCTCAATACAGTGCAGAAAATTTAAACTCGGTTTCTACCATTTATAAAAAAAACTATATCTGATTTTCTTTTGGGGTCCGCGCGGACCCCAGTCGGCTTTCGATCGTAATGGATACACTGGCGTTCTTATACAAAACATTATTTCCGTTTTTATATGTTTTTATGCACTTATCGTATGGCCACCAAATTTTCATAGAGTGGTGTAATAATAGAATTAAATTTTGACAACTTTGGTGTACTTATGACGTCATATGACGTCATAGCTAATAATACGATCCGACATATTGGATTTTGAGTGATGACGTCATCAAATTAGCATATTCTATGAGTATTAAATGATTTTCTTTAATTATGTAAGATGTCATGAATGTTAAAAAGGAAGTGGAATATGATATGAAACCCAGAATTTTTGTTTGTTTAAACCAAAATTTCTGATATTTAAAAAGAAAACTGCCTGTCAGAAACCCGTTGCCATGGCAACACAAAAAACATTAACTTACTAGTACTAAGCTAATATCATCTTTTTCTCAGATACATTTTAGGAAAGGTCACCAATTTTGATGCTTCTAGAGCAAGCCGTTTAAGCGCTAAGAAAGATCAAAGTTGGGCCTCAATAGCCCCTTCAGTCTGAATAGGGATTAAAAATTGGGTACGAGGGGTGATCCAAAAGTTCTCGGCCTCACCTAGAAAATAGAGGTCAAACGCGTATTCTTTGGTATAGCTGTATACTATGACGTCATACATGACAGCACTCAGAAATGCAAATGTTAATATTCATTAATAAGCACGTGACGCCCCGTGAAAATGGGTGAGGTGAGGGCAAAATCACAACATGGCCGCAACAGAAGCTCGTGCTGTGATCAAGTATATCGATAAAAAGGGATGTCTCCTAAGGAATCCATGAAGACATGGTCAAGACACTTGGTGATGACTCCACTTTTTATTAAACTATAAAGAACTGGGTTGCTAGCTCTAAGCGCGTCAAGGTGAGCACAAAAGATGAACATATGTCAGGATGCCACAAATCAGCACCATGGACAATCCAGTTGAGGCAATCCATCGCATGGTAGTAAAAGACAAGTCTTTCTGAACAGAAGCTTGTTAGTCAAGACCAAAGTCGCCGTGTATAGGGCGGTATGCCTCTCCATTCTACTCTACGCGAGTGAGACATGGACCCCATACAGGCACCACATCCGCACATTAGAACAGTTCCACATCCGTTGCCTACAGAAGATATTGGGACTCAAGTGGTGGCATAAAGTTCCTCACACAGAGATCCGACGTAGAGCCAACATCGAGCCCCTAGCGGCCATACTGCTGCAGAGGCAACTCAGATGGGTAGGGCATGTGATCCGCATGCCTGAAAACCGGCTACCAAGGCAGATGTTGTACGGTGAGCTTTCCGCGGGCAAACGCACCGTAGGTGGCCAGCACAAGAGGTTCAAGGACTGCTTGAAAAGTAACCTGAAGTCCTGTGGCATCGAGCCACAAAGTCTTGAACGACTAGCAGCTGACAGAAACAGTTGGAGACAGGTATGCTCGACAGCTACCGAATCGTACACAGACTGCTACAACCAGAGGGCGGAGACCAGCAGAGCAAGAAGACACATGCCGGCTCAGCAGCAGGGACAGCACATCTGCGAGATATGCGGCCGCGTCTTAGCAGCTAGAATCGGCCTAATCAGCCATCGAAGAACACATCGAGTGAGAGAGACAGAGAGTCAACAATGAGGGACGTCATCTTCGAAACCGAAGGACTGCCTTAAGCAGTAAAAGACAGATGTGAGACTGTCCAACATGTAGCAGAGTCTTTTGGCCTGTGTTGTGGCTCAGTTCACAATGTTTTGTCGACCATCCTGGGGATGAGCAAACTGTCTGCATGAGGGGTGCGTAGAATGTTTTCTGAACATCACATGTTAAACAGGTTGGACATTTCAAGGAACGAATTCTGTCCAATCCAGTCAATTTCCTCAAAACATTTGTCACCCAAGATGACACTTGGGTTTACCACTTTCAATCCGAATCAAAGCAGCGGAGGAAACAATGAATGCAGAACGGTTCTCAGTCCACCAAGAATTTCCGGCAAGTTTCATCAAGTTGACAAGCTTTCGGCCTCCCAGTTAGGGAGTAATCATGATTGACTAGCTGCAAGGAGGCAGAGCATCAAAGGGGAGTACTATGTAACAGGATTGCGACAGTTGAGTACTTCAGCAGTCGAGCAATCAAAGAGAAAACGAGAGAAAATCTCCGAGTTGACATGCTGAAAATGCACCTGTCCACACAGCACAGGGGTCAGTGGCAGCAGGAAACGAATTTCGCTTTAAAGTCTTACCCTACCCTTCCTATTCACCTGACTTAGCACCGTCGGACTTCTACCTTTTTCCTAAACTGAAGTTCCACTTACGTGGTCAACGTTTTGATAGTAATGATGACGTAATCAATGTGGTCGAGGCCAATTTAAGGGCTCAAGATCCAACCTTCTTCCACCAGGGGAAAGGAAAGCTGGAACCGCGCTGGACCAAGTGCATTGAAATTAGAGGGGACTATGTTAAAAAACAGAAAAAATTCTGCCATTACGTTTTCTGGGTGAGACCGAGAACTTTTGGATCACCCCTCGTATTTCTCCTTTTCTTTTCTTTTCTTCACCAAAAAAAAAAAGAAAAGTTGAAAATGCATGATTTTTGTATGTAATGTGGACATAGAGGTTCATACATCAATTTGCAAAACAATTCAGCTGGTAGCATGTTGATAATTTCTAAGATTAGCAAAAAACTGTTATGGGGTCCGCGCGGACCCCAGGTGTACAGGTTAATCAGTCCGATAAGGTGTACTGTTGAGGGTAAAGAAAAGTCACCAAGTTTGGTGGTTCTAGAGTGAGCCGTTCTGACGCTATCCTACATCAAAGTTTGCGCGGACACTTTTAGCCCCCCTCTCTGGTCTAGATAGGGTTTTAAGTGCCTTCTAACAGCATTCGAGAGGAATGCTAAACAGGTAGTCCTTTGGGAGTAACTACGCCACCACAGGACAAAAAGTTAGCGATCTGTGATCTGATTAAGACATCCGAATATTAATTATGGAAACATATTATGTGAAAAAAAGCGAGCAGGACAAGAATTGTTCGTGTGGTATGGTGTGTTTGACTCTGGAAAACATAATACTTACGGGTTCAGACAGTTCTTGAAAAACACAAGATACTCCTGCTCGTTTGAGTCCCGCGGTACGGCGACCATTCCTCCCACGGCGGAACACCTCGTCTGGGCCGTGGCGTAGTTTACGGTCTCGTCGGCTGGGAACACGTACGTTTTGTCATTGGGCAGACTGAGTTGACCATTCGTTGGACAACTCTCAGGAAGATCCCAGACTGCAATGGGCAAAGTCTTGTTATTATCACGGGACGCTTTGCACTAAACGAATTAAGTTATAATAAGATTGAATTATAATATAAAGGTATAATGGAAATAAAACTCTACATTAATCCTCAAACCACTGTATGGATCAAAACTGACCACATGCGAATATAAATATGTGCCATTTTGACATTTCTTGTCGAAAACGACATTCCTCCTATGAGTTTGTTTGTTCTCATACTTTCTTACTGATATTGGAACAGTGTTGATTGAATTATACTAAAAGTTTATGGGTTGTCATGTGGGGCCCAAACTGACCCCAGCATTTTAACTAGTGTTTCAACTCTTGTTTTCTGCTGTCATTTGAATGACCTCAACATGTTGACTCAGAAAACTAAAAAAATTGTGACCCTAGACCTAGTTGTCTCCTGAGGAGACTCAGGCCACGGTCACATTTTCAAGCCGGGGCCCGGCTGGGTTGTTTGCGTGAACGCAAAATAAACAATTTGTATTAAGAGTATACACAAATAGTGACAATGAGTAATTTTCTCCCTTTTTTTCGTTTTGCTGTCTTATATCACAATTTTCGTTCCATACGACTGCCCGGCCGGGCCCCGGGTTTGGAAATGTGGCCGCGCCTTAACAGCAACATGAAGAAGGATACAAATGCAAACTATAGTACCTGCTCGAACGGTCCCCGTGTGTAGTAGCAGAAGTACCAGCGCCAACGGAACAGTGTAGCGTTTGGACATGGCGCTTGGGACAATCCTCCTGGAATTAGCAGCAAAAAAAGAAAAAGTAATGTATTGCAAATTGGGATTCCCATTGGATTCTAATTCATATGATCAAATCACTGTGGCTTTAGACAAAACAAAAGACATTTCTACGCCAAAGTTACACATTCTATAACGTAACACACACCCAGGATGCCGAGGCTCCGCGGAGCTATCTCAAGAGCTTAGTACGCACTCAGTGCCGACTCCTGAATGCTGCAAAGGCAAACAGAGCTGGAAGCACTTAGTGCCTTTTATGTATGTCGTGCCCGTATGCTGTAGATGTAGATCGTCCGGTTGGCAAAGCTAATTGTCGGTGACCTAATAACGGCTAGCAGCTTCTACTGGTGTGAATTATATCTCACGCCTAACATGGATGACCTCATAAACGAAATATGACAAAAGCCTTTAACAAGCGCAAGCTAAAGAAGTCTTGCGCTTTTTAAAGGCAAGCGCAAGCCGCCACCAACATATAGGGGACAATACAATACTCATTTTCACCTGAGCGAAGTAAGGAAAGTCGTGTAAAGTGCCTTTCCCAGGGGCACAAGGTCGGTGGCATGTCAAGACTCGAACTCGGGACCTCATGGTTCCAAGTCGAGCACTCTGCCGCTACGCCACACGACCCAATTTTTTTTTGTATTTTCACCAATCGAATCCTGATTAGGGACAAGAATTCAAAGTCCTCCGACCTCTATGACATATTTAAATGTTGTGCAACGTCCTTAAGCAGTCCCGTTCTTTATCATACAAGGAGAACAAGAACAGCTGCCACTTGTCAAGGAGGTCATGTAACGAGAAACAGCGAACGCTGACAGACAAAGTGATTAATGTCCTTCTCTCCCACTGGAACAGACTGAACCCAACCATATCCATTACAACCTGACCTAAAGGATGTGCGGAAACACACACACACACACACACACACACACACACATACAGACACACACACACAGATATGCCAAAAACAATACATTTTATAAAGGTAATTAGTAACGCTCAGAATTTTATCTTTCTTTATGTACTAATACTACTGACTCATCGATGTGTTTTCCTTTGAGACCTACGGGTCCTTTTTTTGTCAAACTTTTCGCCTTTGTCCTCTAGTAATAATGTTTAATCCCCCACGAAGCAAATGTGTGATTATAATTACAGTGTTGTCTATCGTGATCATCAATCACTATTTACACAGGGCCGGACTCACCCTACCCTGGGTGCCAAACTAGTATCGGGCCGTTTGCCGTTTTCCTTCCGCAGCCAAGAGCCCTTCGCCCGCCAATCTAAATCACAGCTACGAGGGAGTTAAGCACAGGAGAATTTATAGACCCCCCCGTAGCGGTGATTTAGACAGGCGGCCGAAAGGCTCTCGGCTGCCCGAGGGAAAGGGTTAGCGGCTCGAAACGGGTTTGGCACCCAGGGTAGACTCACACCACAAGACGTGCTTCGAAGTTTATGATTTTACTGCTTTACATGCTTCTACTGCCGCTGAACCTGTAAAAGGAAGTTTTCTCCTCCTCAATTTGCAACATTAGTTGAAAAATGACTTTCTATGACTATGCAGTTTTGTTTCTTGTTCCCATGTGGTCTGCTGATAGCTCATTATTAATTACTACACCCGGAGCATTTCTCCACCATTCAGTAAAAGCAACGAGGCGTTAAGCAGAATATTTTGTAGTCTGATGATGTTGCGGGCACACTGTATACTACAGGGTATTTTTGCAAGATGATCATTAATAATCCACTTCATAGAATCCTCATCTATAGCAAGAATCAAAGATGAAAAACATTTTGTAACAGACTGTAAACTGTACAACAAAGAGAGAGCAGAGCTTTATAATCTGATACAATCTATGTTCCCCTGCTTCATACATCTAAGCTGTACAGATTTCTACTGAGCTTAGACAAATCGTCTATATTGAAACATACCTGTTCTTACCTTTTTACCCTTACTAAGAAACAAGAAGAAATCGTATTTACTTGACTGTAGCTAATTGACGATGTATATATGTAACGTTATCTGTATTCTTTTGTTGTGACCTGTACTTAACCCAGTGGGGCATGTGTGTACAATAAAGGTCTTCCTTGAAGGAATAAAGTGTGCTTTAAGCTTAAAGAACGGATCTTTTGCAGTACAGGGGGTACAATGCCTTAGGCCACACCGAATTAATTTTATTGATGAAATCCTCTGAAGACCCCCAAACTAGTGCGCGCGGGCGAATAAAAAAAAATCCGGGCAAAAATAAAAATGCTACTAAACCACAGGAATCCAAAGCTCATGTATTTTGAATTTGCGACAGTACATAGCGACGTATACGACAAGCCGGCACATGCTGGCTTTTTGCGGAATGTATGAATCGGCACTGTGCGTGTGTGCAGAGTTCTTGCCGTCGTGGAGCTGCGGTAGCCTGGGTGCCTTCCTCCAGAGTTACAACCGGCTCCGTATTGTCACTAACCTCCATGGACCTAGAGCCAGACCAGAGCCTTGGAGAACATGATCTTTTTTTTTTGTAATTTTGAGAACAGGCGAAAATCAATGCGCGCCCGGATGCCATCCATAAGATTAAGTCGGTGTTGCCTTATGCGAGTCACAAATCATTGTGTCACATCTTTAGCCCACATCTCTTTCATAATGACTGGCCGACGGCCATTTGCCGGTGTTTGGTAAACAAACCGGAGTTGTTATGACAACGCCACACATTCGATTGCCGCAAGGCTTCCTGGGTGACAACAATGCTGAGTCCTTACTGGAAAGGTGAAGGTGTTTTTTCGTTGTGCACGTATCACCCTTTAGCTTCACAACACTTTAAAGCAATGTTAGCTGACTGCACATACTATACATTAGGCCACACCAACTTTATTTTATGGATGACATCCGCGCGCGCATTGATTTTCGCCTGTCGGCCTAAAAAATATTACGTCCACCGAGGCTCTGGCCTGGCTCTAGGCCTGGGTAGTCCATGGTAGTTAGCGACAATACGGAGCCGAGCACCCGGGCTATCGAATTCGAAGCTCCACGACTCAAGAACTCAGTACATACGTACAGTGCCGATTCATAAACTCCGCAAAAAGCCAGCATGTGCCGGCTTGCCGTATATGTCGCTAAGTACTGCCGCGAATTCACAATACCAGCTTTGTATTCCTTTGATTTAATAGCATTTTTATTTTTGGCCGGAATTTTTTTTTTATTCGCCCGCGCGCACTAGTTTGGGGGTCTTCAGAGGATGTCATCCATAAAATTAAATTGGTGTGGCCTTAGTTCTTTTAAAATTAGGAGAAGTGAGAACAAGCTAAGAGAAGCTATAAATACACATATACTATGATTTAGCATAAAAACAATGGCCTAGTGCATTGCACCACATAAAGTTCCCATGAAAAAATGTTCAACATGTTAGTATAATCAGAGTAGGATGCCGAACTTTATTCCAACACAAGGGTAACCAAAAATCCTACTAAGGACCCCTACTTACATTACAGGTAAAATAAATTTGTAAAATAAAAAACATAGGCAAAATGTAACTCGTAAAATGGGGATATTGAATGTATATATTTATAATGATAATATTTTTTATCTACTCTTGTCATGATTTTCTCACTATCAATGTAGTCTAATAATATTACATTTTTTTCAAATTCTCATAAAGGTAATTGTATCAAAGGAGGCCCTTTGAATGGTTCCTTTTAACACCAAACTTCCATTTAATAAAATCACAATTGACGGCTCTAATGTCGTTCTTCCTAACATACCAAGGGTGGGGGAGAATTGTTCCCAAAAATATTCCACTTGATCTAACGTTTTGGAACAGGTATCCGTGTGAAGAATGTTCATTAGTACCCCCGGACGGTGTCTTCACTTTCCCATGGGGATACAGCGTTATCTTGTCTTGTTTTACAAGCACTGTACTAATAACAAAGACACATCGGTCTGTAGCGTTTGAAAACCCGTTTTCTCAAAGCCAATATTCTTGTCGTTTATCTGCATACTGCTTTGACACAACATATTCGAATGTATATTGACAATCATGGACCAAAAATTACCACAAATCTGACGGGAAATGGTTACTGGAAGGGCCCTGGGCTGATTTTTATGGTACCTCACAGAAAATAAAAGACTCGTCTTGAGGGGTTTTTTTCTACAGTTTTAAGAGCCCGATGTATTAAATAATGATTCAAATAAGCTAATGTGAAGCAATATGTGTCAATATCACAAAGATTGCCTTATTCAGAATATTTCCAGTTTTGCTGCCCTGAAATTGCATGGGATGCCTTTAAATACATCGTACAAGCAACTGTGACAAACAGCCATTTACTCAACTGCACACGATATGAGAAACATCTGATTAAGCTACGAAAGAAAGCAGACAACACAAAGTCTAGCGTGTAGGAAGGCAATCTAAAACCTAGTGAATACACTCTATAATTGGCTTAGGAAAATTGGAGGACGTGAGTGCAAGCTGTCGCAGAGGGTACAATGTGAGTTAATCAAAACATAGTAACTTAACAAAGGAAAGCAAGCTCGACCACAACGATAGCAGTCACCTTCTTACTCGCACTCAGCAGTCGCGTCTTAAGGATTCAAACGAACCGTTCTACTCCGTAAACCACAGTTCCGTGCTAACGAGACTATAAAAGTGTTGACATCATGCCTGCGCTATCCAACCTCCTTGGGAAAGGAAGCGATTGCTATCTAACCGTGAAAGACACCTGCATGCTTCAAGCTAAGGTTCAATCCTATGGGATACACCTCAATAAACCTGTAAATTAGGTCTACAAATTAGTAACAAAACACAGCGTGGCTGACAAGGTAGCTGCTTGGCAGCCGAACCCTAAAGTACCATGCCGTATCTGTTGAAGAAGGTTGTACCTTCAAGGAAACAATGTTTAATGATAAATCAAATGCTAGATCTACCACTGGATAAATTTCACGGAGATAACAACAATTTAGTGACGCTGAAAAAGAGTGACGAACGTCCGGAAGTAACCTTCGTAATTTATTCAATAGTAGAGTTTGATTTGTGTTTGAACATATTTTTTTTCTTTACCCTAGTTTGTAAATTTATTGCGCATTCTGTACTGTCCTGCATGTTTGTAATGGGGCAATGTCTTCGGAATAGTTTGGAAACGTGAGGGGTACTGGTTGTGTGGGGTAACTTCGGAGTGTTCGACTCAGCACCATGAGGCCCGAGTTCGAGTCCTAGCATGCCACCTATCTTGTGCCCTTGGGAAAGGCACGTAACACGACTTTCCTCATTTAACTCAAGTGAAAATGAGCATTGAAACGCGTCATCTGCGTTGTTGGTGGCATGCGATAAGTTGAAATAACTTGTGCCGTCACCATGTGTTGTCATGAATTGTTGATCTAAAAAAAAAAAGAACAGCTAGGAAACTGTTGTTGTATGTCTGGCGAGGAGAATACATTGAGATGCGCAGCATTCCTTACATTTACGTCCACAGGGTTAAAACGCAAGAAACATACACCGCACATGTTGGGGAGGGGGGGGTCTGAACATACTCAAATCAGTAGGAATCAAACCACCTACCGTTTACATTTCAGGGAGGCGGTGTCGAGAAGTTGACTGCCACTAGGACACGTCTTGAATGGAGGAGTTTAAATCCAGGAGGTTAGGAAGCCGACAGGAAGATTCGTCCTTCTGTAGCCGGTATTTCACAATGCGCGATCTGAACTGGAGCAGGATAAAACCGGTCTATCTAGGAGAGGTGTCTTCTCATGATGCATCACTGGTGTCATAATGTGGGGCACGTATTGTCTCACCCTGCAAACATGTAATTAGCACGTCCCTAGAACAGACCACACCCACTTAATTCTATGGATGACATCAGCACGCGCATTGATTTTCGCCTGTTCTAAAAAAAAAGATCACGTCCTCCGAGGCTCTGGCCTGGCTCTAGGCCTGGGTAGTAGTACGTTGTAACTTTGGAGGATGGCACCCAGGCTACTGAAGCTCCATGACTCAAGAACTCAGTACATACGTACAGTGCCGATTCATAAATTCCACAAAAAAGCTAGCATGTTCCAGCTTGTCGTATACGTCCCTATGCACTGCCGCAAATTCACAAGACCAGCTTTGTATTCCCGTGATTTAGTAGCATTATTATTTTTGGCCGGATTTTTTTATTCGCCCGCGCGCACTAGTTTGTTGGTCTTCAGAGGATGTCATCCATGAAATTAGGTCGGTGTGACCTAATGTGTATGAGTTGTCTTATGGATGTGTGATTTCCAAAGCCAAATAGCAATGTTCCAATAACAAAATATTGAAGCAAGACTCCATGGAACACAAGCCCACGTTACACCCTATAGACATCAGGTGAAGGTGAATCGTACCAACAAAATTAAAACAACTTCGAGCAGACTGACCCACAAGAGGTCAATGACCCTTGAGATAATTATAAGCTATATGATCCAGGACTGATACGATCAGATCTTTATAGCCGGCAGCTTGTGCTGGGGACGGCACTACACTGTATCTGGGGATATCATTGTATGTTTTGCTATGGGGGAGAACCAAATAACTACAATGGGATGGAAACCACAGTTTATTATTTTATTTTATTCACATGGATTTTTGAGCATTGGATAGGAAGCACTTGTTGTGCTTATGTAAATCCGCTGCTCATAAAACATAATACAAATGTAAACATAAAGATGACATAAAGTATAGCATTAACATAAAATGAAAGTGGCTGGCGCACCAATACCTAGCATAACATTATTGAGATTGGTCAAATCTTCCAGAGTGGTGGATATAGTTAAACACAATATCAAAGATACGGCAGTTGGTAGGGTAAGGGAGGCTGGGGCTACCTGTAAGAAGTAAAGTACATAATGTGGCGTCATTTACGTTGAGTGGGTCGGAAGGAAGTATGTTTTCAAGATGAAGGCAAGATATGGATAACAACATTTTGGTCCTTTCAGTATTATAACATTTGCAGTGTAATAAATAGTGTTCTGGTGTCTCGTTTGGATGCCCACATTTGCACTCGGGACTACTGATACAGTGATGCTGGAATAGGTGGTAGTTCAGCTGGCTGAAACCAAGCCTGAGTCTGGTAAGGTGAGTCACATGGTGTCCGTGGCCGTGAGAGTAGTGGGGATGTCTGGGCATGCTATCAAAGCAAGACTCTAATTCATTTTTGAATGCACGAATGGATGGGGATTCTTTGGCGGTCTGGGGTAACTTGTTCCAAGAGAAAACAGCAGAAGGCAAGAAAGATTTTTTGTACTTTTCAGTTCTGATGGTAAGAGGGAGATAATTCTGGTCAGTACGCAGGCCATAAGGGGTGGAATCACGGATAAGTGGGGGAACCAAGTCTTGTAGGTATTTGGGAACTAAGCCATTGGCCATTTTATAAAAGTGAACAAGTTTGAACTTTTCGCGTCTGTTGGCAAGTGTTTCCCAACCGACGTCACATAGAATGCGGTGGTGATTCGTCCCTCTCATTGCGCCTGTGCAAGCCCGGGCAGCGGACACCTGGACTGACTCAAGGAGGTCTGAATCCTTCATAAGAACACCACACCAGGCAACATTGGCGTACTCAAGTAAAGGACGTATCATGGCTTTGTACAAGATTTCAAGCGTTTTCCGTGGCACAAAATTTGATATTCTTGTCAACAAGTTAACTCGCTTCATTGCTTTCGTCACCAGAGTTGACACGTGGAGTGACCATGATAAATTTGGAGTGAGATGTAAGCCAAGGTGCTGGTGAGAGGGGGTTTCAGTCAGCTGAACACCTCTGAAGTACAGTGGTGGGTGAAGAACCTTTCTTCTTTTAGAGGAAAAAGTCATCAGTTCTGTTTTGCCGGGATTGAATGTTACAAGCCACTGGTCTGACCAGTCTGACACTACACTGAGATCATGATTCAGTCTGTTCGCTGAGACAACGGGATCCATGATTATCTCTAACAGTGCGGTGTCATCAGCAAAAAGACGGGAATCTGTTCGTAGGTTGTCAACAAGGTCATTTATAAAAACAAGAAAGAGCAATGGGCCGAGAAGTGACCCTTGTGGAACACCTGCATCAATTGATAACCACAGTTTATTCTTAAAACCCTTGTCATGCGGAGCACAATAATTGTTGTTCTGCACATACAGTTCCATCTAGTATATATAGCACCCTGTATAGGTACGATTTGGGGGTATTTCTCGTGCAACGCATCACACCGCAGCTAAACGCAACGAATGCGGAAGTAACTATGCCACCGCAGAGCAAAAAAGTTTCTTATTGTCTTATTGTATTATTTACCACATATTGTCGCTGTAGCTGTACTTTCTTCATTCATACATTCATTCATTCATTCATTCATTCATTCATTCATTCATTCATTCATTCATTCATTCATTCATTCATTCATATCATTCATTCATTCATTCATTCATTCATTCATTCATTCATTCATTCATTCATTCATTCATTCATTCATGGGGCAGTAACCCATTATCTTTTATTCATATTCTATATCTTTATTCTTTTTCTGTGATGTCTGCTTAAGCGATATCGCTCTTTGTCAATCTTAGAATCGAGGAACGTGCCCGGCGATCAACAAATACGGCCGAAGCTCGTCAACATTACGACATTACCAGACTTTGTCTATGCCATCGGTGTTGGGCGTTGTTTGTGCTCGTTTCTATGCCATTTGTCACAAATATGCGATTCATTATGTTGTGGATGTCTTTAATAGTAATAAAAAATCTACAGTTTATCAACTGTTCGGACACAATTTGGTGAATGAACTCGCCTAAGTGCCATCCTATTTGTATGCCACAGCTCCCATACTCGCGTCCTAAGGGCACGGTCACATTTCCAAGCCGGGGCCCGGCCGGGTTATTTGCGTGAAAGAAAAATAAACAATTTGAGTATAGACAAATAGTGCTCATGGTTAATTTTCTAAAACTTTTTTGTGTTTTGCTGTCTTGTATTGTTTTTGTTCCATACGACTGCCCGGCCAGGCCCCTGGGTTGGGAAATGTGACTGCGCCGTAATAAATATTTCTTAGGGAGCAAGTATGGGTGCCCCGGAATATAAATATGATGGCACCCAGGCTATGACTGAACCATTGTTCAGCCTGAAATGACATATAATCCGCTTACGTCGGGCGGTTCCCTGTATATCAGCAGTCATTGTGCTATCGGAGCGTCAGTGCTAATGGACAATCGGAACACACACGTTCACACATACTGATGCATATAGGTAACAAACACGGTTTTCTTTCATTACCTTCGCCAAGAATTGACGAAGGTTATATTTTCCTGGCAGTGTGTCTGTGTGTCAACAGCATAACTCGAGAAAGCTTAGATGGATTATCTTGATATTTGGTAGATGGGTAGGTTTTGATGAGACCTGGAAATGATTAGATTTTGGACCCCTAGCGGCTTGTTATGGTACTGTGGCTAAACTTCCGGTTTTTATATGTCATGATCCAGACATGCTGGGGTGACAAAATTTGGATGTACATGTAAGGTAGCTTTCATGCTGAGGAAGAAGTGACATGAGTTTGGTCCTCCTAGCGGCTTGCTCAGGAACTGCAGGGCTATCTGTTTGAAAATATTCAAAAGAGGATAACTCAAGAATTGGTGGACGGATCGTCGTGATTTTTGGTATGTAGGTAGCTCAAGTGACGCTTGACATAATTATGCGACAATTATGCAAATCTGGATCTAATTTGCATAATAGGGAAATTCTATAAATCAGGTGCATTACATTATAGGACTATTCAAGCTTGTGACATATGTAATTGAGAAAGAAACACAGGCAGATATTGATTATGTAAATTAACACCTAATTTGCATAATTAATGAGAAAATGTTATAATTCCATAATGCTAACTGCCTGGAATTTCATACTTGGGATATTTGAAAATTAAGTGAAGGTGAACACCATTTAACATAACTTATTCAAATAAGGACCTCATTTGCATAATTTATGAGGAAATGATAGAATGGCTTTCTTTGTTAAGATAAGGCTGTCTTTTGATGGAGAATATGATCAACTATATAATACAATATTATAATACAATATTATAATATAAATATAATACAAATGAGGATTTTATTTGCATAATCAGAAGGAATAATCTTTGTCAGTCATAAAGAGTAACATCATTTGGCGAAGGCATGAGATCTTGGGACTCTGGTTTATTGTAGGATGCACAAGAAAAACCGAAATGATCAGCTTTCAATAAGTATATAATTCACAAAACAGGTAAACATTTGACGCGAGGTGCAGCCTTGCACGAATCGGAACTATTATGGATTTCTTTACTTGATAGTTTGTAGGATGTTTAAGAAACACACCGGAAATAACCAGGTTTTAAATAGGATATATAATCAACAAAACAGGTGAATATTTGACGCTCTAATTTTAACAACGCATTATGGAAATCACACGGACGGCAGCCTTGCATGAATTAAAACAATTCTGGCTAGACTTCACACAAAAAAATAACAATGCCAGATAAAATACAATATACATTTCTGATAATAAAGATAATATAGGATTAAAGCATTTTGGTTATTGAGTAAAATATTATGGCAACATCATAATCACTATATACATATCAGGAAGTGGTCTCAGACTAGATTTGCTAGAACAGCTTTGTGCGTTATAACGAAACGTCTCTTTTGAATGTCCAACTGTTGTGTGGTGTTTTCAACTGTTATCGGTACAACAGCGCCCGAATATTTTTTTGACGATGAAGAAAATTGATACTTCATACATATATATATACACATGTAATATGACTGGTTTAAATATTACTATTTTCCTACTATTAGATTCAGTTGGGAATATTTTTGCTATTCTGCTGCCTGATTACCTAACTAAAACAGCACTACCTTTAACAGAGCCCCAAGTGTACAAGTCCCCCCTGTCTTCCTTCCTCAGTTCTGTGACTCTATCCCTGCTTTCTTTCCTCATCTTCGACGAGACTTTTCCCACAAACGTTCGGAGACGCTGTTCAGCCAGCTCTGCGATTTTCCTGTTCTCTGACTTGTCCTCGTGTCTCTCCCTGAGGCTGACTTCCTTGCGGGCCTCGTTGAAGATGGTGAGGAACATAAACACCATGCCGTTGTAGCAGATCAGGAGGTAGAAGAAGAAAACCGCCGGGCCCAGCAGCCAGTTGTGATCCTGGATCGCGTAGTAGTCGAACTCGCCCATCATGGTGGCCACCATGGTCTCCATGACGGTGACATATGTGCCGAAACCGTCCACGCTGGTGCCGAAGACCAGGTATGCGATCATGCAAAAAGCGGAGAACGTCGAGAAGAACACCAGGAAGAAGTGCCCGAGCGGCTCGGCAGCGGCCCCTGCCATCTTGGCCCCGCGCTCCACGTGCTTGTTGAAGCGGAGGAGGTGCAGCAGCTTCAGGCAGGCCACGCACACCAGCCACGCCAGCAGGTACGTGTCCGTCTGCAGCCAGCTACCGATCTGCTTGTACTTCAGGAAGCTGCAAGAGTTTAAAGGATGGTTAAAAATCTATTCACAAGTTCGTGCCCGAGGTAAAATGGACATGGTAATATCCAAATACTATTGATGATGAATGGAGTAATTCAAGTACTGGTGCTGGTTATATCTTTGATAGCATGTTTGTTTGAGTTTGGCTAGTGTGACAAACAAACAAACAAACAACATTGTTAAAACGTATATCGTATAACGAACTTAAAACAACAGACCAAAAAGACTGTATCCCCAAAGAGCCAAAACAATACATCAAAAATAATATTATTGCAAAACATGATACTGTGAGCCTTAGTGGATTTTGTTTTTACGTTTAGCTGAGCTTGAGCATGGTTGAAAACTGAGAATGTAGCAACGCCGGTGACCATAATCAACCCCAAGCACTCCCTAATAATGTACCAAAACAGTTTTAGAATTCATGATCATAAATTGATCAAATAGACAGTTGGTCAGTTAAAGGAGTTCCCTTTTGCCGCTCTACACTGCTTCAACAGATCAACTCCCCTGGCATATTTTTCTTCAATTCCTAACCGCTTCTTATGACTAAAGGAGGCAAGCAAAGTGTGAAAAAAGTACTAACCGTGTTTCTACAGTTCTGCCCTCATGAACTGAGTTGAACTCCGACAGGAGATAGAAGGTGTACAGCTGTACTCCTATAGATGCCAGGGACAGCAGGCACACAGTCAGCTCCACAACCTTCCAGAACCTCTTGAAGTACTCCTTTTGCAAGTTGAAGATGTTTTTAACTAGAAATCAATTAATACATGATTATGCAAACTTAATGGTCGATATTAGGACTCAGACTCAGATCATAATTCCCCTTAGATGACACTAAATATTTTCTTCTCTTGATATCAATAAAATCAGTCATCACTACGTACCTTAACATCGTTACGCATTATACAACTAATGCCTATGTATTGTGAGGTAGTAAAGGAACACAGCTGTGATCGGACTAATAGAAGCAACACTCTGGAGGATTTTTGATGTGCAGATTTAATGAATGTTTCTACGTGGCTTTCAAAGGTACAAAAAGAAAGATAGATTCGACAGTTCTATCGCAACTCACGCTCTCTGATGCAGAAGATGATGGTGACCAGGATGAAGGCGATCTGGAAGGCCATCATGACGTAACCCCAGTCCGTGACGTACTGGTACAGCCGTACTGTCGTCACCTGCACGCGTGGAAATAAGTGGAGACAATGTTGATATCCTTCCGCGTAAGGGTTACTGTCTTCGCTCGCAGCTGTAACTCATGGTCAGTTTAACAGATGTATTTAGTTTTCAGTATATCGTTAGTTATCGGGATCCAGATGATGTATTTTTTTTGTTCATTGCATGTTGATATCCTTCCGCGGAATGGTTACTGTCTTCGTGATTCTGTGTTCGCAGCTGTCGGTTTGACAAATGTCTTTAAATTTCGGTATATCGTTAGTTTTGGGGGTCCAGATGATGTAATTTGTTTGGTTCATTGCATCTGTATTTTCGGGTGTCAGAATAATTGGATACTCCCGTGAAGACCGCGATTTGATCGTCTAATGTGTAGACTGTTTTGAACGTGTATGCGCTAAGTTGTCAGGTAATACTATTATTCCGAATGGGGGTAGCATTTTTCATCAAAACAATTATGAATGGTTTACTGTGCACTTCGGCTAGGTGTTTCAGGTGCACTTAAATTTGCACTGAGAAACACCTCGCTTCAGTGTAGAGTGTACCAGTCATAACTGCCCTGATCAAGATGAAAGACGGTAATCAAAACGCCAGATCTTGTTAAACAAGTGGTCACAAATGATGAACTTTGTTATTTATTTAAAAAATGATTTGGTTCACTACCTGAGTTTGAGGAAAAGCCTTCCCAATAGTTGAGAATTCTGCCATCAACTCTACCGTGGAGAACAAGTTGGCGTTTGGGTTGTAGACGATCATCTCAATGATGACGGCCCGAGTGTTGTCGTCCATCCACCCGAGTTGTTCAAGTTCGTCTACGGTCGCCAAGTCGGCAGTCATGTTGTCCGACAGTTCCACGATGTACCCGCCGTCATAGTAGGAGGAAAATAGACCGTACAAGGGACTGGCCACTGCAATGGATATTTAAAAGAATTGAAAACGAACCAGGAAAGATTGTAGATGGACAATCAAGCTTTACAAACGTTTGTGAACATGTAACTATAATGAAGCAAGTTTAAAGTCTGTGGCGCCCCCGTCTTTGTTGAGGGATGGTTGCAATGCCCTGACATGATGTAGATGGCCTTTTTAATACAAAAAAGTCTGCTTCTGCGTCCAAGATTTTTATGAGACCGAATGTCCATGCGATTTTATATGCAAGTGTTTTGAATGTCCAGGAAATTCTATATGCATGTGTTTGTTCTTATTTGTGACGACAGGAGTGCCACAGACTTTCTGCAACTTATAATCTAGCAACATAGATTTACAGTCCAGCAACATAGATGAACCTTCAAGATAACATGTACCTATATTTTTTTGAAGTACATTTTCCTTGTATGTTATTTTTGTCAGTCATATATAACAGCTTAAATTTAACTGCATTATATTATATTATATTATATTACATTATATTATATTAAAGGGCTAATGACCCGCCCGAGGTGAATATGGTGTGATAAAGCCTTCCCAGTTGCTACAACCACCGAATAAAGCCACCAAGTGAGCGCAGCGATTTTGACTCTATTTGTGACATTACGGCGTCATAATGTAAGGAATGTAGAATGGAGCCTTCTGATTGGTCAACGTCACCCGGCTATATGATGATATATTATACATCTAAATCCCTGAAGCGTTGGTACTTGTCTTTCTTACCACTAAGGGACGCAAAGTGATATTTCCATGGTTGTAACCCTGCCGATGTCTCATTGTCGTTCTGGACCAATGCCCTCCACCCTACGTCATGGCTGACGTCATCAGCAGTCCAGAGGCTGTACGACTCGTCACAGTCATCCAGGATGTTCGCAAAGCTTCTTGGGACAGCACAGCTGGCATCTGCAAATATTGACAACATTTTTGTATAAAGATTTGTGGTGAATGTGTTCACGCTTGTCTGTATGATTGAATGAATGAATGAATGAATGATTGAATGCGCAATAATGTTGATTTATTGGCTAACATAATTCCTGTGTCACACGTAGCAGAATATGTACATCCCCCTAACATTGGCGAACTGCCCTCAACCATAGCTGGGAGTAGGTCGGGAGCAAAGTTGGCTGTGGTTGGTTAATGTTCGAAAAGGTTTACTACTGCGGCGCCAGCCAAATGTTTCAATTTTTTTAACAGTCGGGCGTGGACGAGAGGTTGGGGCAATTTTAGCTGATCTTTGGCTGATAATTGGAAATGTTTGGGCGTTTTCGGGGGTCATATTCGAATCAAATTTAACTCAAATTCAATTCGATGTGTATAGGCGTGGCCTTAATCTGATAATATTGCTCCCAAACTGGTGGAGGAAAGTTCTAAATGTGTGACAGGTGCTTAAGACTTTCAATATTTTATTTACTCGTATCTATTTAGGCCATGTTGATTGGATTATATGGATGACATCCTTTGGGAACCCCAAAACTGATGCGAGCGTGCAAATACAAGAAAAGTTTGGCCACCAAAAAGTTACTTTCACTATGAAATTTACGTGGTTTTGAATGTTGAACAAATGACGTTGTATAGTTTGGCGAATAATCTAGTCTTCACATTCATTTCCTTACATTTTCGTCTTTTTCGTTTGATTTTGGCATTCTACGACATTGGTATCGTTTTCCAATGTTTTTTTAATCTACTGTATATATTTGCTTATTTTGCAGCTGTTTTGTACGATTTACAGTTTGGTTGAAAACCTTTTTTTTGAACGGCTGAAACTTCATGCGCGTGCGGATGTCATCCATATAATCAAATCAACATGGCCTTATCTAAGAATCTACGATGTTGCGTACTTGTCTTGACGCGAAGTTGTCGGAGTCTGGCGTTCCCCACGACAAAAGACGTGCTGTCCTGCAGGAATCCTCGATGAGAAAACGGGTCATCGTTGTACCAATGCTGCGCATGCGTCTCTGGAATGACACTCTCCCTCAAAAACGTCCAAAAGGATTCGGTGTCAGTCACCTGGAGAAAATCAGCAAAGCTTGAATTAGATGTCAACCGGTGCAATAGCTCAATCCGATAAAGTGCTCGCTTTGTAACCAAGAGGTCGTGAGTTCAAACCCCAGTCATACTGCGTTCTCGGCGTAGCACTTAGCATCTACTACAAAAATATGAGGAGGTCGAACACACAACACTAGCGGGCTCGCCCCCCTTCTGTAGTGCTGGCACAACTGTATGGCCCAAGGGCTACAGAAATGGAGATGGCCACTGCCGCTGTGCTCTGCACAGAGTGGAACGGGACGTTTTCATTACATGATTACAGGAGATTTGCATGAATATGCAATCATTGACTTGGCAGGTTTACCGATGGGTAGATTTGACATCTTCTAACAGATAAACAAAGTCGACTTCTTCTAACAGATATACAAAATCGGTAATCTAAAAAAAACTAAAAATAATTGGCAACACAGTATAAAACTGACAAAACAGTATAAAATTGACAAGACAGTATCAAATTGACAATGCAGATTTGTCAGATAAAAAGTCGCAAAGTAACCAAGACATAAGCAATATAATGTTTGGAATACCTTATTTTAGTAGTTACCGATCATTCATTCGGAAAGATAATGCTTTGATTAAAATTCTTGAAAAAGTGTTATTCAGTGTCTGCAGGTAACTGCCATGCAATTGTTGTACAACAAACCATTATGTTGTCCAAAGTTACTAATACGTTAAATCACCTCTGAAAATGACTCGCCAAAAGTGTCCTGTAGATGCCGAGTCAGGTGAAACATGGAGGTGTCCCTGTTGCCATTGGCAACGACCAACAACAACAGGATGTAGACGAAGTAGAACCCGGCGTCGTACAGGGCAGTGCGCATGCCCACCTCCACGAACCGCCTCTCCCGGGCAGTCTGGAGCTGACCGGCGTCAGGAGGACCGACCTGGCCTGCTGCCTTGGACGACAACTTACCGGCAGCCTAGTACATAAAATCCGAATGTTATACATCAGATCTAGCATTTTCTGAATCTGTAGAACACCTAATAATGCATCTATTGCATATTTGTTTATTTAAGATCTAGTTGTTAAAAGAATGACTTCATAGCCTTCATAGCCCCGGAACAGAAACACTTGTAACATTTTAAAACCACAATTTGCGAGCTATTAAAAAAGAAAACCGCTATTTCTGTGCCCATCCAATCAAATGTTTACAACCTATCGTATTCAGATTCAGCGAATGTTATTGATAGTCGGAACCTGATGCAAGCACTGATTTATGTCAATGTAACAGATGACACTTATAATGACTATAATTTTCCAAATGTCGGTGGACGATCCCTACAAGCCTTAAGGCTTTTCACCCACCCCCCACTGATCTTGATATTATACTCGTTAAACATCTATACAAGTACATGACATATACATAGCTACTTTCCTCTTCCATCGCCCTTGAAATGATAAACTCCATGTTCATTAGCAATTTCACATCTAATTATAACCTCACACATCATAAACACATCATATGCCATTATAATATACTCATCAAATATCCAATAGTTAGTAAATACTGTAAGCCTTTTCATTGAGGCGGAAATTTTTGCGAAAGCACTTGTTACTCTTTATATGCAAAATAAATCAAACCAACAAACCACACAGACGTACCATGTGATAGAGCCCCAGATACTCCTCATCTTCCTGTACAGGTGTTGGAGGCGGCACATCCTCATCGGATTGATCAGGTTTCTAAGGATATAATTATTATGATTTTAAACAATAACGCTAAATCTTGTTAGCTCTTACTGTACTCGGTTTCTATTCTCAACTACATCCTGGAATTATGACAATTAAATCACAGATATAGAAAGTCGGTAATCTCCAAACAGATACATGTATGTCCGTGGCTACAAGTTAGTATCAAATAATTGGCAACACAGGAAAAAAAGGAGAAACAAATCCTGTTAGATTGGGGTTATTTTTAACTATATCCTGGAATTATGATAATGATTATCATGTGGATGATGAGAAAGAAGATGGTGCTACTTGTGATGATGATGACCTGATGGCAGCATTTCAGTGATCGTCATAGTGTCATGATCTATAAATTGATTAATATCAAATCATACATTTGGTGTTACCTTGATTATAAGTGCGAAGAAAAGCGCAAGCAAAAAGATCTTGAGCGGTTGGGTGATGAGCAGGTCGAAGATAAATGACGTGAGGAAGGTGAATATCCAAGCCTCGGCCTTCTCCCGGCCGTACTCGAACCCGTACAACATGGTGAAGAACGCCGACAGGGAACATGTGGAAAACAACAGAAACCAACCTGCAGATTTTGGAAAAAAAAAACGAAATGAGGTACTAAGATTCCTCAGTCACTGATACAAGATAGTACATGCTACCTGAAACGTCTGACCTATCATATAATCCACCCAGTTGCTTGATCTATTTCCTCTTAATTATATTTCAGTCCATACCATGGTATGGATGAAATATATTGTGTTCTCTGATGTTTCTTCTTCTTCTTCTTCTCCTCCTCCTGCCAAACAGTCAAAGGGATTCAACTCTGTCATCATTCAGCCAAATGACTTGAAATTTGGCATGGAGGTAGAGTGCACCAATACCCCCAGGCTTTTTTTTCATTTTTTTGATACATGCCTTTGAAAAATTTTTATGAAGGTTTTTTGGGGCATTTTTCGCCAAAAATGGATTTTTGGATCCTGAGCCCTGCTTTTACAACCAAATGATCTGAACTTCGGTATAAGGGTACCTTGAACATGTGTCTACAGAGTAGCAGTCACATATTTGGCATACACCACTTCCAAATGACTCATTTGGGGGACTTTAATGGTTATTTTCAGCAAAAAAAGGGCCAAAAGTGCTATACCCGTTCCATGTTCTATCTAAAGAATGGCCCATTCCATCTGCCATTGGCAATGGAACACGTGTTCCATTGCGGGTTACCTGAGGTCACATTGCACGTAAGTCGTGCGTAATGACCCACACATTCAATTTTATGTGCCTTAGACCTTCAAAATGTATCAAATCTCATCATTGTTAGTATTTGCATACCTCTAATAAGATTAGTAAAGCTTTCGAGATTCAATGTGCTTGTTCTTGCATCTTTGTTCTCAATTACATAGCTACTATATAATTCATTTATTTGAGAATCTTTGCCAGTTTTACACTGGAGTAAGTTTGGAATAGTCCACGTGGGAGGGAGATGGACTGAAATATGGTGTATTTGCTCCCAAGCAAATGTCGGCCTCTCTAGTTAATAATATGTTATGTTCCGTCTAGATGTTTTACATTCATCAACATAATATTGGCTTTCATAAAATTGTGATTGTGTTGATCGATGGTAAGGCCATGTTGATTTGATCATATGGATGACATCCTCTGGGAACCTCAAATGATTTTGGCATTCTACGACATTGGTGTCGTTTTTAAATAATTTTTTGCAACTTACGGTTGCACATTTTGCAACTGTTTTGTATGATTTACAGTATGGTTGAAAACTTTTTTTGAAACGGCCGATGCGCGTGCAGATGTCATCCATATAATCAAATCAACATGGCCTAAACTGTATTTAGATAGAGGCCTACTATGCAAAATCTTCATGAAGATATTTTTTGTTCTCTATATCTCTATATCTATGCCTTTACACGTACGTCAACATATTTGAATAGCTAATCAACATAAGCCATAAAATATGGATGTATGGCCAAAACAATGTCTTCACTTACCGAAGTAAACACACCACCAGGGAAGGAGGCATTTCTTCTTTTTCTTTGTTTGCTGAGCAGTTGGCATTTCAAACACCGAGGAACCTGCCGAAAGTGAAATTAGAAATTACATATTTGAAACGACCCTCTACTATTTTGTTAAATGTTGCTAAATGACAAATATATCATTTAGAACAAAAAATAAAGAATGATATGCGGTAGTTGTTATCAAAACTTTCTTATTGCTTATAATAAAACTTGAATCCTAAACGTAAAGAAAAATAGCCTCGGACACTGTTATCATCTTGTATCTTCTCACCATCAGTGTCGTCTCCTGTTCTACTTCCCTCGCGGGAACTTCCAACTCTCGCGAGACTATGACGTCCCTGACTGGAGCTGGCGTCAGTCACGTGATCGTCATACCCTGAGTCAGCGAACTCGCTCCATCTCCGAGCCCCGTGCGGCCGGGAGGTGGCTGGCCGGATCGGTGTGAAGTCTTTGACGAAGTTAGCTGCATCATGATGCTGACTCTGATAAACCTTGCCGTAATTATAAGCTGATACAGCAAAAAAAAACACAATAATTCACACTCTCTTACGCTTATTCGCTTCCAGCTATCAACAGGAAATCTCATTCAACAAATAAAACCCAAGTTAACATGTTAGTTCTACAAATATGAGTTGCCTCGATTTTTTCTGGCACTCATATTTTGAATTCTTCCAACAACGATTCCATGCGAAGTGACATTCAAAAACACTAAAATTGAATAAAACATGTATCCAACATTTACGTATTACTTTTTGCCAACAGAGAATGCCTGACATGCACCCATATTAGAAATGCAGATACCAAAATAGAAATGAAAGTGAGTCGGTAAGTGAGCGAGCGAGTGAGTGAGCGAGCGAGTGGCAGAGTGAGTGACTGGATGAGAGTGGCTTAAGTGAGTGAATTATTGAGTGAATTAGTGAGTGGGCGATTGACTGAGTGACTGAGCGAGTGGGTGAGTTAGTTAGTTACTGAATATTGAGTGATAGTGACGTAACTAATTGAGTAAATGAGTGAGTAAGTGAGTTTATTAAACATTTTCCTTCCGCGTCATATGAAAACCTTACCAGAAGCAGGAGTTGCGGGTCTAATTTTCTTCCCCCTGGGTCTGCAGTACCGGAAAATCTGCACGATAGCCAGGTTCACAGGAAACACGATCAGAGCGCTCTGTATGCCGATTATCACCTGTCAGGAAAAAGATGGACCAAAAGTGTACATGAGCAAAAGACCAGAGTAAAACGTTTTCGCGTGGTCACGTTCGTTATAGGTCGTCGTACAAATTTATTATCTTAGACTGTTAAGGTAGCCTGTGACAGAACGAAATGTCTTGATCATGAGTTAAAGACAGCTGAATTTTGTGCGACATATGTACGACTTATTTTCACACAATACTCATCTTGACCTGAGCGATGTGAGGAAAAGTCGTAAAGTGCCTTTCCCAATGGAGAAAAATCGACGACATGGCAGGGGTCGAACCCGGGACCTCTTGGTTCTGAGACAAACACTCTTGGTTCTGCCACACGACCCAATAAGAGCTGCTTGGAACGCGATATAGTAAGGCCACTACTGTCTTTCTGTATTTCACACCAAATAATCTCTCCAAATAAAACTCCTTTTTATGTTTACCGAAGGAAAACATATTGTTTTTACTCAATTTCTTCTTCTTCCGATCCAAACACTGACCTCTGACTTGGCCAATGACCTGATTTATTGACGTCTCTCGTAATGGTAACTGGTGTTGGGTTACATAATGATGTAATTTCATGGTCTGCTCTGCTCCTGTATACTAGTAGTACATGTATGTGAATATGTATGAGTAAGAATTAACAGAGCAGACCATGTCCAAAGGTAAACATTACGAATTTGCATTGCATTTGCATCTAGTTCATTCTAGTCATCGTGACTTACTTGTTCCCAGTTGATGGGGATCTGTATGGCGAACCCCAGGACGGAGATGGGAGACGGGCGCTGGAAGTTGCCTCCCCTCCCGAAGAACATGATGTTGACGACCATGGAGCAGAGCAGCAGAGACAGGCAGCAGGAGGCGCGCTGCACCCGGGTGAACGGGCTGCGGGAAAAGACAAGCAGAGGAACGAAGTTTTATTCGAATCTGTGACAATGTAACAGCCTCAAGTTTAATTCTGGACGTCCGGTGTAAGTCCGGACTAATTCCGTATCTCAGCAACCGTTCATCTAGATGGGTTAATATTGTGATATAAAAGTAAAAATAATGTAAGAAATATGTATACGTAGCAGAATTATTCACAGAATTCTGGCTCTAGTTCCCAGAATTCTGCAGAATTCTGACTGCAGTCCTTTTCCGAAAGGAGCCACGTGGCAAGCTTCACTGGGTCAATCTACTGACTCAGAGGAAGATCAGAGTGGTTTGTCGAAAGCTCTAGGTGAGAGATCTTTCTTTATGTTGGATTGCACTTTAAAGTTCTAACTTTAAACGTGTGACTACCAAGTTGAACGTTAACACAGATGAACCTTTATGATAATCTCCTACCTTGTTGCCGGCCTTCCCAGCACGGAGTACCACAGATGTCCGTCTCGGAAGTTTTTAGACATCTTGCTGGAGAACAAGGTGCCGAACCTGGTCAGTTCCTCGTCCGTTGCCGCCACGAGAATCCGGTCCACTCTACCGTCATCCTCCTCCACAGCCAACCACCTGGAACATTTTTTTTTTTATATTCCAAGTTTCAACATTTCATGACCATGGCGTGGCGACGAAACAAGTTACAAAATGTCATCAAAAATCATCATCATCATCATCACCTCTTGGTTCCGAGTCGAGCACTCTACGCCACACGACCCCACCATTAGCAAAGAGCTGTTCGTATGAGTGCGTTAGATGGAGGACGTATCCAACATTAAGAATCAGTTGAAAATTGCGAATAGAATCTGGAAGACATAACCGCACTTCTCTGGAGCAAAGACTTTGGCAATTTTGCAGTTTATTAATAAGTTCACAATGTAAAGTAGAACACGAGGTACATTTTTATTGTTGATTGTTCTTTGTATGATAGCGAAAGAAGCACTAACTTTTCGATTGTGTGTTAAGTAAATTTTCCCATTTGAACTATTTTGATAGTATAGTAATTTTCCTTACTTGTTGCAGAGGAAAGTTGTCATGGAATCATCCTGGGTGTCAGTAATGATGATCTTGTCCAGAAACCTGCAGAAAAGTCAAGACAGTGAAGAGACATATACATGCAGCACTCACAGTTACATTTGAGTGAATTCAAAGAATGTGACTACAGATTTCTTTCAGTCACTGACAAAAGGTAGTGGATGCTACCTGAAACGTCTGATCTTTTTTGTTAAATCTGTTCATTTGCTTGAATCACTGCTAGGTATCTCATTACCTGGATGTCTAAATCTTCAAGAACTGATTCAAGAATACTGCCCTCAAGAGGTATATTACAGCATAATACCTTAGCCCTATTCAAACGGGGGGAGGGTACTTTGAGCCAAATGTTATATCAGACATCGTCTAAATGTCTTGTGATAGAGCCACCAAATCTTAGTGACTTTCTTGAAAGATATTTGGCAATAACTTCGCATCTGTGTGATCATTTGACACGAATGTCTTTGAGGTATTTTTGCGAAATTTATTATTTTTGGGTTGAGGAGTAAAATTGTCAACTTTTTAAATATCAATGAAATGTAATTTTAGGTAATTTTAATTCATAATTTATGCTAATTTAATGTGATTTGTCAAAATCCAAGATGGTGGACCATACCATTACCTCAGCTGTGACAAGGCTATTTTTTCTAAAATTTCATCACTAGGGTTTTATTACAATAGGGTTTAACATTTGTTTTTTTTTAGAACCAGATGTTTGTGAAGCTCCTTACCAAGACGGATCGTGTCCCCGGTTGTCGTGCCAGACGTGCAGTGCCATGAGGACACCTAGCGGCCGGCGTGACGTCACCACGAACGTGTCGACCCCGCCTTCCATGAACGTGACCCGCGTGACGTCATCCAGCGTGTGTGGCCCGGATGTACCGTACTCCCCGTGAAGGATGATGGACACCTGTTAGCAAAAGGTCAAAGGTTGTAGAAAAAACAGATATTCCAGGAACGAACCGTAAAAATACCCGTAAGCTAAACAATGTATAGGGTTTGAACTATGAACCTATACGATACGAGTAGCGTTTGCATATATGCATATGGTTTAGCACGATAACTCAAAAAGCTATGAATGGATTGCCATGGAACTTTGTAGGTGTAAAGGACTTGGTGAGACCTCGAATCGATTAGATCTTGGACTTCCTAGCGGTTCGTTGAGGTACTACAGCAAAACGTCAAGTTTAGATATCTCGTGATCTGGACATGATAGGGTCACGACTTTGGACGATAGCTAGCTTTAGTCGAAATGATTAACATCATTGTCGAAGGTACGAAGTATTGGAACCCTAGTTTTCCTGATTGGATTTGTTACAATTGCACGTGAGATCGTGTGGTGTAACGGTAGAGTGTTCGGCTCAGGACCAAGAAGTCCCGGGTTTGGATCCTACCTTGTCCCCGATCTAGTGCCCTTGGGAAAGGCACTATACACTTCACACAGGTGAACATGGGTACCAACCTTTGGTTAGGGACGTCCCTCGGATAGGACGTTAAATGGAGCTCCCGGGTTTAGGGCGAGCCATGTGTGATGGTCCAAATACTACTATCTAAAGATTCACTACGGACCCCAGGAAGAGTATTGTAAAAATTAATGGAGATCTCACTAATGGAGATCCTAAATAAACAAACAAGCAGTTCCCTACCTTAGCAGACGTGCTGGCGTCCGCCCTCGCTCCTGTGAACACCAGGACTTGATACACATGGCTGCGACCGTCCGCACCTCCCAGCACTGTAGCACCGACCTGTGGACCACATGAATACCGTGAAAATACACAACTTCTTGTACGATCAATGCACTTTGTAGTGTCGCAAACTTCCAATAGTGTTTGCGGAGACACAGAAAGTTCTACCTTCCTTTAATGAAATTTCGTCACATTCGAACAGTAAGCAGTTCCTTACTGATCATACTAACACTGATCTAGCATTTGGCACTGGGCAGTATAGCATTTGGCTAAATATAAAAATAATTTAGAAAAATATGTATTATAAAAATATTGGTCGTTACTATAGCTATGGTGGTCGAGATCGTAATAAAAAAATGTATTATATTTGTTGCCATAGAAAAATTCCAGTGCAAAATAAGCCTAAAAACATGAAATTAGCCAAAAGAAAGAAAGGAAGAAAGAAAGAAAGAAAGAAAGGAAGAAAGAAAGGAAGAGAAAAAGAGAGAAATAAAGAAAAAGAAAAAGAGAGGAATAAAAACCTTTGTAGCGTCCTTCCTGTCTTCCCTCCGAGCCCAGATCACAAACAGCAGATAGATGCCGACCACTACAGCGATAGTGACGACCACACCCGGGTTAGAGCTGATGTCTTTAAACCCTTCCAGAGCCTTCAGGATGTTCAGGGAGTTCGGAGCCACGAAGAACTGGAAGTCTGAGCCGAACGCCGTCAGGTGGTTACACAGGCAGTGAGTGACTGTGTCTGTCGTCAGGGGGCCGACCTGAGAGAAGGATCATTGCTATTGTTAAACGTACAAAGCGTATTCATGTTAACCTTCGCAGAAGGAAAACATATTGCTTTTGCTCAGTTTCTTCTTCTTCCTCTTCTCCAAACAAATACTGTAATTCACTTTATGTTCATGGTAGCAAAATTTCACGGTCGGAGAAAAATGGACATGTTCACGGAACTATATGTTCACGGTGGTGACAGGTGCAGAAAAAAGAAAGTCCAGGAATTATTTGTTAACTGTAATGATAGGTTCACTGTACAGAAGCAACAGTGAAAACAGTGAACTTATCAGTACAGTGAACAAATCAGGAATTACAGTAAATAAAATGGTCAATGATCTTTACTCGACGTCTGTCACCATAGTAACAAGTACTGTATTTGGTTACATTTTGAAGCAGAACAGAGCTGGAGAAGCCCTCACAATATACATGAATGTATTCGGAACATTGTTGTTGGCATTCTACTGCTCTGTTTAGTCTTATTCTAAACAATGTTCCCAAGAATACTCACGTTGATACGTCTAGTTTAGTAGAACATATTTGACTCACCTCACACCCATCTGACTTCCACATCTGCTCCGTGGTATCGAAGAAGAGACATGTTGACCTGAAGACCCGGAAGGTGTAGTTCAAGACGAAGTCTTCGTCTCCATACACTGGTTCAGACCGGTTGTCCTGATTCACTCTGTGTGTTTCAAACTCTGTGCTGTTGTATGGGACATGTTCTACACCTGCGAAACAAATAGGCATCATGTCTACGTATAGGCTAAAATAAACTAAAATACAAACTATAATCGTTAGTGCAAATGAGCATTTTCCATAGATGAAAATATACTTTATTAAGCAAGAAGGTTGATATGTCATCTACCACTAATGTTGAAAATGTTTAAGTGGCTGTGCCAAACACGAGTAAAGCAAAAGTGGAAAAACGTGGATAAAGTAAAATACAGAGTCAATGGTGTCAAAAAGGTTTACTTTCTTTCAAATTGGTTGAACCGTAACGAAGGACTATGTTCTAAGAGGCATTAAGGAGGCCATATATACGTATATTTGGGCACTCCAGCTATCACTTAACAGACGGTGGTCTGGACGATATAAACTACCTGGCACTTTTGTCAAGACGTACCAGGTAGTTTAAAGTCTCGTGTGAATAAGGTCACGTGTTTGTAACCGAAACTCTTGCAAGATTACGTTTTGAAGTGATTTGTTATTCATTAACATGATGAAGGTGACAATGGTCGTTGAAAATTTGATACCTGTGTAATCTTTATGTTGGAATAAATTTCGACATTTTAGTAGGTAACGATTCGGAAGTCATTGAAAAATGTTCTTACCGACAAAGTATCGTTGTTGGTTCATCTCGCGTAACCACTCCGCAGAAATCAACCACTGGTAAGGATCAGACCTGATCTCTGTGTTATTGCCAAGAGGAATGGAGTACAGCTGATCCTCTTCCAGTGGAAGTGTCGTGGTCAGGTTGTAGACCTAGTGTCACGGAAATGAAAAGAAATCCATAGTGGGTGTCACTTGAAGACATACGAAACATGTCCAGATTATGCATGATGTACAAAATGACTGATAAACCTATGGACGTACCAACTACTAAGAACCTAATGTCAACTCAGAAAAGAACAAGGAATAGTTATTCCTTCAAGTACCAGAGGTATGAACCAAGGATTAAGGTGTTCAAAAACTCATTCGTTCCTCGAACTGACACGCAGTGTGGAACTCGCTGTCACCAAGTAAAGAAGGGGCATTGTCATTAGATGGCTTTAAAAATGTTTAGAGTTAGATTTTCAAGGGTTAGGTGCAACAAGCCGTTCTGTGTAATGTAGCCAGCTGCCGCTGCGCCGCGTGCCTGCGAAGCTGGTGCGTTGCACCGGATGGCGGTTATACCTATCCTCTACCAGGCTTCGGGAGGCGGCTGGAAAGTGTAGAGATCGGTCAAATATAGAGATATTATGCCGAGGGAATTGGCCATGGTCCGCTAGAGAGTACATTTTGCCGCACCCGAAGCCTTGTAGGGAGCAGCAAACTGTTCTCTCCAGGAGACCAACTCTTCTGGCATGCTATCTCTCTATTTGGCCGATTCCTACTCTTTCCAGCCGCTTTCCGAAGACTTGTATAGGCTAGGTTACACCAGTTCTTTTGATACAGATACAGACCTCCCGGGTGGGCGGGTGTTGACTGCGAAGGTACAGGCGGACATGGACGCCGGTCTGGTCGGGGTTTATTGATATGAGGACGGCGCTGTCACCGGCACTGTCCGTCAAGTTAAACTCGTGAACCTGGGGAGGAACAAAAAGTCTTGTGATGTTCTGTAGTCTACTTTCAACAGAAATCTGACACCATATTAAATACGACTTGTATTAGGTAAAATGGAGGAAATCGTTACCTGACTTCCATCGTATCCAGAACTTTGTCTATCTAATATATAGTATGTAGTTTTGTGGCTGGATGGGTTAGGATCAGGCAGGGTTAAGGATAATCTCCGCTTACCCAAGAACACAACTTCATTTCAGTTAGTTAGTTCTTTTGTCGATAATTCACTAATTTGAATTGTTAAATGCGTTGATAGAAGGACGCCTTTATACAAGAATCTTAAGCTTTCGGCTTCCTTTGCAATATTATATTTACTAGTTAATGTATTTTTTTTAAGTGAACAAAATTAATAATAAATAAAAGAACGGGAGAAGACGGGGGAAGAAAATAATCTCATCCAAACTCTGCTTGAAGAGTTTAAATGTCACAAGACCCTCATGAAAGGAAACATGGACGATAGACCGTACCGACATGGCGTCCTGTCCTGACGTCACGGTCGCCCCCCGCTGGGTTCGGACCTCCACGCTGCCGTCCTTCCGCCTGGTGACGACATCGATCGTCTTCTGCAGGTCATTGACCTCCAGAGCTCCTGCGTCACTCCGGAACTGCAGCGACGCGACCGTGGTCTTGATCTGGTCGGAGTTCCCGGCGTAGGAGTACGGGTTAAGCGTCGTCTGGTAGTTCTGGAGAAAAGAGGATGGACGTAGGGATGAAAATAAATGAGGGCCTGCATGGGGACTCCAGGCAACGCTCTACGCTAAATTATGAGAGCCGGCTACGTACTACGCTGAATTCAAGAGGCCTCCCCATTACGTTTTATGAAAAGATTCCAGATAGCTACAACGTATTGCCTAGAACTAAAACGGCGAATCACGAACTAGCTATGCAAAATGCGCAAATTACTAGTACGCTCTACGTTGAATTAGACCGGACCGTCTACGCTCTACGTAGACTTAAAACGGCCGATTACGCTCTACGGAAAAGGGCATGCGGGCCCCCATGAATGAGGGAGGGAGAGTTTGGAAGTCATTATAAATATCTAAGTGGTATTGGTGTTTTCTTGTCGGAGATGTACGCCACGTAATTAGTACGTTACAGTGAAACTGCACACAAATGAGGTACAATGTCTTTGATAACGTACGTGTATCTTCTGTATTACGTATCTTCTGAATGGCCTGTATTGTATTTAATGTACAACTTGAAGTAATTCGGTGTCTACAGCGTAAATGAATTGGAAATAAAAGAGAGTAGATCTACTACATATCAGTGACTTACTTCGAACCCGACGGTATCCGGACAGGGATTTCCGAACAACACCGATGCGTCCGGAATCCGGAACCATGTCCCACTGTCATCAGACGTCCGGACGATCTGTTCCCCCATGTCCGGACAGTTTTGTTTCTGCAGCGCCATTTGAAACGGACCCTGAACGATCACTGTCGGACTCTCGTTCGGCCGTTTCCGAGTCAGGACGAGCTCGTTCAGGACGTTAACAGTTTCAAATATGGCCGTCGTGGCGTTTTTGGTCTGACAAGAAATTCAGGAAAGTTTTACACAATTTACAAAGAGATCAAATTTTTCAGCGACAACTGTCAACTTCATCGGAATAAATAATGACCAATCACTCACAACGTGATCTCGCGGGAGTTCACGTTCAGCGTAAATAGTATGATTACTACCAACATAGATGAACTTTCATGATAATAGAAGAACAATTGCACATGGTACAATGTATGGCAAAACAAATGAACAAATAGAAAGTATAGAAGAAGACCTAATATAGAATAAGACCTAATAAATCCAGTTACTCAAATAATAAGTATTATATTAGTATTATATATACGAAGCCATACGAAGCACACCCTAGGCAAAAAGCCAATGTTTGGGCACATTCTTTAGATAATACATAAAGATTAGTAATAGTATAAGAACACTGCAGTTAGCACGATTCATCTCAGCCGTACCAAATTTGACACACATGTGTTCGAATGTATCCTTAGCAAATCTGGGTAAGGCGGCATTTTAAATTTTTTCCCAGGTACTTCTAGTTTTAGACAAAAGTTTACAGGGCAAAATGGGGCAATACCACTGGACTAACTTACACAGGCATGCAGTATTCTACAATTTATTTCCATTGGGAATTGTTGAAGTTAATCCAAACAAGCAAAGTATTGACAAAACGTCGTGACAAAAATCACGTGACCTACATACCTTTTCCAGCTGTCCTCCAGAATTGTCCTGACCTTTGACCTTCTCTGAGGTTGCCGCGGACCCTTGCAGAACATTAATAGCAGCTGCAACACAAGGAACATGGGGTATGTTTTCATGACAATATTAGCATAACATCGGACAATAACAGATATAGAGCATTTATGCAGGTCCCTGTGTATTTGTAACAGTATAAAGTATATGTCTTGAGTATGTTTTGTGTCAGCAGGACGATCCATGTATTTATAAAAAATATTCATAAAGACTCAGTTATTATCGTTGTGCGTCGACAAGTGTCTGCAGGACAATCCATATATTCATGAAATATTAATTAACCCTATCTAGACCGGGGGGGGGGGCTAAAAGTGCCCGCGCCAACTTTGATGTCACTTAGCGTCTGAACGGCTAGAATATTGTTGGCAACAATTCTGTATCATTGGAATATAATAATAATTTTTAGTGCTGCCATGGCAACGGGTTTCTGGCGGGTATTTTTTGCTAAATTTAGTAATTTTAGTTTCAACATAAGAATTTTACGGGTTTTATGTCATGTTACACATGGTTTCTAATATTAATAACATCCCATATAATTTCAGGTAAATTTTATAATTAGAAATACATAATTTATGCTAATTTGATGACGTCATTGGCCAAAATCCAAGATGGCGGACCACATCATTAGAACAGGTATATACAGGTTATTTTCCTCAAAATGTCATCAATACTTACATTTTTTTACATTTCATATGAACGTCTTTAGTCTGTTTACAATGTATTTTAGGCTTTATCCAGAAAAAAACTATTTTTGAAAATTCAAGATTGAGGGTCCAAAGTGCACCTGGAACACTTTTTTCGGCACCTGGAACACATTTTTTCGACACCTGGAAGACATTTTTCGACACCTAAAAGACATTTTTTCGGCACCTGGAAGACATTTTTTCAACACCTGGAAGACATTTTTTCGGCACCTGGAATACATATTTTCGACACCTGGAAGACATTTTTTCGGCACCTGGAAGACATTTTTTCGGCACCTGAAAGACATTTTTCGACACCTGGAAGACATTTTTTCGACACGTGAATACATTTTTTCGACACGTGGAATACATTTTTTCGGCACCTGTAAGACAGTATTCGGGCACCTGGAAGACATTTTTAGGACACCTGGAAGACATTTTTTCGGACACCTGGAAGACATTTTTCGGCACCTGAAAGACATTTTTCGTGCACGTGGAAGACATGTTTTCGACGCCTGGAAGACATTTTTTCGACACCTGGAAGACATTTTTTCGACACCTGGAAGACATTTTTTCGGACACCTGGAAGACATTTTTTCGGACACCTGGGAGACAGTTTTTCGGCACCTTGAAGACATTTTTTCGGCACCTGAAAGACATTTTTTCGACACCTGAAAGACATTTTTTTCGACATCTGGAAGACATTTTTTCGACATCTGGAAGGCATTTTTTCGACACCTGGAAGACATTTTTTCGGCACCTGAAAAACATTTTTTCGACACCTGGAAGACATTTTTTCGGCACCTGGAAAAAATTTTTCGACACCTGGAAGACATTTTTTCGACACCTGGAAGACATTTTTTCGGCATCTGGAAGACATTTTCTCGAGCACCTGGAAGACATTTTTCGGCACCTGGAAGACATTTTTGGCACCTGATACACATTTTTTCGACACCTGGAAGACATTTTTCGACATCTGAAACACATTTTTTCGACACCTGGAAGACACCTGTGGCCAGTTCACAACATTTTTTGGCTGGAATTTTCTAATTCGCTCACGCGCACTAGTTTGGGGGTCTTCAGAGGATGTCATCCATAAAATTAAGTCAATGTGACCTAAACCTGACAAAAAAACGGTTAAATTCACCTGTCATCATGAACTTGGCTGACTCTTCCATTTTAGTCGAGCCGAGTTCTTCCGTGGGAACAGACTGTAGAAATGACGCCATGCTCTTCAGCGCATCGGAGGCCGCCACCTGGAAACAATAGAATGACTTGTACGTGATGACCGTGAACTTTTGAGAACTGGTCACACTTACTTGCGACGCGGATATGACTGGAGTATTTACATTCAAACAGACCATAAACTTGCAATGCTTTGTATTGAGCTAGTACCTGTATGTATATTTACTCCGTGAATGAGGTCATGACCTCCGAAAAAGTATTGACATTGACGAAGTCTAAACAGTTGTGTGTTCGCAGCTGTAACTCGCGATTGTAACTGTGCTGCATGGACATAGTTCAGTACGTTGTCTGCTATTATGGTATAGTTGATATAGTTGTTTGTGTTTTTTTTTGCATTCGGTACCGTGGCGAAAATTTTAGGTCCCTTTTTCTGGTGGGATTTTGCAACAGGTATTCTGTAGATGTTATGGATGTGCGGTTTTCTCAAGCAGATGTTCCGATCATGGTAGTTGCGCCATGAAGAGAGTCATCAACGCAGACAAACGCATGAGCGGACAACCTGCGAGTAAGGTGATAAAATTCGTGTGAAGTGCTTTTCCCAAGGGCACCAGATCGATGCAGGTTTCGAACTCGTAACCTTTTGGTTCCGAGTCGAACGGTCTGTCGTTACGACACACACACAGACACAGAGAGAACAAAGCTAGTGTATCTGACAGTCACCTGTGAGTCTGTGGACACCTCCTCCCCGACACTGGTCGCCTGTCCCAGCGCGCCGGCCACCAGGTTCACTGACGTCACGCTCTTGGCCTGGACACTCGTCAGCGCCGACACAACCGCGTTACGGGCCTACGGAGGGATAGATCGGTCGTCAAACACCAAGCCCCTACGACCGAAGTTTCTGGCGATTTTTTTCTAAGGCCACACCAGGTTAATTTTATCGGTGACATCCTCCGTATACACCAAATCTAATGCGATAGGGCGAAAAAACAAGGCGGGCCAAAAAATGCAAGATTTCTATATAAATTCTTCAAATTTTGACATCATAAACCTTGTTGAACAAGACTTTTTTTTCATTCAGCAGCAACATCACATATAAGAAATGACATACAACAGTGCAGCAAAGTAAAATTTAAAGTAAAAGACCAGCAATAGGTAATTACATAAAATATTAGTCTTAATACAATAGAGCGACAATTTCTATTTCGAAATATAGTATTTATATGTATATATGTTGCCATACATATCTAGAGAGATAACACGCCGATGGAGTTTAGCAATCCAGTTTACAGTTTGCCGGAAAACTACTTCCAGCCGCGCCCTCAAGCCTGGTAGAGGTTATTCGAATACCATTTTGACCATAGTATAACCTGAAAAGTCTATAAAACTCACCTCAGTTGCTGCTGATTTCGCGTCCTCCGCGGTTCCGTTCGAAACGGAGTTCAAGACGGAAGTGACGCTGTTGGACAACTGCACCACAGACCGGAAGTCTCCCTGACGTACGAGTTTACCCAGGGTGCTGTTCGCTCCCACTACCAACTGTGTTGCCACGCTGGTGGACTCACTGGCGGGAAGGTTGAATACCTGACAGGGAGAGAGAACATTCAGACCAAAGCATCGCGAAGAAAACCTATTCTAAAAGATTGCAATGTCTAACATAAACCCTACTACGTATAGATACATTTTTGGTTAATTCCTATAACGCTGCATTATGTAAAGTTAGAACGAACAAAAAGTCAACTTTCTGGCCATTTCTTTACAGAGTTAGTAGAATTAAAATAAACCCTACTTCATTCCAAATAAGTGTTGTTAAGGGAGTATATATAGCGGCCAAAATACGAGTGTGTGTAAAATCTGGAAACACAGCTGTCAGTCAGGTCTGTTTACATTCTGGTACTTTGTGCTGTAAAATAAGTGAACCTCGTGTTGGCAGTTTTATTGCCAACAATAAACTTCAGCGATGTACAACAACAACACAGATATGTGGAAAACTTGAAGTTTACATGGCAATCACATGAAGATTTTATCAATCAAAATATTTCTTTTCGTCCAGACATTTCACGTAATGCCCCTTTAATATACATTAATTTTATCCACTTTCAATAGCTTTGACAGTGACATGAACATATTATGTAGTCTTCTGAACAATAAAAAACAAAATATTGTCATATTTTGACTGTCGGAGTGGCTGTAAAATTTACGTCTTTACCTTCACAACAGTTTGGACGGAAGATGTCGCTCCCAGAGCGTCTGACACGTCGGCGCGGATAATAACGTTATAGTCACGTGATTCTAAGCCAATAGGCAGCAGGACTCCTGACAACTCAGAATCCTGACCAGTATGGAGGATAGAGAAGACGTCACCCGTTGCCGTGGAGACGGAGGCCAGCCTCTCCGCGCCCGTACTGTACAGGAACGTGTAGGTCAAGGGCAGGTCAAGGTCGGAAAAGCCTGGCGGGAAAAACACAATAAAGATAGGGTTGGTATGAAAGTTCATTTGTGTTGGTACAAGTCATTACTCCGTATCTTTAGAAGGGGTCAAAATCCTCGATTCTTAACCACACTTCTTTGCAGGAGGGGTGAAGGAGGTGGTCTATATAAGAGCTCACAGACCTACCCTGAACAGAGACGGGGGGCGACACAAGTTGTCTGGTGACGTGTCTCTGACGTCACGTTCTAAGAGTAGACGGGTCCATTCCGCGAACAAGATTGAAATTTGAAGGAGTCAGACGAATTTACAATTCTGTACCACACGTATGTACGTATTAACCGCTCGTTAACTATCATTAAACATGATTGTGTCTCATTAGAATAAGACGAATTCAAGTCAGCAAGGTGGCCAATTATTTTAGTCACACATTGTCATCATACTCCAGCTAACCAATCAGCTATTCCCATCTTGGCCCCCCATCAGCCTTTTTTGATGATTTCTTGTCATATCACCATCTGTACTTAACACAATTTTATGAACAGCTTTTATACACAGCATTTGTTTGCCATAGTCATTACATTAGTACTGCGTATCAAGTTGATAATGCTTTACTGTAGAGCATTGCACACCTACCTGTGCAGGATATGGTAAACTCTGTCACCATCACAGTTCCGTTTTCCGGAGAGACGCTGCAGCTTCCAGCGGCCGGAGGTTCGTTTGGCTGGAAGGTGTACTCCGCGAAACCTTCCCTTCCTGGACCCAGGGACACTGCCACTCTCAGGGTGTACTCTCCTATTGCCTGGGAGTAAAATCGTGAACAGCAAATCACCTACTACTCGGTTATGAGAATATGTGGACAGAAGAAATATTATACTTTTTCCAGGCTATGATAAAACTATTTTTTCACACACTCACTAGAAAGATAAGATTCTCTGTGAAGTATGACGGATGTGACCAAGCACTAACACGCAAGCTCTTCTTTGTGAAACTGCTAAAGGCGTTGCCAGGATGCTAGACCCATAGCATGCAAGGCCCAGAGTTAGTAAGCCAAGCCTTACTGAGAGGCGCTGTGGTTTAATTTCCTTTGGGGCATGTTGACTCCGGAGCCGAGGAACTGTCCTGTGTATGCCCCGGAAATCAGACTGCCACCTAGGTTACTAAAGGCGACACCTTTCGTCTGTTGCATAATAGAAAACATTTTGTCCACCGACCTTGAAGACGCCCGCCTGCACGACGACATCCGGCAGGTGCCTCCCCGTGGTGGTGTCGGTGTCCCAGAGGAGGTCGGCCCGTCCGAAGTCTGGCGGGGCTGCCCGGAGGGTCCAGTTGTACCGGACCGGCTCGTCCTGTCGGCAGCTGGGACAGGAGTACGCCGAGCTGAGCACCAGCCGCTCCGACGGGTTCAGCTTTCTCTCACAGTTACTTAGACATCTGGTAACAGGACATGAAATGTTAATTTTTAGTTGTTTAACAAAGACTTTTATGTAAGATTTATGTCTTTTATCCTGAATATCTATCTTGATTCCTGACTGTGACGGCTACGCAATCTAGAGGTTACTTCTAGACTAGTCACATCAGGGCTTTGTCCAGCTCGAAAGTTTGTACCGTCAACCCCAGGTCAACCCAATTCTCAAAAAATATTACTGTCAACGTGAAAAAAAACTCCGTCAATAATTACTTGATGAATATCTGCCTTTCTCGATCAGAACAAAAAAATCAATAATTCTCACAAGGAGACAACCCATTTTTTTCATTGTTTGCTCATCCTTTTCCAGTTGCATTGCAAGTGATAAAATTTTGTTTTCATCCTTGCTTTAACCCCCACAAATAGAAATATGGAAGAAACAGGGGACCTCACTAAGCATAAATACAGCCTCTCTAAATACTGTCGATTTAAAGGCATTCAATGCAGTTTCAGGGCGGCAAAATTGTATTTTCAGTCAGTTTTCTGGTGATTCCTTTACTGTACTATAGCTAAATTGAATCAATCCTATCCCATAGCATACTGATACCTATAAAAATGTGATGTCACTAACGGACAACGGTTGCTTGTCTTGTATCAAAGGCTAGTTCTAGCAATTCATGGGTGGTACCCCTAAAAAAAGACATACCTCACGTATATTATTTTTGGGCTATTTGAAAAGTATGAAATTCAGATGAGTTAAGAAATGGCAGTATATGCCAACATAAGATAGTCTTTATCCAGAATATTTTCTGTGTTGTTGCCCTAAAATTACATTGCATGTCTTACAAAACAATGGTGAATCCGATCAAAACCGCCAACTCACGTGATCTGCACGGTGGGAGATCCCGCGGGGAAGATCTGCAGGATCTGGCTGTACAGACCGGGATCTCGATCCGGGTACTCCACCTGCACGGTCAACGTCACTTCCGGTTCCTCGGGCGGTATCAGTGCGGAGGAAATGACGTAAGACTGTTGTGTTGTGCTGTTTCCAAATACTTCATTGCATGAGGTACCTTTGGGAGAAACAAGTCAAGTCAATCTTTATTGCACAACAATTGTAACGGGTACAATGCATGGCAAGCTCTTCAGTACTACATATCTAGCTAACATCTACTCTTACGTCTACAGTAATACCTACAAGTTCTATGTATCGTAAATAACATTATACTTTTTCAGAAAGGTAATATAGTACTTGTATATATATATATGGAACATGGCTTTCATGATAATGTATATGTCTTGAGTTCTATATGACATGGTGATCAGATAAATCCTGTGATATGTGATATGAGAAAGTTTAAGAACCTCTGCAAATATTTGTGATGGAAGAAAAGCAACTATCAGAAACAACCAGTTACACCGGGGTGTGAATGATTGTTACCTGTAAAAGTTATTCTTATTGAAAGTATAACTTCATTTTAGCTTTGATTTAAACAGATGTCTAACGCAAGTGATGCAACCAATGTAATTCTAGGATGACGAAATCGAAATAAATTCGCTAACTAAAGTTAACAACCATCTTGACGTAAAAGCTTATTATATTTACCTCTTATCACCAAAGATCTCTAAAATATTTTCCTACCTGACTCAGTTATGCACGACCAGTTGTACGTCAGTAACGTCGAATTCGTGACGACGGCGTCAGGGTCGTACGACGTCGACGCATCCACGACGACGTCAGACCCCATGTCCACCGACCTCGCCGACCCTCCCACGATGTGCGCCACCAAAGGAGACGCCCTGACCGTCAGCCACTGCGCCACCTTTCGCGCCACGCTCAGTCCGCTTTCCGTCTCCATGACGACGACCTCTAACCCCACGATGACGTTGCCGTACGGTAGGGTGTTCTTCGGTAAGGTAAGTTCAGACGCTGATGTTGAAACGCTGGGAGGGATGGCGATAGGGGTGAGAGAGTCGGCATCCATGGAGTACACCGCCCAACTAAGGCTTAGGGTAAACTCCTCTTCACAGTCAACTTTGATATCACTCCGCACAGTCAAGGGCTTTCGTCGCTGGACACTTGGAGCCGACCACGGGGAAGCCCCGCCCCCTTGTAACGTGACGTCAGGATAGCAGGAGGCACACGCGAAGGAGCCGTTGGTGTTGACGCACAGCTCGTCTCGGCTGCAGTTGTGGACGCCGGTCGTACATTCGTCAACATCTGAAGTTCGGAACAAAATACGAGACTGTTGCACATGGTCACTTACTCAAAGACAAACATTATTTGAGCCATACTTTGTCTTACACATTTAGACATCCAGCCATACATCTATAAATCCTGGGGTTAACATACTTTGACCATGTTACATAAATGAAGTGGTTAGATAACTTAAAGCAACACTGTCGATGCGAAAGACTACTTCTTTAAAATAGTATGGACACATATTGAGGTTCCTTCGAGGAGCAGTAAAAGGAACAATAAAGGGGAGAGGACAAAATAAACAAATAGGCTGATAACATCCAAGAGTCTACAGGAAAGAACTTTGTGGAAACCCTTGCCCTAACACACAACCGAGAGCGAAAGAGACACTCCGCCATGCAATAGGGGCTGTACGAGCAACCTGCATGAAGGAGCTCTGCAGAGCTGTGGGCGCTGTACCTCCATGGAGGTTATTCATACAGCCCCTTCTCCCACCATGCAGTGCGCCACCCACGACCCTGACTTGGGCTAAGGGGCCAAGGTACAGGGTACACCCATGGAATGCTTCGGTCCCAATTGGGAAAAGGGGCCCTGCCGGGTAGTTCCCGGACTGTTTTTGGCACTTTCGGGCGTGACCTGTACGCGGACCCGCCAGACATCCTGCGACTACTGGGCTCGTTTTCGGCCCGGCCGGGACCCGAGAAGAATTTAGTTCTGACTTAATTTCTACCCGAGCCCCGCTGACAAAATGACGTCGTGACCTAACCGTGAGAACACCGGGAGGTACCCCTCCGGTTGCCGGTCTACCGGTTCAAATTTGTTACGTCACAGACCAGCCGGGGACCGGCCAGGGCTACATCCCCGACGGGCACCGGCGTAATTGGGACCAAAGCATAAGACAGGTACTGAATGATTAGTATAACTGTCTGCAATGCTCCAGAAAGAAAACGTAACCCCAAATGTTAAAGCTGCAATGAAAAGCTCATGTTATCACCAGAATCTGTCGCTGGTGTTGCGATAGTAGATTTTCGTGTTGTTGTTGTTGTTGCTGCTACTCTTGTTGTTGTTGTTCTTGTTGTTGTTGGCGGGGGTGTTGTAAAGTTCAATCTTGTAGAAGTAAAACCAGTGGAGGTGGTTGATGCTAACATTGAAACGCTATCCCTTGTTGTATTGAAAGTCGCCGTTGGCGTTCTCGCTAAAGTTGACATGTTCCATGTTGTCGCATTTAGAGTACCGGGCATTGTTACTGGCAATGCCGTGCTGTTGAGGCGACTTGACGTGGCTGAATTTGCTAGAAAAGACGTATCCTATGAGTAGCTTACAGGACTAGTGACATAACTGTACCAATAATCAAATACAATCGATCATCGGTTGCCGCCGGAAAGTTATAAGATTTACAAGGACAATATTTACCATTGGTGCCAGAATCTAGCAGGGCCGGCAAGCGGCCAGTTCGTGCGGCAGACCAAGGCAGTTGTGCCCGCTGTCCTGGTTTAGCGCTCCGATGAGTTGTAGGCCAAGACGTTTATAGCCAGACCCAGCCTAGCCTACAACGGTCCGGAGTTCTAATTGTGGTCGGCGGGCACAACTGCCTTGGGCTGCCGAAAAAAAAACTGGCTGCCGGCCACGCTAGAGTCTGGCACCCGGTGTTAGATCCTTTGGAAGGGGTGGAAAACCTACCAGATGTCGCCAGCCTCATCGCTGTGCTGTTTAGCTGACTGTTTAGCTGTGATGTGGACGCGGGGGCTCTGCGTGTGGTTGGTGCCCCTACCGTTGTTGAGGCTGGGATGAAGGAAACAAAACTTTGAGGTATGGGCAGACGTTTCACAATTACATTGTTAGTTGGTATACAGTGAACCAGGAACAATTGCTCTAATGAAGATGACAGACAGTCATCGAAACGTCGGCTCTTGTTAAACAATTGGTTGTGAATAGAGAACTTTGCTATTCGGTAAAATGCACTGTTAAGAATGTACCCGGAAGCTACTGAATGCATTGACGAAAGGTATTAGATTCGTCATGTAGTCTTACAAGCACCTGTGTATGTCGATGTGTGGTTGTCCGGTGCTGGTGAACTGAAGATGAGTGGCACGGTCGTGTTAGGCGGTACAGCTCCGAGAATCGCACTCGTAACTTCAACAGCAGGAGAGTCTACCATAAAAAATATACATTTTACAACGGTCACAAGAAATAACACCAGTAAAGGAAATTGGTAATGTTTCAGTATTTGCATGATTGTAAAATATTTTGACTAGCTCTCTCGTCTTTCAGGCTAAACCGCTATCCTTCGGGGTACGGGTCATAGAAATTTGTCAAAATAAAGGAATAATTTACCAGGAAGATTAGGCTACGATAAGGTTACATTATTGTGGCCAATAATTCTCCCGATTTGGCTTTATTCTTAACTATTTTTGAAGCAACATTGCTAACCTGGTAGAGACTATGAAAAGGCCACTTATAATGCAGGGCACCGTTCAAAGAACGCGTTATGGCTATCCATACATGGATTTCAAAGAAACTAAACACAACACAAAGAAACACATCATGCTCACTTACCCTCATATACTTCTACCTCGCACAGCGACAATTTCCGGTTGCGGCCGGGTAGCAGCACCCCGACGTACCGGCCGGACAGCCCCGCACACTCCACCGTCACCGTGCCGCTACTCGCGGTCTGGTCGCCCCCGCAGGTCGGATTATACCTGACCGTCGTGGAGTTCCCCACGTGAAGCCGGAAGGGACTGAGTCGCTCCGAACAGCAGTCCTGTCGTTTTTTTTTTAAATCATTTATTAAAAACATAAAAGAAAATACAAGACTTCGATGGCGACACACTCAATTTAATAATGACACTTATATAATGCTTAGGTCACATTTCCAAACCGGAGCCCAGTCGGGCTGTTTGAATCAACAAACAAATAACAATACGTGTCAAGAATATACAGAAATAGTGCCGATGATTGTTATTAAAAAACATTTCTGTGTTTTGTTGTCTTTTATCGTACATTTCGTTCCCAAAAGCTGCCCGGCCGATCGAGCCCCGTGTGGGAATTGTGACTTCAGCATAAGCACCGCTGGCCATCGAACATAAAATAATTAACATGATATTATATACACAAAGATAATACAGAAATGTACACAAACAAACAATACAAAACAGACATATATTGGGGACAAATTAGATATAACTAAATGCGCTGTCTGACCCTCCATTCTCGTGACATTTCAAGAAGGACTCAAGTGTAATATGGAGGGTACGAAACGGTTATTTTTGGTAATGTTTCATTGCAAATTCATGCCCGAGGGCTAATTGGAGGAACAGAATAAACATTTCGTATTAAAAAACAATTAGTACACATAGAACTACTGATAACTACTAAGAAACTGCTGGTGAAAAACTATTGGGTTTGACTTCGTTTTGGAGACAGAGGAAGACAAAGGATCACACTTTTTCTGTAATTTGTGGGTTTTCGGATGTTAATAGGATCCTAGGAGAGTAGTTTTCATTTGTATATGTGTGAAACCTTTAGTAATGATAATAATAATAATAACCTTTATTGTACATTCATGCCCTGTCGGGCTAAGTACAGGTGAACAGATGAAATGGGTAATATATATGTTTGTAGTACATACAGCTCTAAAACTACACTAATACAGAGGTAATGAATTGTTCGGTAAGAAACATAATTTACCTGTCGGTTGAAGATGACGACTTTGTCGATACTGTGGGCATGCCCCAGATCCACGTACCACCAGGCGTTGCTGTTTTCGCGGGTGAGAGTACAAGAAGCACCCTCCTGGTAGTGCGAGTCTCTGTTCCCATCCACGGCTCTCCCCGGCACGCCTACGCTCTGTGTACTAGATTGCCACGTAGGACGTCCTCGTGCAATGTTCACAGCTGTAGGAATAAAGTTTCAAGTTTTATTAATAAAATCAGCCTTGCAGCCGGTTCACAAGTCAACCAAGCTGAATAACACTGATTTTTACAATTTTGTACATAGTAAATACAAATACACATTAACATTACAATTATTATACATATACAGACACACAAACAAACATGTTACAAAGCCACACATGGGCACTGAAAGTCCAGAGCGTCTTGAAAGTCATTACTGCAAAGACTCGTTGTACAGGCATAATGCCTTGTGTAAGAAAGAGTTTTTCAGTCTTTTTGTACGGGCTGCTGGTACTGTAAGTGCAGTTCCATTTCTAAGGTCCTCCCAGTGGCCGTTGTCCTGGCCGGTGGAACCAGGCCATGGAGAGGGTAACCCTCGTCCAGCATGTTCTTAAGTAGCTTAAACATAACAAACACTAGTAATACTCCCCTAGAACAACGAATATATCGGTACTGTGATCTAGGAAGAATCGAAGTTGAGAAACATTTTGTAACAGAATGTAAACTATACCACAAAGAGACAGTAGATCTTTATAATCTGATACAATCTGTTCCCCTTCTTTATACATATAAGCTGTGCAGATAAATTTATATTTCTAATGAGCTTAGACAAACCTTCTATATTGAGACATATCTGTTCTTACCTTTTTACCATTACTAAGAAACGAGAGGAAACCCGAATATACTTGATTGTAGCTACTTGACGATGTATATATGTAACGTTATCTATATTCTATCATTTTTGTGACCTGTACTTAACCTACTGGGTATGTGTGTACAATAAAGGTCTTCATTCATTCATTCATTCATTCAATATTTGCAAAGCAAATGCGTAATATTTACCTTCGCATTTGGTCTGCTCTGTTAATTTTTACTCAAACGCATTCAAATATATGGTGACAGGAGTCTAAATCCCTCCTGCTATAAAATTGCAACATGATGTAACCTAGCACTAGTTACCATGGTGACAGACGTCTGTTTCAGGTCATTGACCTCATTTGTTTGGAACGGAAGAAGAAGAAGAAGATAGAAGAGACAGGAACTGAGCAAATGTCTTCCTTCAAATGTTTTCCTTCGGTAAACATCATATATAATAACCCCCATTTTGGCTGGCAACATGTGATTAAACAGCGGCGAGAATTGGCAACAATGTCATAATCGGCAAACATTGCTAGGAAGAAAGACGGCCATAATAGTAAATGTGACCAGATACTTAGTAATCAAATTGTACCTCTTATGGACCTTGTATGGCGCCTATCCCTATGGCAGATTCGGATGGCGCCTATCCCTATGGCAGATCCGCTTGATGATAGAATGCTGTTGCCTTCCATAAAATAGATGGGCTCATGACGCTTCCTTTAGTAGTAACTAACTACTGTTTATCTTCTGCTCATTTCTATCTAAAGATAGAACAAATACGAGTAAGCTTACCTGGCTGAGACGTGTAAGTCGACAGCTGGGGGCTGAATGCCGGCGGCTGGGGCGTGGATGCCGGCGGCGGCTGGAGAGTTGATGTCGGCAGCTGGGTAGGTAACGCTGTAAGGCAGAGAATCAGTTCAGTTCACAATAAAGTAAGGTCCATCCATTCATTCATTCATAACATTGCAAAATGTGAGGTAGGTTACAGAATCACCTCGCATAATGATTGTAAATTTCTGAATGTTTCCTTCGGTAGCATATCATCCATCAGACCATTTACATGATCTATGTTAAGTATTAAACTGTATGGGGTTCCTGCTTTTTCACCAGGGTCAATTAAGGAAAAGAAGAAAATGTGAAGAAATGAAAATGAAGAGTCCATTTTTGTTCGCCATACCATACCTTGTGTGTTTAGTCATTTGTTCAACCTATATGACCACGTACATTTCATAATGAAGGAAACTTTTTTTATTCGCACGCTCGCCTTAGTTTTGGGGTTCCCAAAGGATGTCATCCATATAATCAAATCAACACGGCCTAGGATATTTTCTTTCTCTATTTGAACACTGTACTGGTTATATTTATGTTAGAAATCGGTAAAATAAATGAACTAACCGTCCGTGAACCACTGTGCGGCGAAGCCAGGTTCCACATAGCTGTAGTCTGAGTGGAAGATGACCGTTAAGGTGTTGGTGGTGGAGTTCAGCTGCGGAGGGATATCAGACCCGCACCACGTGCCCAGGTCAACTGCAGACTCACCCCGACCGTCTAGCACCTTCAGGGAAATAAAGGGGCATCTGTTTAGCCAGAAGAAACCAGTGCCAATTAAATTCTCCAACCTGCAGATTACAAAATAACATGACAAGCACCATCGACCTGTACTTTTTCAATTGTACCCTTGTCCTGCGGGGCCCATATATAAATGGGTTGCACCTACAGTATTATCTATACAGCACCCTGTATTTGTACGATTTGAGGGTGTTTCTTGTGCAACGCATCACACCGCAGCGAAACGCAACAAATGCGGAAGTAACTACCCCACCTGATTAAGACATCAAATTATTTTAAAATACATGTACTGTGTAAAAAAAATGCCAGCAGGACAAGGGCTAATGTTGATTTGTGTGCTTATTGTTGATTTTGTGATGTAAGTATACCTTTTTAAATGACTTCACTGTACCTCACACTGTACACTGTACTTCAATGTACGGGTTTGAGCCGTACATACGGGTTCAAACATCTATGGGTTAGAGCCTTGGAAGACTAACCCAGCAGGGCTAAAAAGTTTCGAAATAATGAAATGAATCAACTGCTACCTTGAGGTAGTCGTAGCTGCAGTCTGAATCAGCCTCCAGGGAAAAGTTGAGAAAAGACAGGTAGACCCGCTGCCGCGGGTCGAGAGTGATGATCCAGACACAGTCCAGGTCATTGTCGTAGTTCTCAGGATGTCCGGGGGACTTCATCATCCCATTCGGTGTGTTTTTAACACCGCCACATTCTGCCTCTGAAACCAGAAATCATTCATGTCAATTTCGCGGGTTCTAGAACACACCCATGCCGTGCTTCAATGTTGTAGTTTTGAGGATGTCCGGGGGACTTCATTTTCCAATTCCGTGTGTTTTTAATTCCGCCACAACCTGACTCTGAAAACAGAAATTATTCATGAACTTCGGGTTCTAGAACACACCCGTGCTTCGTTGTCGTAGTCCTCAGGATGTCCGGGGGACTTCATCATCCCATTCGGTGTGATTTCAACTACACCACAACCTGACTCTGAAACCAGAAGTTATTCGTGAACTTCTTAGGCTCCGAAAAGAGCGTTACCACTTTTATCTATTAGTAACAAAAAGTAGTTTTCTATCCCAGTGTGAATGGATCAAACATTACAATCATGTCTACTGTTTTTTTATTACGCATTGAAACTGTTCATCGACTATGCGAAACAAACGAATGAGGTTTTCAAAGATTATCTAAATTTAAAATCGCGATCCTCCAACAATTTTGGGCCTTCACACTACGTGACTAGTCTCTACGTACATGTATACCAGACTGACTACGAGGTTTGATAGGGATGAAAATTTTCCAGGGGAGTTCGGCTTCCAAAGGGGTTGACCAGGCCCCAAAAGAGGACCTGCAGGGGGGGGGGCTAGATCAATTTCGCATCCACATAGCCTAGCGGCGACCAATGGGTGACCAGCATTCGGGGGGTCCCGACAACGCTCTACGCTGAATTCGGAAACCTCTTGATTACGCTTTACGGTAAATTCCAAGTGGCTACAGCGCATTACGTAGAATTAAAACGGCGATTACGCTCTACGCAAAAATATTAGAGCGGTCTGTCTAGCACGCTCTATGTAGAATTAGAACGGCCTATTACGCTCTACGGAAAAGGGCTTGCGGGCCCCCCTTAAAGCTTCGGGTAGATGCTAACCTTCCCGTGGACATGACACTCTTGGTCCCCTTTTTTGCCAAATTTTGTGATCCGTATACCCCTTGGAAAGGCCTGGTGGAGGCTAACACATTACTATAATTGTGGGAATGAAATACGTACCTTTTTCACAGTGCAGACCTTCATATCCTGCAGTACAGACGCACAGGTACCCGGTGACGAGATCCGTGCAGGCTGCTCCATTCTGGCACGGGTTCGACTCACATTCGTCAACGTCGTCTGGAGGTGAAAAAAAACATTAGATTCTCAGAACCATCCTGGAGAAACAATATGGCATCCTTGTGGAAAGGACATCTACATTTGTATCATCTTTCCCTATGGATATAATTGAGTAAAGAGACTCTTTTATACAACCATTTCTTTCATTCAGGCGACGTTTCGGTAACCACTCATATGTGTCTAGATAATTATGTAAATATTGTACGTTTGGGAATGCATCTATATATAGCAGAGACACCTGTGCTGCAGTACAATGTGAACCAGTCACACTCGAACCTTCCGGCCGGTCCTCAAATGTTTTAAACATTAAAAAAAAGAGATTCTTTATTGACACAACAAAAAAGTACAGGGACTTTTATATGGTCTTCTACAACTTAACTAAAGATCTAACAAGACTAAATATCTTACGTACAGAGTATATGTATGATAAATAATCGGCTGGGACGACTTGTAGCCGAATTCGCCGAACGCCGACCTACTCTTAACCATGGTTGGGGCTCGGGAGGCTAAATTTATGAGTGTGTGACAAGGGCTTAGCGCTAGAGCTTATAGTAATGGCTAAATCTCGTAGGGGGCAACTGAGCACCGCCTGGCCAATTTGATAGTGTCTTTCCCCGAGAGGAATCTGCTTTGAATGTAAGGTCATGTTGATTTTATTATATCGATAACATCCAAGTGCATGTATTTTCGGCCATTTCCAAAAAAAAGTTTTCAGCCATACTGTAAATCGTACAAAAAGTTGCAAAAAGAGCGAATATAAACCGTAAGTTGCAAAACAAGAATATCAGAAATCGATAGCAATGTCGTAGAATGTCGTAAATCAAACGAAAAAGACGAAAATATAAAGAAATGAATTTGAAGAGTGGATTACTCGCCATACCATACTCTGTGTCATTTGTTCAACATTCATGACCACGTAGATTTCTTAATGAAAGCAACGTTTTTGCCAAACCTTTGCTTGCATTAGTTTTGGGGTTCCCAGAAGATGTCATCAATATAATCAAATCAACATGGCCTAATGCATGGTGTACTTACTTCCTATGGACCACTTGGCCAGGAATCCGGGGTACACATACGAATAGTCCGTCTGCAGGACGACGGTCAGGGTGTTGTTAGTGGACGTGATGAGTCCGGGGCGGTCCGTCCCGCACCAGGTCCCCACTTCAACCGAAGAGTTGCCCCGTCCGTCTTGTACCTACAAGGCAAACATAGCAGGTTGAATATGTGTGAACCGAGACGGGGGGTGACACAGGTTATCTGACACGTACTAGTACGACCATCTGCTGCCATCACGTGTTTCCGACGTCACATCGCGGAAGCTGCAGTAGAAGGGTCCATTCCGTGAACAAGGCTGACGGAGTCCCAATTTGATTAGTGTTGGCAAGAACGTTTAACCCTTTTGTCATGTGTTAACCGTGGTAACTTTTTAAATAAAGTATCCTCATCATGGCACTGGTCTTACTTTGTGTATCCTATCTTTTCTTCTTTTAGACATATTGTAGGATAATTGGCTAAGAAAATTTTAGTGGACGTTTTGCATCTGATTGATTTACATGTCTGTACAACATTCAGATTACTTTACCCGTGTACTACCTGAAATAATGGGGGGGGGGTGTTAAGACGTACACCAATAGAAGTAAGACTTAATTTTTTTTTCATATACATTTTGTTACTTTGTGAATCATGATGTCTTTGTTTAAAGGCATCCACTGTAGTTTTACGGCTTGAAAACCCGATTGTCCAAAGCCAACACCCAAGTCTTCTATCTACCTTTCAAGTACCTTAAACTTTTTACCTACAAAACAGAAATAAACAAATACAGACAAGATGGCGATCGAGATACATCGAGCTTACATCAGTGTCATCATCAAACAAGGAAAACATTACAGGCATTCAATGCGATTTCAGGACAGCGAAACGGAAAATATTCTAAATAAGGCAATCTTTATGAAATTGACACATATTGCTTCACATTAGCACATTTGAGTCAGTATTTCATACTTAGGGCATTAATGCAGATAAGTTATCTGATTACGACTACAGGAAAGTATTAAAATATTCTAGAAAAAGGAAAAGGACAAGATAGATTCCACACATTGTTAGTAGTGAGTGGCTCAGAAAATACCTAGCCTCCTGTGCAGGTCCCGCGGCGGTGAAGAAGAGTTTTTAACGCATTATTTTAATATAGCCGGCCATCCTACATAGCCGCCGAGAGAAGGTTCCATTCCGTAGGCAGAATGGAACCTTCTCTCGGCGGCTATGTAGGATGGCCGGCAATATTAAGATAAAACTATTCCCCACCGCCGCGGGGCCTGCACAGGAGGCTAGAAAATACCAGAGTCTGAAAGTCGTTCGATAAGATTGAAAATTGCGTTAGTAGTGAGTGGCTCAGAAAATACCAGAGAGTATGACAGTCGTTTGATAAGATTGAAAACTGATATCTGTTTGTTTTGGACCCAAAACGTATTATGTTCACATTAATATATATAGACGCATATACTACCTTGACGGAGTCGTATCTACAGGTAGAATGAGGTTCCACTGAAAAGATGAAGAATGAGAGGAAGATCCGTTCTTCAGGGTCCACAGTGATGATCCAGACACAGTTCAGGTCATTTTCATAGTCCTGAGGATGTCCCGGGGTCTTCAGGGTTCCGTTTGGGGCATTTAGGAAGCCGCCGCAACCTGTGCGGGAGAGAACAGTGCATGTGCACATTGATATGGCGTCATTCCCAGCTGTGCCTTGTCGCCATATTGAATTTTCGCGCGGCGCGCAATGATTGCTGGGAAATTCTCGATCTCCCACGCATATTCTCGCGAGAATATCGCGGCGGGATCAAAGTAAACGAACGTTGCTGGATGAATCTAAAGCTGTCAGACATGTCATCACGTTATTATTGTCAGTTGGATGCTGATAATTATGTATATTGTTTCATGAAATAAAGTTGAAATTGTTTTTTGTGGAATGTGTGGAAAGAATCTCATAACTAGAAAGGTAACATTTGCATTATGTTTACCTTCACATGGCCCAGCGTAACAAACTACTACTTTGTCTGTAATATTCTTACTCGAACACATTCATATAAACCATATACACCAGTTTTGCATGGTACTTGCAACATCATGTAACCCAACACCAGTCCCCATGGTGATAGACGTCTGGTTCAGGTTATAGACCTTCTTTGTTTGGAGCGGAAGAAGAAGAAACTGAGTAGAAACAATTTGTTTTCCTACGGTAGACATGATTACTTGTAGACAACTTTGTCAGTCACCTAATGCAGTTGACTGGAAAGTCTTTAAAACTCCGACCGTTATAGAAACATAGTTTCAAAAAAACCATGAAGTCATTACCGTTTTCGCAATGCACGCCGTTATTTCCAGGTGCACAGACGCACGTGTACCCGTTGACTTGATCCTTACAGGGTGCTCCATTCTGACAGGGGTTAGACTCACACTCGTCAATGTCTGAGGGTAGAACAGATGTGGATTATCAGAACCATCGGCGTGAGAGAAAATTCTAGTATCTCTACATTGAATATGGTAGAGTCGGCTATTCAACCGGTAGAGATTCCGTTTGAGGATTTGAATTTTGAAATAATAGCTTGAAAGACAGTATACGTATTTTAATACTGTCTTTTAAAATGAACTTTCCAACTTTGATTCGTAATCAACGGATTGACTTGAAATGTAGGATTTGTAAATGGGTAGCCAAGTAACTTATTAACACCATCCTGATCGGGGTCTCAAATCTACTCTACCAGTAGATTCGCCAATGCCTTCAGATCGGAGTCTCTACCCTGCACACACACACACACACACACATACACGTACACACACACATACACACACACACACACAGACACACACTCACACACACACACACAACACGCCACACACACACACACAAACACACACACACAATTGTGCACAAACACACAGACACATGTACATACCATTCATGTTATAGCAAAGAGGAGACTCACTTTAAAAATTATTCTCAACGGGAGCTGCAACTAATAAGACAACAAAATGTAACACCACACACTTGGTCTGACAAGATAACAAATAATAGAATATAAATAAAGAAAAATAGAGATTGACTGTAACGTCCTGACCGAATTCGCAGTTCAGTCCTCCGTAGCCTGGTGCGCAGGTGCAGTTGTACCCTCCGTCACCATCCCTGCAGGTGGCCCCGTGTTGACAGGGATCTGCTTCACACGTTATGTCTGCGAAAGATAAAAATATCCATATATTACTCCCTGTAAAGCATTCAATAATTTGGCCTGAAGCTATTCTTCAAGACAAAAACAAACTACTCTTCTCTTAACATCCGAAAACCCACACATTACAGAAAAAGCGGGATCTTTTATCTTCCTCTGACTCCAAAAAAGACGTCACACCCAGTGGTTGTTAGGAGTTACGGTTACTGTAGCTTTAATTTATTGTGTCTAGTTCAGTATTACTTGATTGTGCATGAGCTTGCAATGAAACAATTGCTATCGGACACTATGGTTAGGAGTAGGTTGGGAGGAAGGTCGGCTGGTATCGGCCATGTCAGCCACTGTTTTCTACGGCAGCCGAATGTTTCCAAAATCTTTCAAATACTCGAGTGTGGACAGGCGGTTTGGCCGTGGTTAGCTTGTGGTTGGCTGATGTTTGGGAGTAAGTGAGCGTGTGGTTGGCATTCACAATTTACTCAAATTTAACTCGAATTCCATTCGATTTGCATCGTATCGTACTCGTAGGCGTTGCCTGAATCTCTACCTTGGTCGGCTGATGTTCGGGGGAAGGTTCTGAATGTGTCACAGGGCAGATACCTCCGTTATGTCTGGTCTTTGAAGTTCATGGTTAAATACACTAAAAAGGGCCTCGTGAAGGTACTTTCCAACATTTTAGCTTCAAAAATTCTTGTGTACCAGAACGTCACAAGGGTCTTCCTCCCAAATAGACAAAGAAAACAGTTGACCAGCTCAAACTGCGAGAACAGCAAATATCTGCGTTCAACTATACGGCTGTGAACCTGGTTGCCCTGTAGGCGCATTTGTGTGTGTATTAAATAATTGGATTTGAGTTCCTGTTTTTCTTTTGTTCAATATTACAATAACAGTACATCTATCTATTTCATATCTATGGATCTATCAATTTCACCTGATGCGATTCCGTAGAGGTCCAGCTCTTTAAGCCACGGCTGCCAGCCCGAGTGGGTACGATTGACGACGAATCGCCAGTACTGGGCTGTCCCCTGGAACCCGCCGAACTCCTGGCGCTGGCCTGTTCCGTTCTGTACGTCTTCAACGAACACGACGTCTCTCCAGTAAAAGGGACTCCCAGTCAGCGACTTCTGCAGCTTGAAAGCGTGGATGTCGTGTGAGGTGTCCCCGAAGTTGTTGACTGCGAGCCGGTACAGAGCATACGGCTCTGTGAGATTGAGTACGATGTACCAGTTGTTGTACAGGTAGTTTGTGGGTTCGGTTTGTGGGTTCCAGTAGGTTCCAGTGTTCCCGTCCAGGGCGTTAGCGGCATCGTATGTCACCCCGTTGAACACGTGCGGAGTACCGGCGGAGTCCACCACCCACGACGGTTCCCGCGTCAGCCACGTAGCTGGAGAACACAGTGTAAAATTAGAAAGGTAACATTTGCAAAGCAAATGCACAATGTTTACCTTGAAGTTCGCATATGGTCTACTCTGTTAGTTCTTACTCAAATAAATTCATATTATATGGTCAGACAGGAGTCTAAATCCCTCCTGCTATAAAATTGCAACATGATGTAACCCAATTTTCGGCAGATAAAGAACGATTTTTGTACGTTTTTGTGTTTCTTTATCTTTCACATCATACAGTTACATCTCACATCAAATTCTATGATAACTATGATATCAAGGGTCATACAAATCCATTGTTGGTCGCTGTACGGTCGCGAAGTGACCTTTGCCTAGTGAAACTGGCAGTCAGAATCAACGGTCGCTCAACGGCCTAGATTTAGAATGTCTCACCTGCAAGTTTGTAGACGTGATTTGACCACGACCCGCCCTCGCCGTCCTCGCCACAATCCGAGGACGCCCCGTACTTGTTGTAGGTGTCGAGGGTAGCCGAGCCGAAACACTGCCCGCCGTTCTGCACTGCGAACAGGGCGAGCCCACGGGACAGCGCCACCTTGTAGCACTTCTTTATGGCGTTGGCGCGCGCCTGATAGCCACTGCCGTCTAGCCGTGGGTCCGTGCCCTCCAGGATCGGGATGGCGTGGTCAGACGTGTCCCTCCAACAACCCAGACTGGTGTACTCACGGCTTCCGCTTTCTGTATGGAAAAAGTGGATGTGGATGTACCAATGTGTCACATTTTCAAACCGGGGTCCGGCCGGGCTGTTTCAAATCAAGAAAGATCAACAATTTATGTCAAGAATATATTACGCAAATAGTTCCCATCATTCATCAAGAACTCAGAAGGTACAGAGTCAGAGTCAGTTACAACATAAATTATAACTGAACATAATATACTTTTCGTTCCATACGTTTGTCCGACCGGGCCCCGTTTGGAAATGGAACTTCAACATCATAAGGTAAAAGCAAAAGTAGTCTCATAGTCTTTTTGAGGCCATAGGGGCATTGGGTTGGTGTGAAATGAGTACCGGGCTTCGGCTAGTGAGGTAAAAAGTTGTTAAAGGAGAGGGTTTGGCTCCGCCTTTCAATACCGTGCCCTTCAACAACCTTTTACCGAACTAGCCGAAGCCCGGTACCCATTTCACACCAAAGTAGAGTGGGAAAAGCAATGAAAAGGACACAACGTCTAGCCAGAGATACCAGGAATCGAACCCGCAACCTCTCTATCCCATGTCCGCTAGTCTAGTCAATGGGCCTTCGATGCCGCCAGCATAAAATACACCAACCTGACAGGATCCGATCATAGATGTTGCCGATCGCTGCATAGGATTTCTGCTGTGCAGAGCAGAGCCTGTTTTTCAAGGAGCAGGATCTCCAGGTGTTGTATTGGAACGACAGACATGTGGAGTCTGCACAGCAGGCTTCTGCGCAGGCCTGGAGAGTAACGCCATGGAGTGTGCTTGTGTCTGACCCGGTACAGTCCTTTAGCGGGTGATGGATAAATGTCGATAAGCCACACGTTTCTGAAACACGTGCACACAGAGATCTTCATGAAATATCATCTGTGTTGGTAGTAATCATATTAAAACGTTAAACTTTATTTCAACACACAGTTTACAGAGAGATCAAATTTTCAGCGACCACTGTCGCCTTCATCAGGATAATTAATGACCAAACACTTCACAACGTGATCTCGCGAGAGTTACGGTTTACAAACACGAGACCTTATTCACACGAGACTTTACTGATACCTGACGTAAGCAATTGATCAAAAGTGCCAGGGAGTTTATATCGTCCACCATCTCTATTAAGTGAAGGCTGGAGTGCTCTGATACACATGGCTTCCTTGATGCCTCTTTAAAAGTAGGCATGATGAAGGCGACAGTGGTCGCTGAAAATTTGATCTCTCTGTAAATTGTGTGTTGGAATAAAGTTCAACGTTTTACCACATAGAGATCTTTATTGATATAAACAAAATACAGCATCCCTCAAAAGGTCTTCTACTAATCTCTTAGCAAATCATACGGTGGCAAGGCAGTATCCATTGGCCAGAGGAGTGACCTTTGACCGAAGATCTGCTGGCAAACAAAACATTCAAATGCTTTTTGGTTTTGGAGAAATTGTATCAAACGCCTTTAAAGCTTCGAGTCATTGAATTGAAATAACCCTCACCTGTTTCAGCTGCAGTTGAACTGACATAACCCTCACCTGTTTCAGCTGCAGTTGAACTGACATAACCCTCACCTGTTTCAGGTACAGTTGAACTGACATAACCCTCACCTGTTTCAGCTACAGTTGAACTGACATAACCCTCACCTGTTTCAGCTACAGTTGAACTGACATAACCCTCACCTGTTTCAGCTACAGTTGAACTGACATAACCCTCACCTGTTTCAGCTACAGTTGAACTGACATAACCCTCACCTGTTTCAGCTGCAGTTGAACTGACATAACCCTCACCTGTTTCAGCTGCAGTTGAACTGACATAACCCTCACCTGTTTCAGCTACAGTTGAACTGACATAACCCTCACCTGTTTCAGCTGCAGTTGAACTGACATGAACAAGCATCAGCAGCTGGAAGATCATCATGCCTGCCCACATCGTTGTTTTTCTGTGAATACCGACAACATACGTTTAATTTCCTGACGGAGACATTTATCGTTTTGTAGGTCAGCCATCGCCAGCTTAGTCTGTCTGCACTGAACCAAACAATGGCGTGCATCATGAATAAATATAAATTTAAATCCTTAGTTTCTAAAAACAAGATTTATTACTGCTGGTTAAGTAAAGTTAATCATCATCATCATGTCATGTCTGGCTATTTGCACGGACTGAGTTGACCCTCTCCCTCCAGACAATTCTATCCGCCATTAAAGAGAAATATACCATGAAATGTGACAAATTCCGTTGAGCAAACGGAATGAAGGTTGAACAGCTTTGTAAGTTTATCATTATAGAGAATTGTAACAGATACAGTGCATGTGGCAAGTCCTTGAGCAATACTATGTAAAAAGGATAATATCTAGGTCATTAGAATGCTAAGGGCTAAAACTTAACACCACGCTATTTGAGTGATACATTGTTTACAACTTAAATGTACTTTTATTACGTAAAATATGTACATATGCTTCAGTAGGACTGGTAACACGTCGGAGATGAAATGCGTCTACGTCTTTGACTTTACAACACATAGCAACACCTAGCTGAATATGGAACCGAACACTGCTGAACTCCTCCCAACAATGATTCAGAGTAGGTCGGAGGCAAGGCCGGCTGTGGTTGGATGGTGCTTGACGAGTTTGAAAATTATTCGGCTGCACCGGCCAAAAGTTTCAAAATGTTTCAAACATTCGGGAGTGGAGGGAGGTTGGTACATGGTCGGGGACTGGTTTGCTGGTAGTTGGGAGTAGGTCAGCAGTACGTGATCGGTGCGTCTTCGTCGGTAAAAGTTGACTCAAATACAACTCAAATTTGATTTAATTCGTATCAAAAGTTAGGCGTGACTGCTTCCAAACTTCGTCCTCGGTGGCCTTTTTTCATTAGTTGGTGGTCAGCAAAGGTTCAGAAAGGTGTGGAAGGCGTATAGTAAATTGTATGTAATCCTTCTTCATACCAATGAAAAGTGATGGTAAATTGTTGGTAAAACGTTAACAGCCTGCTGTCCAGTCTATCGTGGTTATGGCGGGTTCTCTTCGGGGCTACAGGAGATCTTCCCCGCCCGACTCAGCTAGGTTCCCCGGTAGGTTCAAGTTGCACTACTGAAGTTCGATTATGTTGTGGTGGGTCTGACTCCTGGCCTACAAACAACTACATATAGCAAAGCTCCCACCGGGCGGTCAGTTGAGCTGGGCGTGGGGAAACTATTAGAGCCCCGAAGAACCACGATAGACTAGAGACCAGGCTAGGGGTCAAGGGTAATAAACGGAATAAGGGGCTGGGAATATCACGAAAAACTTAAAAGCATCCAATGCCATTTCTGGGCAGCAAAACTGGAAATATTCTGAATAAGGCAATCTTTGTTATATTTACGCATACTGCTTCACATTAGCTCATTTGGGTCAGCATTTTATACTTTGCGCATTTAAAACTGCAGAACCAAGCCCGAAAATGAGTCCTATTTTCTGGGCGGTAACATAAAAATCAGCCCAGGGCCTTTTCAATAACCACTTTTCGTCAGAGTTTTCGGAATTTTTGCTCCATGAGGGTCAATATATATTGGGACAGTGTGGTTTCATCTCACTATTTAGATAAATAACTAGAACATTGTACATGTCTTTAAAAAATTGGTTTCCAAGCACTAAAAACTGCACTTGATGCCTTTAATTGTACCTACATTATGAACGTGGGTGTGTAGCTTGCAAACTTAGTGATCATTTGGGACGTTCTGAATAGGCCAAGTCCACTCGTTTCTCTTGAACAGATAAAGAACTCTTTGAAAATCAATGCTTACAACTATGAATGCAAACTTACGTTCGGATATATCTGGCCTAGTAAAACCAGTCATATACCTGCACCTGTACCTAGTGTCTTACTAGAAAAACGTTTAGCTACATCATATTTGATATTTGAATCTTCAATGTATGATTATTTGTAAAGAGACCTAGGCCTGTGCTACTGCATCTATGTATCTCTTGATCTGACACGACCTGTCCACACCTGGATCGTGGATAAATTATAGGGTACCTGACAGCCATGCCGGCGGCTAGATGTAAACAAACCTCGTCGCCATGGCGACAGAAACAACACTAGATAGAATGTCCCGGACACCTGCCGTGCACTCATGTGCAAAACTCTGTGATATTAGCCTTATTGTGAAGTCAAATTATGAGCAATTCTTTGAATCTTTCATTTCTAGTTTTGTTATTAGTACAATAAACCGTTCGGTATATTGTATGATAGCTTTCTTAGTTCCTCTTTCTGGAGAAATCCAAAGTGTCATCACGCTTGACGTAACAATTAACCTAAGAAAGGAACGTGTTGGATTAAGAGACACAAAAGGTCACTTATGTACCGCCTGACTAATCCTTGATATGTATCACATCGTGCGTCATTCGGCGTCCATATAAAGGGAAAGTTGGGCCACACTGGCTTAATTTCATGGATGGCATCCTCTGAAGATCCCCAAACTAGTGCGAGCGGGCTAATAAAAAAAATCCAGGAAAACATTGCTGATAAACCACAGTAATACAAAGCTGGTATTGCGAATTAACGGTAGTACATGTACTAACTACATAGCGACTTTTACGACAACCCGGCACATGCTGGCCTTTTGTGGCATTTATAAGTAGGCACTGTACTAGTTTCTTGAGTTTCATAGAGCTTCGGCAGCCTGGGTGCATCCTCCATAGTTACAGTCTGGTCTCAGGTTTGACATCTTTGAAGAGGTGATAGTCACCTGTTATGTCAATCCTTCCACTAATGTGGTAAATCTTCATAAATAAATAAAATCAAGTCAATGTGGCCTTACTATATATGATCATTAATATGAGTAATGAACGTAACAAATACTTATCATGAAATATGGCACAAACGAATTCATGGACACTGGCTTCAAAACACCTTTCCGGTACATTTTGTTACAATCGAAATGGCCATGGTGTGTCTTACGGCAAGGTTAAAGGCATCGATATCCAATGCAATTTCTCTACAGCAAAACAAAAAACAGAAAATCTCTCTGTCTCGACATTTACTGCCAATTCTTTTAGCCCCAAACCAGGCTTCGCGATGAGTCCCTTTATTTTTGGTACCACCAATAAATAGCTAGAACCAGCCAGTGTTTTCCGTCAGCGACTTTGCATTTTTGCCACACAGATATCAGTATGCTATGGGATAAGGTTGATTTAACTTACTACATTAAAATAGATAACCAGAAAAAAATCCATTTCTACTGACCTAAGTTAATGTGTACCTTTAACATTAGGTGTTTCTATCTGGTGATAGTGGGTCCAGGACTCCAGTTAGAACGACACATTTTCTGAGGACCATTATGTCGTCTTTTAATGAATCATTGTACATTTTTTACCCTCTGGGCTAAATACATGTCACATGTTGACAAACGTGTATATACAAATTTCTAGTATACTCTAGTACATTCCACTTCCTCTCATATCCTAGTGATAGTCTACATATACGTAGGAGTCTGTATGATTAGTTGGTTTGTCGAAAGCTATAAGGAATATAAATTTGTCTGTACTATTCAAATATTTGAAGTGGGGGAATTTACTTGACAAATAACTGAAAAGACTCATACTAAGGGCAATCAATGGTAAAATGACTAAAATGAACTCCGTCTTCTACTTTACCCTTAACTACAAAATTGGCAGATTCTTGATGCCAAATAACACGACGGGAGTCAATTAACACTGGTGACCTTTCAATAATACATCAATCAGCACCCATGTCAAAAGCTGTACTAAGAAGTCCCGTCTTTTAGTGCACGACAACATGATTGGTATGCATTTTACAAAATATTTGCCGATTACTTTTCACTTCTGTAGACTTTAAGCTTTTGTTTATTTTTTGGGGGGATAGAATGAATCTGGTCTGTTGTATTTGTATCAATTTTACTGACGAGGAGTCGAAATAAACAATACACAGTCTTATACACCTGCATACCATACCATAAACATTCTGTGTAGACATACATTTATACCTTTGTGTCATAAACACGGGTTGTCGCAAGATTTTTTTATATTCCAACATGTAATCACCAGGCGTGGTGACGGCACACTCAAGTTTGTCCAACTTATATTAATACCGCCACCAACACAGGGGACAATACAATACTTATTTTCACCTGAGCGAAGTGAAGAAAGTCGTGTAAAAGTACGTTTCCCAAGGGCACAAGATCGGTGGCATGTCAGTACTCGAACCTGGGACCTCTTGGTTCCGAGTCGAGCACTCTGCCGTTACCCCACGCGACCCCGCACGATTTTGATTCAGTAGATGATTTTCTACCACTGCAGACAATGATTTTGGACAGCCCTCTCTAATCAGTTTGAGGCCTCGGCTTATTTTTACTTTTTAGAGCATTTTAACAGGTTTTCTTTTTTATATTTGTCTCTTTTTACGGGTAGCGGTCAATTGGTAACTGCCTGGCAATGGAAACTGCCTGGCCAATTTGATACTGCTCTTGCAGCCACCAAAACATCTGCTTGGAGATTACTAGTTCCAAGACAGCCTTTTCCGAAACGAGACTGAATTTTGTAAGACACATCCATGGATCTATTTCAAGAATCTCCCCAATTTGAGACGTAACGGTTACTTTAACATGACGACGAATGATCGAGTCAATACTGTGATATTGGCAACAACAACAATTCTACAATAGCAATTCTACAATAAATGCAGACACAAAACCAAGAAGGTTGAATCTCCTTACACAACCGAGAACAGACAGACCATGCCGACAAGATTGCGATCACGCCCCGATTCACGTGCTACAAACAGTTTTTATCTATATGCACGTAGTACGAACAGAATTCAACATAGAAAAAAAGTGGCTACATTCGTCGTCGTACGTTTTTTGAAGCCAGCCGAAGAATGATCAAGCATGCTGTGACAGAACCAACCTCCCGCACAGTCGTTTCTGTAGCAGGATAGCTGAATTTTGTTGGACTCGTGCCCTCGATCCGTTTTGCGATCGCACGACGACCGTACGACCATCACACAACGTACGTGAACATAGCCTCCTTCGAAGACTTGTCAGGCGGCGGCGTTGATTTTTTTCGGGGAGCGATGCGAGTTACTAGTATGCCGCGGAGGGACGGTTTTGCTGCCGATGGAGTTTTGCTGGGGAGAGACGGTTTCGGAAAAAAAAAAGTCCCTCTGTGGTCGCGTCGCTCCCCGAATAAAATTACGCCACCTCACAAGTCTGCGAAGGAGGCTACCTGAACGGGCCTAGATCCTTCGTCACAGTCACGATAATGGCCAGAACACATGCTATGTACTACCGTAACAAAATTAGTCTCCTTCGCAGACTTCTGAGGTGGCGGCGTTATTTTTTTTTCGGTGAACGACGCAAGTTATGCCGCGGAGAGACGGTTTCCTCAGTTCGCCTCTCTCCCCGGCTAAGTCCCTCGGCGGCATAACTCGCGTCGCTCCCCGAAAAAAATAACGCCGCCGCCTCAGAAGTCTGCGAAGCAGGCTATAACAAAAGGACGTACGATACATGTTCCAGAGAAGCCATATCGCTGCAATGCAGAATGTTTTGAACGTCACTTGATACAAACAACATGACAAAATCCTACCTGTCTCTCTGATCCACGTTCCGAGTGATTCCCATGTGTCCACAGACGTTCCAACATCGACCAGTGATCACATCCAGTGTTGAAACATATCCGTTGGCTCCTTCAAAACAACTTCGCGTACAAACGAATCAACACAGTCAAGAGTTGGACGGAATCATATAAAAAAGCCACCATCCAGTGGCGGTGAAGAAAACAAACCAGCCCCGTTCTGCCCAGGGGGTCCTGACGACTACCGGAGTAGTAATTACCGAGTTGGAAGAGCTCGGACCGGTTTTCTAGTAACTGATAGTTGTCTGGCATTGTTTTCGTCATTTCCGTAAGTTGGTAAATGTGATAAACAAGGTTCTTAGGACAAAAGAGCTCAGAGACTACTACAAAATTTTGCAAAGGCTGGATATTTTGTCTTCCATATATATTTCCAAGAAGTATTAGGGCTCAAAATTCCACCTGCATATATATGCAGGTTAGTGCATGTACTCGTAACACTGGAGCTGTGCAAGTAACTCTTATGTCTTAGGTCATTTTTCATGTTACCTTGTAGGTATGCTGAAAAGGGATTTCTAGCCATGAATTTGAAACTTTTACGTTTCAAATTCAATTTTGAAAGTCCTCTTTAAAAAGAGAACATTCAAAATGATTGTCTAATCTCAAAGTAAGTACAATTCTATATCTAAACCTAGCTCCAATACACCTATTTCTGCTTTATAATTATTCTTTTCACTTTTTGAAATAGTTCATAGATCAATCGGACCAATCAACCAACAACCTGCCGAATTAACGTCTATATAGTTCAATGCTAAAAGATCTAGACGCTCAACAATGGCTTATACTTGAACTATATTTCGTTGCTTTTTGGCCATCTTGGATCACAGCAATACAGTTTTAAAATTGCAATTAATTAAAACAAACAAGAAACGTTAGAATTACACTGTAAATGTAACAAAAAGTGACTAATGTCTTCACATGGGTGACCACAGGAACAGGCTGGACTTGAAACTAAATTACGAGAGAATAGGCTTTGGTTTAGACTGTGTGTACCGAGCCGAAAACAAACGTGTAAGTCATGCTTTCTTGCGAACGTTCCTCCTGGCAATAGAAAATTTTATTGCTCGACAACTTTACCGGGTACAGTGTATGGTAAGTGAACAATTGTTATCATCTTACATGTCTAACAGACAAATCTACAATAACAAGGATGACACTCAAATTATACTAATGCTCTAATAGCTCGTAAATAATATGTTCGATTTTTTTCTGTGTGCTGTATTAAAAATACATAACATCGTCTCGCTAGCAGAGAACTATATACAAATTGGCCTGATTGGTATGATGATATATGATATATGATCATAACACATATGATCATCGTATCCAAGCCTGTAAACAGCTAAGGCCACACCGTCTTAATTTTATGGATGACATCCTCTGAAGACCCTCAAACTAGTGCACGCGGGCGGATGAAAAAAAATTCCAGCCAAAGATGAAAATGCTACTTTTACACCACGGAGCTTTTATCACTCCTTGGGAAAACAAAGCTGGTATTGTGAATTTGCCACGTACACGACAAGCCGGCACATGCTGGTTTTTGCGGAATTTATGAATCGGCACTGTACGTATGTACTGAGTTCTTGAGTCGTGGAGCCTGGGTGCCCGGCTCCGTATTGTCGCTAACTACCCAGGTCTAGAGCCAGGCCTAGAGCCAGGCCAGAGCCTCGGTGGACGTGATTTTTTTTTTTTTTTTTTTTTTTAGAACAGGCAAAAATCAAAGCGCGCGCGGATGTCATCCATAAATTAATTCGGTGTGGCCTAACAAATCCAGGTGATATCTAAGCACATACAGCAGGTGGAATCTTTTCAACCTGTCGCTTCGCTACTCTTTCATTTTCCTGGCTAATTACCTGAAAATAATCGCGCTTTCTCCTCTGTAAACAAAGAATGGCTCGGTGAGAAAGATAATCACAAGATAACGTCACAAAGTGTGTCATCATTCTATCTTGTGAGTCTAGTTAATTAAATGGGAGCTGATCAGCACGCTCTAGTTCTTTTATATACGCACAGTCCGCAGTTTGGCTCAAGTCCCTGTCACACATATATAAAAAAATCCCCTACAACCAAAGGTTTTTTCCATTCCGTCCTAAGGCCATGGTGATTTGATTATGTGGATGACATCCTCTGGGAACCCCAAAACTGATGCGAGCGTGCGAATAAAAAAAGTTTGGCCAAAAAGAAAAAGTTGTTTTCATTATGAAATCTACGTGGTTACGAAGGTTGAACAAATGACACAGAATATGATATGGCAATAGTCTACGCTTCAAATTTATTTCTTTACATTTTCGTCTTTTTCGATTGATTTTGGCATTCTGGCATTCCTCCTTATAATCAAATCAATATGGCCAAATGATATTGAAGACGAACATTCTATTATGGATTGTCCACTATATGATGATAAATGTACAAAGCTGTTCAACATTCTTTCTGCTTGCTTAACGGAATTTGTTACATTCCATGCCATAGATAAATTCTATTTCATTCTAGAACCCTTACGGTGTACAAATAGGTAAATGTATGAAAGCATGCTAAGATCTAAGAGCAAGTAGTATAAGTTGATTCATCTATTAATTTTGTTGTACCCACGTATCTGTCTATATGTCTACATGTAGTTAACTTGAAAGTCGTACAAAGCGATGCAAACAGGCGTTCAAAGCCTCACATCTACTTGGAGATGACGTCAGTGGAGGTCAGTGCACTCCCTTGCCACCCGTAAGGCCACAGTAAGTAAATTTCATGGATGACATCGTTCGCAGACTCCAAATCTAATGCGATAGGGCAAAAAAAACAAGGCGGGCCAAAAAAAGATTCCTACAATTTCAAATTTTGACATCATGAACCTTATTAAACAAGAAATGATACCAGTCCTATTTTGTGTTAAGCTTATTGCCAACTATTACAACATTCATTTCTTTATAATAAACAACTTTTAAAAATAAAAGTTTTTAATCATTGCATAAATGGTTTTGATTCAATGGGAACATCACATATACACAGCCACCATCACATATATAAGGATTGAAATACATCACTGCATCAAAGTAACAGACAAAACAATAAGTCAGAGCTTTGTCTTGTCTCCTCTCTTCATAGTTATCTGCCACCCACGTTCCGGCATGACAACAGACATCAGTGCACATTTTCGGCATGTTGACCATTTTCAGAAGGCAACAAAATTTCTTTTTTTTTTCCAAAATCAGGCGAAAATTAATGCGTGCGCTGATGTCATCCATAAAAATTACTTGTTGTAGCCTAACAGCTAATAACACAGTACATTTGTACAAAGGCATACCGAACTATCTAGGACCAAAGGGTATGCCAACAACAATATCACACGGTAGTACATAAAAGAGGGGCTTTTTGACCCCAAAGTGGACTTAATAATGTTGTTTACCCCTGAGGTTAATCAAATTCGACTTTATCAGTATTTGACTGACACGTGCGATCTGTTGCCATGGTAACGGACGTATGAGTGGAGTTATATATAGACTATGAACTGTTGTGGTATGTGTGACCTGACCACATTACGCGGCCAGAAAAAAATAACAGAACAGAGCTCTTTGCAGGCCACTTCCTTAATTAGTTGCTACACTGTAAAAGTTTAGATGGTGGAACGGCCGTCTCTTAGTCAATCGGCTGTTTGACAATATGCTCTGCTAGCTTAGTACAGTATACGCCAATGATGTCGTCACTGTGTTATATTTGGTCTTCTGTAATTGTGCTCGATTTTTGAGGCAGTTTTGTTCGACATTTCTTTTTAGAAAAAGGAGCTGTTTCTATCGAAACTTGATAAATCTACGGCGCAAACAACAGACTGAGATGCTAGTCTGAAAGTAAATATCGTTCCGGACCTTGGTCTTACTTTGTTACTGACGCGTACGCTTGGCCATGGGGTCGCCGCTTATCAGAGATTGGAGGCGACGTGTGCTTGGATGGTTGAGCTGAGATCGGTGGTACATGTAGCAGTGTTCTGATTTGGGACAGTGTGTACTTGGATAATTCAGAGATCGGTGGTACTTGAAGCAGTGTTCAGATTGCAGGAAACAGCCAAAGATCGGTGGTACATGTAGCAGTGTTCAGATTGGAGGAAATAGCAATTCAAAGATCGGGTGGTACTTGACGCAGTGTTCAGATTGGAGACGACGTGTACTTGGATAGCTCACAGATCGGTGGTACATACTCGTAGCAGTGTTTAGATTGGAGTCAACGTGTGCTTAGATAATTGAGAGATCGGCGGTACATTTAGCAGTGTTCAGTTTGGAGACAGCAAGTACATGGATAATTCAGAGATCGGTACCGGTGGTACTTGAAGCAGTTTTCCGATTGGAGACCGTGTACTTGGATAAATCAGAGATCGGTGGTATACGTACATGTAGCAGTGTTCAGATTGGAGACAACGTGTGCTTGATTCAGAGATCGGTGGTACATGTACTAGTCTTCAGATAGGAGGAAACAGCCAAAAATTGGTGGTACTTGACGCAGTGTTTAGATTGGAGACAACGTGTAGAGATCGGTGGTACATGTATCAGTGTTCAGATTGGGGACAACGTGTACTTGGATTATTCAGAAATCGGTGGTACATGTACTAGTCTTCAGATAGGAGGAAACAGCCAAAAATCGGTGGTACTTGAAGCAGTGTTTAGATTGGAGACAACGTATAGAGATCGGTGGTACATGTACCAGTCTTCAGTATTATGGCGTCTGCTGCTATGTTGGACAGACTTTGGCAGGCCGTGGAGCGGGGTGACGGTGAGCGGGTACGGGACCTGTGCGCCAGGGGACGGCTGGACGTGAACGGGGTCCATTCTCCCGGCGACCGGGACGGACTGGGGTGTGAGGACACGCTACTGTGCAGGGCCGCCGAACTCGGGCATATCAACATAGGTTTGTTGTTTTCTTCAACCCCTAATGCTGAAGTCACATTTCCAAACTGGGGCCCTACCGGGCTGTTTCGATTAACGAAAAATCAATAATGTTTACCAGTTATATATTACGCAAATATGTTCATTAAGATTTAGTCAATGTTTTGTGCTTTGCTACCTCATACTTTTCGTTCCACAAGCCAGCCAGACCAGGCTCCGCTTTGGAACTGTGACCTTAGTGTCTAGATTTTATTTAAGAGGAACGAAAAGGCGATATGTTCTTAACAGTTGACATGCCTTTAGCCTACCAGGCGAAGATATATAGAAAGACATACATGTACATACTAGTTACACTTTCTAGATCCAACCATTTATGATGGTGAAATTTCTCCTCTAGCGTAAGGAATGATTTCATTTCTAGTATAAATCATACTGCTACAACGACGTAGCATGGGCTAGTACTTGGGGGGGGGGGTACATACATATGCGGTAAATAGAAATTTGAGGACGTCGAACTTTCGCCGATTCCAATCGTGCAAACACTGATTTCAATCACACAATTACAAGGATTGGTGCGTTTGTTCCGTTATCTGCATTTAGCCGTCAGTCATCAGGGCTGGAAATACTGGGTGCATGTGCACCTTTAATAGTTCACCAAAATTTGGAGCTGTGCACCCAATTTTTTCTGTGCATCCAAATATTTTCGTAGGTTTACGTATGTAGAGATGTTCAATGTATATAAAGCAAATTCTTAAGTTAATAATGACCAACAAATTGTCAGAAAAATAGTTTAGAAACGAAACGTAGTTAGTTTTTGCAGACATTCTACTTATTTAACATCTTATCTTATATGATGCACCCCTCAAAAAAATTCTGTGCACCCAATTTTTTTGCTTGGACGCACCAGTGCACCCATTCCCAAAAATGAATTTCCAGCCCTGGTCATGAATTTTCATTGTGGTTTCGTTTGATTTTTACTTCCGGGACGGAAGTCTTGTTATGGGTGCCCCAGTGCAGGTTTTTGTGTATCTGTCCAAGTGGCAACGTACGGTTTTGTGGAGGGTGGTAGGTGATTTGGGCAGTTGATGTACAGGGAGGTTAAGTGTTAAGGTGGCCCAGCACACACAGGGCTGGTAAGTGCGCGGTGTATGGAGGAATTCAGGATGTGGTGTGATACCCGATTTAATTACATCATACTATACGCTCACGAAAACACAAAACACTTCCAGGTGGTCTGGGAACGTCAAGGTTACGAAAACCCCAAATCCATGTACTTGACTGAAATATTGTCTGAAATCTTCGCGTTTTCTTGTTTTCTTTTCTATCTGCAGTGAAAACGTTGGTTTCAGCCGGTGCGAAGGTAGATCAACCAAGTGTGGTGGGCACCCCGCTATCCAGGGCCATCTCTAGAGGACAACTCGCGACGGCCAAGTTTCTCTTACAGGGCCTGCGAGCCGATCCAAACGCCCGGGACAGGTGTGGACACTCCCCGCTCTACAGCGCCGTTGCCCTGCGGTGGTCGGCTCCGTACGTCCGCCTGCTGGTGGACCACGGGGCCGACGTGAACGGTAGATGCCCGTCGGGGTCGTCGCCTCTCCACTGGGCTATCGTGGGGAAAGACCGAGACACGGTGGAGATACTGATCAAGCACGGCGCGGATGTGGAAAGTGTTGGATACAGCGGGTTTAGCGTGCTGCACTGGGCGGTTAGAGCGAGAAACACAGCCGCAGTGGTCATGCTCTTGGAAGCCGGAGCGTCGCCTAACTGTCAAGACATGTTCGGAGAAACGCCACTCCATTGGTCAGCGAGACAGAACAAAACGGACATCCTGCTCCTATTGGTCGAAAGTGGGGCAAATATGCAAATAAGGAACAAGTTTGAAGAGCGGCCGTACAACGTGGCGTTGCCAGGCAATATGGAACTGATCAAAGTACTGATGGTGAAAATGGCGCGAGGTCAGATAGGGGGATCCCCGCGTTGCCTGGATACGGTTGCCAGGTTACCGAAGTTACGGCTCCCGAGGCTCAATACAAGTTTTAATAGCAAGAATTTTTGGGTTCCCCCGACGAGCCAGCACAGATATAAAACACCAACTTTATTTAAGACAGGACGAGAGAAGAGCCGAGAGGGTACCAGCCCTTCTGTATTTGACAGGACCCTCATGTTTTGATAGCCATGCCTTCATCAGGGGTGCCAAAGTATACATTGCAATTTTACGGTATACAGTGCAATTTACTAGTATACAGTGCAATTTTACGGAATACAGTGCAATCGTATTAGAATACAGTGCAATTTTACTAGTGACGTTGAATCACGTGACTTGGACCCGGCGTTCCCTGCTTTCCCTACTTTCTCGGTTTCAAGATGGCGGACGCCGCTAACTCACATACTTCTGTCTTTTTTGAGCGAATTCGAAATGATCCCTGTGTAGTAACATGCCCTGTGTGTAGTATGTAGTAATTTGACTAAAAGTCTATCTATGAGAAAGGTCCAAATTCGCTCGAAAAACACAGAAAGATGTGAGTACGCTCCGTCAGCGGCGTCCCTGGAAAGCCGGGCCCAGGTTACGTCATTTACTAAAATTGCACTGTATTCCCTAAAATTGCACTGTATACTAATACGATTGCACTGTATTCCGTAAAATTGCACTGTATACTAGTAAAATTGCACTGTACAAAATGTATACCGTAAAATTGCACTGTACATTCTGGCACTCCTGTTCATAATTTTCTTGAAACTAGGATCGCTAACTTTGGACGGTTTTGATTCACTTTGAATGTTTGACTATTTAAGTGGACATGGCTACGTCAATAAGTATTGTTCGTTTATTCATTTCAATATCAATAGCAATGTGTGATAAACGGGTCATCTTTATTCTGCCTGAACACGCGTACTCAAACAGTGATCTTACTTTAAGCAAGAAATACATGTACTTGAAAACCGGGCCGGGGACCAAGATGGGAATAGCTGGTTAAGTGGCGTAAGTGTGATGACGATGTGGGACTGAAATAATTGGTCACCTTGGCGACTTGAATTTGACTAACTCGGGACTAAGTAATGCTAATAAAAGTGGGCTTAGATACACAATTGTCGTGTTTTTGGTTTTTCTTTTAATGCCCACGATCATGATAATGATGATTCTGGTATACTCATTAACACGAAGTGAGGACAGTCAAAGGGCACAAGGTTGGTGACATGGCAGGATTCGAACCCGGGACCTCTTGGATCCTAGCCGAATGCTCTGCCGTTACTCCACACGACTATATCACAAGCTTTTTTTCTTACGGAGCATTTGTAACAGTTTATAAGCGGTTACGTGCGTCACTTCTTGCTTCATTCGGCCAGGCTCAGTTTCCACCCTGACATCTGCTTGGTTTTCATTCATATGGTAATGTATCCATGTTACCAAACCGTGGAAAATGCACATGTCTTAATTGATCGCCCAATCGTTTGACAATTTTTGATCGCTTAAAAGTTATTTTATCCCTGACGTCATCTTGAGTGACGTATCGGTACTTGCCACCCCTCCCGTACGAAATGGACTATTCCCATGACGTGTCCCGTCCCGTGATCATTCGTAGTTCTAACATTCATTAACTCCAATATCAATAAAGTTTGACAAACGGCTCTTCATCATATTAAATTTAACTAATCCATCTGAATAGGTGTGAGGTATACTCGTATTGTAACCTTTCCTTATTTTTCTTATTTTTACGATGGTTGATCGCTCCATGGATTAATCAACTTTTGATCGTCGAAAAGCTGTTCGAGCTCGATCTCTGATACTGTCTTGCCATATTATTACCAGGCTTTTGAGTGACGTATCGATACTTCGGCTTTGCCACCCCTCCGGTACGAAATGGACGGTTCCAATGACGTGTCCGTCTCATGACCATTCGTGGTTCATGACGTCACAGGTGCCAAACGGTACAAATAGAGGCGCACGCTGACTAGTAGTACTTGTGAGTGTTACTGACTACCAAAACCTTGCCATTAATTGTCCACGAACACTATAATAGTAGAAGTAAAAGCAACCTTAAGAGTTCGAAGAAGTATTCCAAGATGTTTCACGACCGTAAGCTGGCCAACCAAGCGGCGAAGGCGCACAGGGTAAGTTGTGTGTTTTTGTATTTCCGGGTTTGCGACACGTAGTAGTAGTGTAGATGTCTACTTCATGTGGCGTAGATTTGATGTCTAACTTTACGAAACTGACCTGTACTGCAATGTTGAAGTCCATACGAATACATTAGTAAGTGTTTGATCACTGACTGAATAGGGAAAACGGGTAATTTACTACCACTCAACAGGTGTCCACCTGTAACAGGTGGATGATATTACTGATCCATGCTTGCGGGAACTCATTTCGTTTAGACCGTCAGTTTACCTTGAAAATTTACATGCCCGTAGCCAGGGAGGGGGGTCCTTTGAAATCGTCTCAAAAACGCATGAAATGCAATTTCAGAAGGTTCAATGTTCAAAATTTTCCGAGGGAGCATCCCTCAATACCCCCTAGGAGGAAGCTCGAACCTTCGGCGCTTGATAATCCATCGGATAGCAGGAAGAACACCCCCCCCCCCATCCCCAAACAAAATCCTGGCCACGGACATGATTTACATAACACGATTATCAAGGATCACCAAAGGACAGTCAAACGTTTGTAGACATGTTAACGATGCGACGTTTCCCCGTTAATGAAGCCCCTGCCACACACACATGTAGCCGAGTATGGCCTCCCAAACACGCCCCCTGGAAATAGGTCGGGAAATGTGTCAGAGCAAGGTTGGCTGGTGTTCGGCCAGGTCGGCTACTGTCCGGCTGTGCCAGCAATTTTAACCTAAATTCGGGCGTGGACGGGAGGTTTGGTCATGGTTGGCTTGTTTTCGGGAGTACTGAGAGGTCGGCAGTAGTCCGGGACGTGGCTGTCAGTCAAATTTGACTACAAATTTAACTCAAATTCGATTTGATTCGTATCGAAAGGCAGGTGTGGCCTAAATCTGGTCAGGCTGCTCCCGAACTTCAGCCAACCAAGATTGATAGTCTGAAAAGGTTCTAACTATGTGACAGGGTTTAATGTCCACTGTTTGCAAGCTGATTGGGGTCAGTTATTTGTGTCAAAGGTCAGATTATTTACCTGTGAAACAACATCCCGTTTACCTGCTAAGCTTTAGTAGGTGGTGTTGCCGGATGTATAGACATACTGCTGCATGGCTAAAGTAAGGCCATGTTGATTTGATTTTATGGATGACATCCGCGCGCGCATGAATTTTAAACCATGCTGTAAATTGTACAAAACAGTTGCAAAATGAGCAAATATATACCGTAGGTTGAAAAAAAAATGGAAAACGATACCAATGTCGTAATGCAAATAAAATCAAACGAAAAAGAAGAAAATGTAAAGAAATGGATTTGAAGACTAGATTATTCGCCAAACCATACTCTGTGTCATTTGTTCAACCTTCAAAACCACGTACATGTAGATTTGATAATGAAAGCAACTTTTTTTTGGCCAACCTTTTTTTATCATCGCATCGCATCAGTTTAGGGGTTTCCAGAGGACGTCATCCATATAATCAAATCAACATGGCCTATACAGAAAAACCAGAGTTGTAGCCGTTTCGCCCTGGGAACACTCACGGCCTGGCTGTGAACTTTATTTGAACCGTTTCCTTGTAGCAAGAGGTCCGTGCGGAGAGGAAGGAAGCTCAGCTGCACGCCAAGGCTGCTCACGCCGCCGCTAGGGGGAACGTGGTCAGGGCGGTTAAACTGGAGGTGAGCAGGAACTGTTTTACATATAAATACTATCAAAACTTCCTGCTCGCTTCTTAAAGATTTTGGCTCAAATGTTGAGCAAAGGCCTAGCCTGGGTATCACCCTATTCCTGAGAACCTAATGTGTATAATGTCTGTGTTGGAACGATACACAAAATGCACATATACGGCAAACACTAGTACTATCATAATTTCTTTACTGAAATCCAACTTAACGCAAGGGAAAACTCGTCATTTTTACCGTAAGATCGGTCTTTATTATAATTTTGCAAGTAATTTCCCTGCATTACATGGGGTAACTTAAAGGTAAAAACCGTATGCAATTCTTGTTAGAAGTCTAGATATAGACACTATCTTCTTGACTCTACCAGGCATAAGAAGCTACAAACTGCACTTTTTTAAGGACCAACTCCCCTGGCATGTTATCTATCTATTTTGCCAATTGCTACTCTTGTCAGTCGCTTACCGAAGCCTGATAGAGCCAAACTGTTATTTATGATATGGGAGCGAGCAGAAAATTGCGCGTAAAAATGGTAGTTTTGGTAACTGTGTATAATTTATTTTAAGATAAACGTGAGAATAGGGCAGGGAGGTGTTTAAATGTCTTTTTTATTATCTTATCGTAAAAATGTTTCCTTCTGCATGTGGTTCTGCATTTTTATTCCGCTTCCTTGTACACATGCATGGCAATGAATTGATTTATAATATAAAAACTTCCTAGTTGTCTTAAAGATTTTGGTTAGAATGTTTAAGCCTAGAATTAATGGAAAACTTACGTTTACTTGTTTTCAACAGACTCAGGCTGCAAACGTGCACAACCGGGCTGCAGGGGCGCATGCGCGGGAACAGGCGGCCCTGGCAGCCATGCATCACAATCATCATCATCATCACCCACATCCTCACCACGGCCCGGCGGTAGTGCACGTGCACGTATGTTTGTTTGTTTGCTTGCTTGCTTGTTTGTTTGTTTGTTTGTTTGTTTAGGATCTGCATCAGTGTGAATTTCACACCACTCTTCCTGGAGTCCGTAGTGAATAATAAGATAGATATTTGGACCATCGCACACCGGGGCATGCCCCTACTTTTTTTTCAAAAGGTGTGGTGGGTTCTTTAACGTGCGTGGGGTGTGTCCCTCCCCAAACACGGGACCTCCATTCAACGTCCTATCCTAGGGACGTCCCTAACCAAAGCTAGGTACTCATTTGCACCTGAGTGAAGTGAGGAAAGTCGTGTTAAGTGCCTTTCCCGAGGGCACATGATCGGTGACAAGGTAGGATTCGATCCCGGGACCTCTTGGTTCAAGGCCGAACACGCTACCGCGGCCGCTACGCCACACGACCCCACGTGGGTGTCTTTCAACTTGTCCGTACAAACCTGAACACAGCTCTCACACAGAAAAAATAAACTGATATACCCATTAGATATATATCAATCGGTTTTCGCCTATTTATTTCATAGCAAGGCGGCTGGGCTGCCCCTTCAACATGTAAGAGTTGATTTCCAAGGGGGCCAGTAGTACATACTCGTACAAGGCATATTACTTATAATATTCTTGTCAGGAGACAACGGTGGACTAATTAATAACTACTACATTATCCATCTGGTCAGCAATATTGTCCATTGTATGATGATAAACACACAAAGCTGTTCAACTTTTTTTTTGCTTGCTCAACGGAATTTGTTACATTTCAAACTATCGTTAAATTCAATTTCATTTTAGAAGGTAATAACTCTTAGTGTGTACAAATACTAGTAGGTAAATATATCAAGGAATATTTAGACCTTAGATCAAGTAGTATAAGTTGATTCATCTATTGTTTTGTACGTAGGTCAATTTTGTCGTACCCACGTTTCTGTATGTCTGTTTATGTGTCATAGGTCATGCCGGGGTCATCCTCCTTCGCAGGGCTAAAATCCTCCGGTTCCCTTCCGGTTTTAGCCCTGCTATTTACCGCTGACAGTTTGACTTCTGGTGACGTCACCGCCAAACTGCTGTCAGCCAATCAGAGAATTTGCGCACCGAGCTTTGCGCAAAAACCGCAAAGGTCGCTGGGAACCTATTAGCCAATCAGGTTACATGTTGGGACAGGCCAAGATGGCGGCTATTACAGATACTAGAAGTTTCGTGCGAGCCGTGCAAGATTTATTTGGAGTCGAGCGGCTTCGTGAGCATCAGCAGTCGATGCTACGGGCGCTGCTTGATGGCAGAGACGTTTTTCTGAGTGTGCGGACAGGAGGAGGGAAGAGCCTGTGCTATATGACTATCCTATATGGGCTTCCCAGCAGCGGCCAAAGCCCTGGCCAAAGCCGAGACAGAGTTAGGGCAAGCCCCCCGACATCTGATTGGTTTGTGCCAAATAAGGCAAGCTCATGAATTATTTATAAGTGACGTCACCAGAAGTCAAACTGTCAGCGGTAAATAGCAGGGCTAAAACCGGAAGGGAACCGGAGGATTTTAGCCCTGCGAAGGAGGATGGCCGGGGTTCACGTCGATGTTTTATTTTACTACAGCACACACACGTGACCACCACACCCCCACTCAATTACCCGACAGGCACTGCGGCCCCACCTCCTGGTAAGTTTCAACTGATCTAAATCTTCATTAGGGAAAATAGTCTTGTAAAACGTGCAAGTTAAAACTTTTGATCCAAATTTTTTGATACAAAGAAGTTCTTTCGCCTAGAGCTTTCGACCAGTCACGTTGGTCGTCCTCAGTAGACTAACCCAGTGAAGCTTGTCGACATGTGGTTTTCTTTGAAGAGTTGTAGCTTGAAACATGGCTTGCGAACATTATCACGAATGCAATCTTGGCTTGTTGTTAAGCCGTTGACTATAGGCTCAATAAACATTTATCGTGTCTTTTTTTCCTCTATAGCTGTATGTTGTAACATGATTCACCTTTTAACTTTCATCCATATATAACCTTCAAATGAAACACAGCGGTGAATTAATGGCACATTCTGACTTGTCTCGATATGATTCAAACATTAACATTCTCACGCTTGCATGGAATATGGTCAATATGGCTACCGATATTAATAATCAAATTTGCTTTGAATAAAACAACTGAGTTAAATAGTTGCAACATACTATCGGATGATAAATAAAGCATCAATTTTTCCCTCACATCCAATTCTACAGGACCAGCTCCCTATCCGGGCACCCAGCCCGTTCCACCGCCACCGTACCCGGGAACTCAGGCGCCGGCGTACCCCGCTGCCCAGCCGGCTTACCCCGGGACCCAGCCCGCTTACCCCGGGACCCAGCCCGCTTACCCTCCCGGGACCCAGCCCGCCTATCCACCTGCCTACTCGGCACAGCCAACCTACCCTGGATACCCGCAACACTAAACGGACTGTACAGTTGTGTTTACCTTTCAAAAACATACAGTATCCGATGCAATATCTGCTTATAAACATGAAATAATACTGGTCATGGAAATCTAATAATACTACGTTGTCATGTACGTATATTTATGACACACCTAGCTTGTAATTGCATGCTTGGTCTAACTGTGCCCGCTTTAAAGCTGATAAAATAACCTACAAGTTCTCAAAACATGCCTGAGCATCAACAAGTTTTAACATATCATTTTTTACCGTACAAACCAAGATTAAGGAGATTTTGGAGGCTGTGTAAGTGGCTTCTGCTGAGCCTAGTCTTTATCATATATACATGTATGTGAAAATTATGCGATATGTCTTTATGTTGCTAGTTAATAGTAGCCTCTACCAGGCTTCAGGAAGCGGCTAGAATGAATAGAATCTGGCCAAATAGACAGGTAACATGACAGGGGAGTTTGTCCGCTAAAGAGCAAACTGTCTCCCGTAGAACTCTTTAGCTAACCGACTCCACTCTGTACTTGTATTAGCCTCCTGTGCAGGCTTCGGGCGGGTGGGAGTTTTGATACTGTGTTTTGTAGAGTTTTTAACGCGTTCCATCCGCCCACGGGTATCAAAACTCCAATCCGCCCGGAGCCTGCACAGGAGGCTAACTTGTATAGGCTAAGCTTCTAGTGCTGAACAAGTAAAGCATCGCTAATCTCCAAGCAGATGTTGAGGGGAAAGATCGTCACGTTTTCTGACGGCCTGCTGACTTCTCTGAGAGGCCAGGCAGTCAGGGACGCCAGGCCATCGGTAAGCGTTACTATCTTTCCCCTCAACATCTGCTTTGAGATTAGCGATTCTTTACTTGTTCAGTACTACATGTATAAGCCTAGCCATGTATCTGCTTGGAGATCAGAGTTTCGGGTCCAAAAATACTCTTTATCTACATGAGAGGTAACAGCCTTGACTGTACAGTTTCACGATTGTGCCAATAAATCACCGAACTTCTCTTCGACCTTCAAGTCTCAGTGTTGATTCTTAGGCAATGGGAATGTGCAAGAAATTAGATACTAGTAGCTGAAAAGTAAGGCATTGGTACTCACTAGGGTGCAATTACGCTTAGGACCGCTAGGTGCGCATTTAATCAGGATTTGGTGGTTTTAAAGTTGGCCAAACGAAAACAGCATAGAATGGCAAAAGGAATTAGGGTAAAACATTTGCCACATGCCAAATTTTAACCCTAACTTGTCATTTTTTGCACACACACACACGCACGCACGCACACACACACACACACACACTATTGTGTCATCCTAAAACTACCCTTTGAAAGTGTCATGGCTAGTTTCTTTTATCCAGCGTCTCAAAACAAAACTTTATTGAAGGGGGGGTTTGGCTAAAAACAGATAGATATTGGCATTTTTCTATTGTAAACTACAAATAAACGTTTATCTTATTTCAAGGATTTGGATGTCTTTGCACCACACACACACACACAGACACACATTCAAAACACACAATAATTGAAATCTGAACCCAAAAGTTTCATCACTGGGGCATATACAAGGTATAGCCTCTCCTTTATTATAACTCAGGAACATCAAATTGTCATCTTTCCAAACATGCAAAGATCATGGTTATCAGTCTTCATATCAACACAACATTTCACATGGCATGGAGCCTTGTCTGACACACGGTTCTGTTGAGCATTATTTTCTTCAGGCCACCTCAGCTTTTAAAAAAAATCAACGCAACATAATTCTTCTTACTTCCATGGCACTGACTCTTAGTAAGCCAATGATCATGCTTGTGCTTCGATTTCTAAACTGACAGTAGCCTTCACTCGAAAAATCATGTACTCATAGAGCCAGTGCTATCTGAATTAGGCAGTGCCTTTAGTTGGGTGAAGTAGCAATGATTGTATAGACAACTGTCTACCATGTTCTATAACTGGAGAAGAGTCATGAAGGCAGCAGCACAGAGCATGCCCAGGCTGGCATGGACAACAGCACTGCCAGAAGCTGTAGAACAGAAAAAAAAAGGTAATCAGAGATGGCAGACTTCACACACTTACCCATCTACAATTAGCAATCTTTCCTGTCCCACAAACAAAGATAGCAGCAGTATGACATGATTTATGGCATTACTGTATGCATTATGTACATTAAGAATTGATATGAATTATGTAAATTTGGAATTGAAGAAACAAACAGACATGCAAACACACAATTCAATCTTGGGGTTACAGGTGCAAAGTTCATGTACTTTTGCAAAACTGGTGTCAATGCTTCTGCACTTTGCATCAAAACTGCTAGGGGTCTCTCAGGTGAGTTGTAACTTCCAACACAAAAATATTACCTGACCCAAGGCCTGACCTTACTACTAGTATTCCTGCCCTCTAAACAAATTTGTAGTAGAGCATTTCACCTTTTCTGATAATAGTAGTATGTATAAGCAGTATGTTTCCCATGTTTCAAAATCAACTTTAGATCATGTATGCCAATACAGGTCTCAATATACCCACCCTGAACTTAGAAATTGCAGAAAAAGAATTTAAAAAACAGTTATGAATTTGAATTTCATTACGAAAACAGGAATGGGTCATTTCAAGCCCTGCAATGGTGGGGGGGGGGCAGTCAAGGACTGTATTGAATTGCCAGTGCTGAATTATTATTAGCATTTTCATCTTTATCCTACATGACAGTGTCATAATATTTTTCTCTGTTTTCAGAAATTAGAAAGTTGTTAAACTAGCCATCCCACCCCCACCCTCCCAAGATTGGAGTGGGATTGTTACTTACTTGTTGTTGCATCGGTGGCAGAGGAATCAGTAGCAGTGGTGAGGGTATCAGTTGTTTGTCCGCTAAGAAAAAAAAAAAAACAACAAAAGACTATCAGGTCATGTCAGTTTCAACAACTCGTTATAAAAAATCAGGTTACTGTTAGGTACAGGACAGAAATACCCGCACAGCTCCAATTTTCCTGCACTTAGGTGCATATACACCTAGTACTTCGAGCCATTTTTTGAAAGATTTTGCAACTGATCTCATCTTGATTTGATTACGCATATACAATTTTTATTGGCCAATGCCTGAAGGATTATCAAGCTTAAGGAAGCGCTATTTTTGCAACCACCGAAATATTTCACTAACGGTCCGTAGGTTTTCAAGTGAACGGCAAATATTGTTCGGCCACACCGACTTAATTTTATGGATGACATCCGAGCGCGCATTGATTTTCACCTGTTCTCAAAAAAAAAAAAAGATCACGTCCTCTCCTCAGAGGCTCTAGGCCTGGGTAGTCCATAATTTTGTACGTAGTTAGCGACAATACGGAACCGGTGATAAACCTGGAGGACGGCACCCAGGCTACCGAAGCTCCACGGCGGCAAGAACTCAGTATATACGAGCGTACAGTGCCGATTCATAAATTACACAAATAGCCGGCGTGTGCCGGCTTGTCGTATACGTCGCTATTAGTAACGTTAAGTACTGCTGCAAGTTCACAATACCAGCTTTGTATTCCTGTTGTTTTGTAGCATTTTTATCATTGGGGGTCTTCAGAGGATGTCATCCATAGAATTAAGGTGGTGTGGCCTTAGTGGCAAGAATGAAAAAAAAATTTCTGACTTACCAGCACTGCGAGGCGACTGCAACAACGATGAGAACGATCAACAGAATGCGGAGGCTCTTCATGTCGAAATTCTGGACTCTATGTTATGAAAAAATGGATGGAAAAAGGCAGTATAACGTTAACAGAAATTCCACTGGTGCACCCACCCTTGTTTGACATTTTCCCGCCAAAACCGAGCCTGCCCACAGACGACGAGTTGCAACATTGTGAGTGTCCCAAGAAAACAGGCCGTTAAATAGGAAGATTTTAAACTGTGTTTCTCTTACTCAAACAAAAATAATGTTCCTCAGTATTTCTCAATCAACGTCACTACAAAAATATTCACTTTCAGTCATCGGGTCAGTTTTAATGTTGATACGTGCCTCAAAATCTTATTTAATTACTAACGTTACCCTGCACATAAGATTACAAGGGACACATGTTCTGAGTTACTTTGAAATTACATATTCTGTACTAGAACTACGACAAGCATGAAATTTAGTTTAAAAGAAGACATGTTTCTGCCATGTCAAGCATTGCCATCTCGGAAAAATGCAATCATTTTTAAATTTTGGAGACAAAAAATAGCTGTAGGCTGTAACGCTACGTAAAACTAAGAGAAAAGATACGTTCACAATCAACTCCTACATGTAAATGACGGTTATGTTAGCCTGTAAGAAAAATTCTAGAGCATTGTTCTACATGTAAATCTTGTAAAATAAGACTTACTTGATTCAGGGATGTAGAAAAGTCGTCAAAGTAGCAGCGGTTGCAAAACACGTCTGTTGTCGTTGGATGTCTGCTCTGCAGTGGTAACGCACATGCTCCGTGAGACGCGAGCTTCTACTACTAATTATGCAGTTACCGTGGAGACGGTGAAGTCCACCAAATGTGATCGTTACAAGTTTGTAGATAGCCTCCTGTGCAGGCCTCTGGGCGGTTGGGAGTTTTTATACTCTGCGTTTAGTAGAATTTTAACGCGTTCTTTTGCCGGCCATCCTACAACCAGCCTCCCAGAGATGGTTTGTACCCGACACGGATACGTGGGTTGTAAGATCGCCGACAAAAGAACGCGTTAAAAATTCTACGAAACGCAGAATATAAAAACTCCCACCCGCCCAGAGGCCTGCACAGGAGGCTATCCATAAACTTGTAACTGCTTAAGCTTGATATTGGTGGATATATTTTCAGGGTAATGTAGTCGCTGGCCTGGGAAATATTTCTAAGGGGGGAGTATGGGAGCCCCGGCATACAAATAGGATGGTACCCAGGCTAACTATATTTGTTTTGACTTTTGGCTCACAAAAAAGGGAATATTTTCTTGCAAAAAAATCTAAATTAACTAGAGTACGAAAATATCTTGTTAATCAGTTTATTAGTTTGGTATCGGTTTCTTCGTACTTGACAACCGTGTTATATGGTGAAAAGATTTCTCAGAAGGAATTGTAATGTTGTTTGTATGTGACTGAGGCAATGTGATGACGTCACGACGCGTACCAACTTTAACTGCAGTACCAAAGCAATACGACAGGAGGCTGAATAACACCGTTGAGGAAAACCTTCCACAGCAGTCGGCGCTAGCAGACTACACCCCTATAAGTGAACGACCTAGAGCACGCACTTTGGATGAATGGTGCATGTGCACCCAGAAGGCATTCTACCACATCAAGATCCCTTTGAGAAGCCGAACCATGTGTCACGCGCGTTTAACAAGGTTAAGCAGACCTGATGAGGTTAAGGACGCACTGCACGTATAGTCGTAACAGCCTGGTGCTCAGTCTATCGCGGTTTGGGCGGGCTCCATTCGGGCCTGTAGACATTTCCCCGCCGCATAGTTCAACTGTAGGCTCCCCGGGTACCCTTGGTAGTTTTACGAAGAAAAACATGTTTTGTGCTAAACATAGTGTCATTCAGCTCAAGTGGATACTAGTAATTAATGGCCGAAGGTCGGTTGTGCAACACCACATGACGACACAGACGACAAGAAAAGTATAGGTCCAATTTACACTAGGCTGGCGGTGTCGCAGACTTCCCGCTGAGCTGTCTTACGTCTTCTCTGAAGTTGACGTACGACAGGTTATAAAACGTCGTAGGATATCTCAGTCCTGTTTCTACCACACAGAAAAAATGCACAAACACACACACACACACACACACACACACACACACACACACACACACACACACACACACACACACACACAAACACACACATATAAGCATAATAGAGCTATGCTTCCACGGGCTTAATTGTAATTTGCGATACAATTCAATGCGAAGACAGTCTGTCTGATCACTGACAAACCATTAACCAAAATGTCAGATCACATCTGTTGATGACCTTCCGACATTTTCATGGGTGCGGGAACTTCTGAGCTATTCTGTAAGATACTCGCCATACCTTTGTTGCTAGGCAACCCCACTGACGTCGGTTGGAGGCGTGTATTTAATCATGCCTTTCCTCCAATCAGCTTCGGTTTTAGCCTGATAATTGAAACGTCTAGATCTTCAAAGGTTGAATACGTCTAGCTGAAGCTCGAGCCGGAGCCCCGCACTTCTGGAGCGGTGAGAAGTGGTGACACCACTGCGGAGGTTTTCTTCGCGCCCGCTACACAACGCCGAGTTTTGGGATCAACTACGAAAAGAAGAAAATCGCATGGTAAGATCACGATCCCGTTGACTTGTAGACTGCATGAGGATATAATATTTCTATTTCTATCCGCAACATTTGTACTACCTGCCAGAAAACACATTCTGCGGGAAATCTGAGGCATAAAATTGGCAAAGATCTTTTAATTTTGTACTGTGAATGTGAACACATATACCTACAGTGACACATATACCAGCAAGGTAGGTACATCCACATAGACATAGGCACCAAGGATACGACACGGGTCTAATTAACATTTGTGACAGATCGACTAGCCTAGCTAGCCGCAAAGCTACGTTGACCGGTATCATAAGTGAAATCTCTATTATACCTATAGCTAAGTAAAACGGCAGTTAGGAAAGGGAACAGCACAGCATATGTTACGAATGGCTGTTTTGTATGCTACGTCGAGGTTTTGTCTGTCAGTGTTCTTGTGTCCACTGAATTCGCTCCCTCGCACAAGTGAGCAATCTTCATTGCAAATGTCTGGGCGGGATGTCGCAAGAATTATCACGTCTGCCATGCCTGCCAATCATGTTAACACTTTATCCAATAAGAGAGCGAGATGTGTTCACGTGACTACAGCTGGGCGTGGCTATGGGAAGGCCCGACCGGTTTCTCTGCTCTGTGTGTGACAAAAGAACCCCATGCTGAAAGATCTTATGATGGATGTTGGATCGAGCAAAGGCCATGTACAAACTATGCAGATCAGCAATTAAGCTGACAAAGTTGTCATTAATCAACTGTATAATTGCATCACTTCACGGAGGCGAAGTTAGTGAAGTGCACTTAGTTGTGTCGACACAATGACTTTGCAAAATATTGTGTCATCCTAATGTATAACACAGCTACCATTTGAATGTCTCATGACTAGATTGTTCTAACTTACACAAGTACGTTTTTTATTCAACGACTGAAAACACAACTTGACTGAAAGTTTTGCTAAAGACAGATAGATATTGGTATTTTTCTATGGAAACCTAAATTTTTGTCTTGTTAAAGGATTTGGATGTCTTGCAGCAAGTTGCAGGGCACCACACACACACACAAACACACACACACACACACACACACCTCAGTTTGTCATTTAGTTAAGTTTTGGTTGTCTCACAGGCTAGAGTCGCTCGATTGACATACAGCAAAACGTATTCTTTCTACAGAAGATGGGCAGCTTTTACCTTCCCACAGTCCTATGCGCCATCGCGTTGCTGATTGTGGGAACGAACGGTCAAAGTGAGTCTTCTCTGTTGTACTTTTTCTTGGATTTGTTTGGCATATGCATTGACCATGGAAGACAGTAGGTTGGGCTACAGTTAGATATAGCTTCACTGCCTTGGCCACTACAATAGGTGTTGTCAGTGTTTTTGGATCTAATTGCTTTGTATATACATGTAACAATGTCCAATATAACGTTACCCTCAAAATTTATACTGGTAACATTGAGACATGTGCTGTTTAGTTTGAAGTCCGACATTTTAATACGTATACATGTAGTGGCAATTCCAAATTGCCAGAGCCTTCTTTCAAAGAGTTGAAATTTACTGTGTAAATGATTCACATCTCAATCATTCAATATTAACCACAGTGCTGACTTAGCTCCTCTGTAACACCCCTGCTAATTGCTTAGGTATTACTGTTATTGATAGGATGTTGGAATAATTTTATTCACCTTGGTGTATCTATGGTTGTATAACGCCTTACGATGGTAGTTTTGTGGTTCCTGCCTGTAGGTTGTAACACGGGTAGTACGTACTACAACGGCCACTGCTACTGGTTCTCCCCGTACGGACTGAACTACGCCAGCGCCAGGACCACCTGCCAGTATTCGGGCGGCCGACTGGCCGTCATCCCGGACTCCGCGACCAACACGTGGATTCAGCAACAACTCACGGCAGCATCTGCACCGTAAGGATTTAAACATTCACGTGGTCCTTACAACTCATTCATTCTACCAACAGTTCCTCTTCTCTAGGTCTCAGTATGGATTTGCGCTATCTTGACACTTTCCGATCCAGTATCCTCCAGTAAGTCAGTTCCGTCAGTTCGTAAGTATCCTCTTACGAACTGACGGTGATCTCTCACTATCACACTCACTCTTACCCACTTACCTTTCACGCCATTGCTCTCCAACGATTCAATCCTAGCCTCTATTTGTTAGCTCCATCTCTTATGACCTACAAAAATTGAGGTATTGCTTCTCTCTCTCTCTCTCTCTCTCTCTCTCTCTCTCTCTCTCGAGCGCACGCTCTCTCTCTCTCTCTGCAGAGAAGAATGAAGAAAAGGACGCAGTCACAATCATACAGGATTTAGATATTTCACCGAGGTCTGAGAACTCCGGATTATTGTTAGTCACTCACATTCACTCATTTAAGGTTTCACTCACCTATGCCATCATTTTGTTCATTTAACTATGTTTATCTTCACAGAAGGAAAACATATTGTTTTTGATCTGTTTCTTCTTCCTCTTCTTTTTCCTCTCCAAACAAATAAGATAAGGTCAATAGCCTGAACCGGACGTCTGTCACCATGGTGTCCCCCAGTGTTGGATTTAACATCATGTTGCAAGTTTACAGGGATTTAGGATTTAGACTCTTGTATGTATGTATGTATGTATGTATGTATGTATGTATGTATGTATGTATGTATGTATATGTGAACGTGTTTGAGTAAAAATTAACAGAGCAGACCATACTTGAAGGTAAACATTATGCATTTGCTTTGCAAATGTCACCTTTCTAGTTCCCGTCTTCATCTCATCCATCCTCCCTCTCCTTTTAACTCACGTGCACAGGCTTTCCAACTCATTCCCCTTTCCATACTACAGGAGCCATTGGATCGGACTTGATGACCTGGGGAACGACACCACCTTTGTGTGGGCGGTACGGAGCTGACAGCCGGCAGTTTTGAAGACTGGAAGGATCCCTCCGGGAATGCCCAGAGCAGGGACTGCGTCATCCTGGATGCCGGCAGCCAGTACCAGTGGGCCGTCACGGAGTGTGCCAGAAGGCCGCAACGGTTCATCTGCCAATCCGACCTGCGTAAGTATCTGTTCGTTTGACTGGCTGAATAATATTATCAAAAATAACATACGATAATAAATTCAAATACTTCTACAAAACTGGAGTTATTCGAAAATTCGTTGGCAACAGGATCCAGCCGTGCATTTACACCTAGATAGAATCTCAACGTTATGATAAGTTCATCAACGGCTCTGGTACGAGTAACAGTATATCTGGTAACATTATACAATTCATTCATCATGCAACTTCTCATTTGCCTACAACTTCCTTGCCTCTTTGCTTGCGCACTCAAATACTGAATACTGTTTATTCACTTTGATTTGCAGCCAGTATTGGCTGAATTACATATGTACAAGTGTTACATTAAAAACTTGAAAGAAATAATGAAAAAGAACGACATTGACGATTAAAACTAAACAAGTTTCAGATTTTTAAAACAGAGGAGAACTATTTACAGATCCTGATTACTGAGGCTTATTGCCTGAAAGAGGAAGGATTTTCTCATAGCTTATATCCCAGGCCCGTTCTATATCCTTTAATAGCCGTCTCTTTGCTGCAGTCACGAGTTTCGAGTACCAGACCCTGGAGGCGAAGTTGGAAGAACTGAAAGAAGCGATGCCCGAAAGTTTCCGGGAGCTGGGACTAGACGACCTGCAGAGAGACATCTCGGAGCTGCAGACCGTGGATTTAGGCAGGCGGCCCGACAAGCTGGGGAAGTTCAGCGAGAACTGGGAGGTGACCGGGCCGCAGACCGTGCTGGCGTACGACTCCGGGGACTGCGATGCGACCTTCGCCTTCTCCGATCCTGAGATCAGTGGTCTCTCCGGGAGCCCTGCCGGTAAGTCCTTCAATAGCTGTATCCAGACTTACACGTTAACGCGTTGAGTAAGGGCCTCCCGTGTTTTCCTGCACATGCGGCAATCAGAGCGGTCCAATCATTCTCCCTCATCCTTCCAGTTCAGATTAACGGTTTGCAGTTGCTTGTCTGTAGTTCATTTTGAGGCGACCTAGACCTCTGTGTCTTTTCTCCTGTGGGCCCCAGACTTGCTTTGCTTGTCCAGCTGACAGAAGTCTAATGTAGCATGGCCTAGCCAGCTCAAATAGCGCTGCTTGCAGATTCTTGTAGATTGACTGTTGATTGGCTTTGGGTCTTACATCTGCGTTGGATATGAAGTTATCATGCACCAGATCGTTTCACCAGATTGGCAATAGTTTTAAGGGGTTGGTAATGTATTCAACAAAGCTTTATTTCCTCGCACAAAGATAATTATCGTTTCTTTTGTGAATTCAGCAGCACAACGTCACCCTGATGAAGGCAGAGGACAAGCTTCCAAATCGCAGTAAAAAGATATACTTCGTGAATCTGACATCTTTTTTTTCTATTTCGACCTTTATTTAGCCTTGAAAGAATACACTTCGGCCATAGCCGCTTTTCAAGTGCTCAAGGTGGGAGAGGCCAGGGGTCCTGATAACACAATAGCTTCAAAATTAACGTATTGCAATTTCATTACAACTTACACTAGTCACAGCATCGTTTCTATGGTCCAGTCCTGATCAATTCCAAAGTGGATTATTGCAGCATGTTCTTCATGTGATGTTCACAGAGTCGCTTCGTAGCCTGAATGAGAAGGTGGCTAGGATCGGCGAGGCAGTTCCCGCGACGGCTCGAGAGGCCCTGCCGAACGTCCGGGAGCACCTGGCAGACCTGATCAACAACACGGACTGGGAGGAAGTCCGAGCCACCCTCCCGGAGCCGCACGAGCCCGACCGGAACATCACCGCTCCACGGGGAGAGGTGGCCAGCGACGCGGATATCCTCCAGGTCAACAACGTGGAAGAAATCTCGCACCTGCGGGTCAAACGGCAAAGTCACAACTGGCAAAATGAGTACAAGGTGATGGTGCTGAACCACTACTGGTCCTGGGTGTATTTCCCCTGGGGTTGGTGGTGGTGGCACCCTCGCGTCATCATCATCATACACTGCTGTCCAATCAGGATCTACATCATCATCCGCTGGCCCTGGATCTGGTGGCCCTGGCACAAATGTAAGTTTGCAGTCTTTCAAAAGATAATTATTTTAACTATCATAATTAAACTGTGTGTGTGTGTGTGTGTGTATGTGTGTGTGTGTGTGTGTGTGCGTGTGTGTGTGTGCGTGTGTGTGTGTGTGTGCGCCTGTCCGTGTGTGTGTGTGTTTGTGTGTGCGTGTGTTGTGTGTGTGTGCGAGTGTGCGCGCGCGCGCGCGCGTGTGTGTGTGCGTGTGTTTGTGGGTGCGTGTGTGCGTGCGTGCGTTAACCAGAGACCACAGCTTAAGCATTGTCGGTTAGAAATGGGAGATACAATCGTTTCTTTAGCTATTTGCATTGTGCATGTTACGGAATAAGATTATTGACTGACAGCCTAGGTTCCAAAATGCACCATAAGTTCACGTCGTTTCTTGTGCCTTGTTTTTTTTTCCTTTGTTGGGTTGGGCAATAGTTTCGCTGATTTTCTGACTTACTGTATTTCAGACTGTGAATACGGCTGGACACGCTGGTTCGACCGCGACAATCCCTCTGGAACAGGCGACTGGGAGACGCTGACCGACCTCCGCAACGAAAACCCGGGACAGATCTGCGACAATCCGTCCGGCATCGAGGCCCGGGTGGTGGGGACGGGCACTCCCGCGGCGCTCACCTTAGACACCTTCACCCACTTCAACGTCTTCTCGGGGTTCGTCTGCCAGCCCACAACCTGCCAGGACTACGAGGTACGTTTCTGGTGTCCGCAGCAGAGTTTTCCCGTCCCCTGCGACTGCCCCGGCTGGACCGCCTGGTTCGACGTCGACGACCCGACCGTCACCGGGGACTGGGAGTACCTGTCTATTGTCGACACCCTCAACCCGGGGCAGGCCTGCGCCAAGGCTTCCGGCATCCAAGTCAAGACTACCATCGGCGACGTGCCTGCAGGGCTGACCGGCGAGGTTTTCCACCGCTTCGGACCGAACCCGGGCTTCGTCTGCCGCAAGAATCCCGAAGGGGGCCCGGAAAATACCCCTGCGCCCTACCAATGCCGCGACTACGAAGTGCGCTTCAAGTGTCCCTGATTTGATGACGCCTTTGCGAGTGTCATAGAAGCGCATTGTTTACACGGCTGACAACACACACACATACCACATGCATCCACACACACACACACACACACATATCACATGCATCCACACACACACAGAGAGAGAGAGAGAGAGAGAGAGAGAGAGACATGCACACACACACATGCACACACTGTTGTGAAGAGGTTCTTCTGGATTGTAAAGAACTGGTCGCAGACTGGACTTTTGTGGAGCTTGATGGTTTATTGTGTTGCCTCCAGGACTCCTAGCACCAGAGTGAGGTTCCTGGGTTGGACTATTCTACTTCTAAGATAGGGGGTTGTGTAACAGGACTAGTCTACTTATATGATAGGGGGGGTTCTTGTATGGTAATGCACATATGGTTCACAGTGGGTTCACAACATACCTCCCCTCACACAGGAGGATTGACGAGGTCAATCTGAATAATAATAATAAACAGTTGAACCCACTGGTTAATTACTTACTTAAGTTACAGATGACATAGGTATTGTTGTACATGTATTATATTAAAGTTACAGAAAATGATACGGCGTGGAACAAAGTAGCTGTTTGAACCTCAGAAGACAAACTCTGGTTGACAAAGAGACCCAGTCGAATGCCTGGAACACTGAGGAACAGTTTGCTACTTTGTGTACCAGATAATGGTTGGGAATCAGGTTAACTTGTATCATACAAAATGCAAATTTGAAACAACAAGGTAGCTATTTGAACTTCAGAAGGCAAACTCTGGTTAACGACGAGACCCAGTCGAATGCCTGGCACACTGAGGAACAAATTATTTACTACAATGTCTACCAAATAAGTAATGGGAAGTACAGTACAATATAGAAAATGGTATAACAATGGAGGTAGAAAAACATGGATCAAGGTGTAGCTATGATTTATACATCAGAAAACAAACCCTGGCCAACGTAAAGTGAACCAGCTGAATGTTTGGCACACTGAAGCACTAAATTGTTGCCACACTGACCAAGAGACAGGAAACTGTGAATATTTTACTTTGGCCTGTTGTTTTTGAACAGGGCTAATGGCTACCACATGTGGTGGGGCAATCAGGGGCTGGTCTGAACACATCTTGCTCAGGCCACATGGCATGCATGGGAAAGGAAACTTTGCAAAAACAAAGTTCTAGAATAAACACTTACAGGAATGTTAAAATGTAAATCTAGCTAGCTGTAAAGAGTCCAAGAATATAAATGTGAGAATGTTTCTGCTAGAGGCTACAGTTCAACTGGAAGCTTGCTTGCATAAGTACAGTCTTAGTGTGTGGTCTTGCTGGGCCTGACACCAACAATGAAGGATTCCAGAGCGTTCCTAAGACTCTGTCCCACCCGAGGCCTGGAAGCTTGCTTGACCGCCCGTTTCTGGCAGTGGACCCTGAAGACTGGACACGTGCCTGCATTCACTCGCCTCCCGATTCCACCCGACGAGTTCGGCAGCTTACTTTACAAATCGTTCTGTCAGTAGAGTTTGGAGATGGGGCTGACCTCTGTCTCATGAATTTCTACCCGACGACTTGAAGCTTGCGTGACCGCCCGTTGCTGGCAGTGGACGTTGGAGACCGGATACAGTGCCGTATTCGCTAGCCTGGTTCCACCCGACGAGATCGGCAGCTCACTAGACCACCCGTGCTGTCAGTGGGGTTTGGAGACTGGAGACAGTTCTTCCCTTCCTTCACGTGGTATCGGATGTTTCGAACCCATAGAAGACTGTATCTTGAATGTAGGGTGTATTTCTGCTGGAGGCTGGTACGATGTTGAGGTTTCTGGGTCCAGGATAAAGTGACAGAATGGCCATGGTCTTACTCACCCTCCCACAGCAGCTTGGCACATGGTGGAGCTGGAAGTCGTCAGCTCTGCGGTGAGTTTGGCCGGATGGGTACAGTTCTGTGCATCGATATCGTACTGACCGTCAGTACAATCCTGTCCGTGACGCCATTTGTTGTGAAGAGGTTCTTCTGGATTGTAAAGAACTGGTCGCAGACTGGACTTTTGTGGAGCTTGATGTTTTATTGTGTTGCCTCCAGGACTCCTAGCACCAGAGTGAGGTTCCTGGGTTGGACTATTCTACTTCTAAGATAGGGGGTTGTGTAACAGGACTAGTCTACTTATATGATAGGGGGGTTCTTGTATGGTAATGCACATATGGTTCACAGTGGGTTCACAACACACGCACACACACACACACACACACAAACTAGTACATCTACACACACACAGGCACACACACAGACACAAACACACACACACACACACACACACACACACACACATACACACACATACATTCACAAACAGACACACACACACACAAACATACATACACACACGCGCGGACATTTCCACACAAAATAAAACACAGACATGTACACATGCAATGTACAAGGCTAAGAGTTCATACCTTAGTAATATAATTGACAGCCAGCACAAGCAACAATACCAATATTTTAACCACTATCGCAATATTATAGACATAATCACAATAGACCGACCGCAATATGCAGTATGATGACCATAATAACACTGCATCCTTTGTCCAGACTTGTGGAAGGATTAAAACTAAAGCTACCACCGGTACCTGTGCTTTTCTTATAAAGAATACCGGAGAAATACCTGAGCAGATGTACTTAGTTTCTAAACGCTCTTTTTCTTTAGCCCTACTGCAAACCTTTTACTGATATTATATTTTTGTTTGTCATATGCATATTTTGCTAACTAACGATTTCCAGAGAGCCATGGTTATGTAGAAGACGTCAGATATTGTTGGAGGAAAGAAGCAAATTTTTTTCATCGATCCCTTCCTCTAATGCTGAAGGAAGGTGGCAACAGTGATGGTTCCACTGGAAAGATGATAGAAAGGTACTACTAGTACTTAGTTGTAATATTCAATACTTGTACCGTATCTTTAGCTGGTAGTATCATTATCCGGTGTTATTCACAACTATTGGGATGGATAGTGGTGCTGCTGTTTCACGACAAACGTCAGCTCTTTTATTGACGAGAAATAAAGCATAGGTATTTGTCCTGTATGAAGTCCTAGTATTAATATTATTATAACCGTGATTACTTTATCAGCAGTTGCCTTTGCTTAATTTCTGTACCTGTTTAATAGTCTCTGTAGTAACACACCAGCTTGTTGATCTATGTAAGTTTCGTGTACAAGTAAAATGTAGCTAGGGAATTCTGGAGTTTCGCTGGGAAATAAAGAATAAAAGGAGACTTCTGCCAAGTTTGTGAAGTTCACGTGTTTGTTTCTTAGTTTGTTTATTTATTTGATTGTTTGTGTGTGTGTGTGTTTGTTTGTGTGTGTGTGCGCGCGTGTGTCTGTGTGTGTGTGCCTGTGTTTGTCTCTCTCTCTCTCTCTCTCTCTGTGTGCATGCGTGAGCTTGCATGCGTTTACGTATGTGTGTGTATGCGTGTGTTTCTGCAGGTGTGTATGTGTGTGCGTGCGTGTGCGTGTGTGATCATTCCAGGCCGAATGCAGTCGAGTAGAATAGATAAAAACTGTCACAATGTTGCCGATATAAAGAAGTTAAAAATGTACTAAACAGCAACTATAACGTTTTTTCTCGCGCGGAGACCAAAGTCCGTCCCGTTTGTTTGCGAATGGTGACGTCACCAGAACGATCAACACGCCGTGACGTCATGGGGAACTCGTGACGACCGGACCTCGGGTACCCAAGGTCACCTGTTCACCTGTACAGCCACTTGTGCCACAAACACACGGGGACAGCACCTGTTGTCTACAGCTGACACCTGGAAGAAACAACCATGTGGGGCCACGGTCATGGACACGGGCACGGGCATGCCGCGGCAAGGGAGGCACACCGGGCACATAGGGTGAGCGCTGAACCGATCTTTCTACATTCTGCCTCCGCTTCCACTTCCGAAATTTCACAATTCACTTCTGTCCAATTGTTTTCCATAGCTAAAAGACAGTTGCTCTCAATTGTTACTAAAATGAGGCTTTAGGGTTTGAAATTTAGTAGGGTAGCGGAGTTCAACCCACCCATGCAGTCGCTAGTTTGGTTGAGCAAAAAGACGAAATACTGAGGCCAGGCCTTACTGTTGTTGATCATGTAGAACACAGCAAGGTATTAGATGTTTAAACAAAATAACTCAAGCAGCCAATTGAAATGTGGGTAGACGAGCAGCACAAAAATGATATAAATTTTGGTGTGATGACTGGGTATATCTAACGATACTACTATACAGTGTACGGTGTGAATGAACGTATTGAGTTATGTTGACTTTCCATGCATTGAACAATGGAACGCACAGTCAGCTGCAGGGACAAGGCAAAGGTCACTCTACTAGCCAGTATGCAGAATACAATAACACGGCCAAAGGGCAAGACAACGCTCAGTCTACTAAAATATGATAACTGGTTAAATAATTATATACTACACTTGGTACTAGTAGTTCACTACAAAGACTAGAAGTACATGTTACGTTGGTCCACGGTATCAGCATTAAAAACAGTCGACTGGTGTCATATGTGTATTATACTCAATGTTTACACAATACTACTTTGTATCCGGTAGGGAAGTCCTGCCTGCAATGGTTTCAGGTTTTTTAAATTTATAATTAAGGAACATGTAGTCTTCTATAAATCGTATCCGACGACGATGTACATTAAGTACAATATACGTATGGTATGACAAATAATCTTGAACTAAAAAACTTGATCGTAGTGTATAACACGGACAGATTCGTAAACAATTACTCAATAGTGCAGCACACATTGACGAGTGCACAGTCTAAAGTGCATTCTACTTTAAAAGGGGAGTGGTCGGAATTTACAAAAAAAACTAGCCAGGTGCGCCAGAGTCAATACACCTACTTGGGCACTACAATGAGTGTTTAGAACTTAGAACGCATGACTGTAACTTTGAGCAGGTCGGGTAGCAGCAGGCGGAAGCAGGTACATGTAGCTGTAGGCACTAGCGATTCTGTCCAAAATTGCAATTTTCACAGAAAGACGCTACCCATTGCGTGCTGAAGTCTGCTTACTACTACTACTACTACTACTACTACTACTACTACTACTACTACTACTACTACTACTAACGTTACTTCTACTACTACCACTTCTACTACTACTGCTACCAAGACCATATCACTACTACTTCTACTACTATTTCTACTACTACTATAATATTATTACTACTAACAATACTATACTACTACAGCTACTACTACTACTACTACCATCTTGACGGGGCCTTGACTTCAGGGGTTAAGTTGGGTAACAGCTATGTCACCATGCTGATGTCTTTTCCATTTTTTTTTCACAGGAAGAGATGCGGGCAGAACGACAGGAACACAGAATGCACAACAAGGCTGCGCATGCGGCCGCGCACGGCAACTTCATCAAGGCGGCCATGTTTGAGGTGAGTATATACCTTCAATAAAGAGATGAGCAAGACAAAAAAGTAATTTCACTAGGGTAAAATTTCTGGTCGATCCTGGACAGACCCCGCAGGTTGGGACATGGGATATTGACTAGCCCCACGTCTTGTGTTGGAGTTCAGTCCCATGTAGCATTATGGTACTTATGTACAAAAATACGGTAGAAGAAAAGTTGGCACTCTTTCAGTTTCCTTTTCAGTCAAAGGATACCGACTATTTTCTTTTGTACTGGATTGAGTCTCCGAACTATAGCTGGTAAACCATGCTTGGCGTAACACTCGTAGTGCTAAATAAACTCCACTCAAATTCCAAGTTGATAAGCATAAGACTATAATTAGCCTACCATCGCATGCTGCACGAGACTGCCTGACAGTAGTAGTAGTAGTAATAGTATCAGTAGTAGTATAAGTATTAGTATCAGTAGTAGTATAAGTATTAGTAGTAGTATTAGCCCTAAACAGTACACCTGGGGTCCGCGCGGACCCCAGCACTATATATTCTGTAATATCTTTTTGTTCTAAAGATTTTTTCTGAAATTTTAGGTAATTGTCACCCACAAAGTTGTCTCTCAATACAGTGCAGAAAACTCCGTTTCTACCATTTATAAAAAAAATTATATCTGATTTTCTTTTGGGGTCCGCGCGGACCCCAGCCGGCTTTCGATCATAATGGATACACTGGCGTTCTTATACATTATCTTATTTCCGTTTTTATATGTTTTTATGCACTCATCGTATGTCTACCAAGTTTTCAGAGAATGGTGTAGTAATAGAATTGAATTTTAATAACTTTGGTGTAATTATGACGTCAAATGACGTCAGAGCTAATAATATAGTCCGCCATATTGGATTTTGACCAATGACGTCATCAAATTAGCATATTCTATGCGTATTAAATGATTTAACTTATATTTAATTATGTAAGATGTTATTAATGTTGGAAAAGAAGTGTAATTTAATATAAAACTCAGAAAATTTTTATGTTTAAACCAAAATTACTTCTATTTTCAAAAAAACTGCCTGTTAGAAACCCGTTGCCATGGCAACACAAAAAAACATCAACTTACTAGTATTAAATTAATATGAACTTTTTTCCAGAGACATTTTAGGAAAGGTCGTTAAATTTGATACTTCTAGCGCAAGCCGTTTAGCCGCTATCTGAGATCAAAGTTGGGCCTCAAAAGCCCCTTCAGTCTGAAATGGGTTTAAAAATCGTGTATTTCTTCTTGTCTTCTTTTCTTCACCCAAAAATAGAAAAAGTTCTAATTGTATGATTTTTGTATGTAATGTGGACACAGAGGTTCCCACATCAGTTTGCAAAACGATTGAGCTGGTAGCATGTTGANAGTAGTAGTAGTAGTAGTAGTAGTAGTAGTAGTAGTAGTAGTAGTAGTAGTAGTCGTAGTAGTGGTAGTGGTAGTAGTAGTAACCGTAGTAGTAGTAGTAGTAGTAGTGGTAGTAGTAGTAGCCGAAGTAGCCGAAGTAATAGTAGTAGTAGTGGTAGTAGTGGTAGTAGTAGTAGTAGTACAACACGTGTTTCAAAAAGCATGTTCTGTCCCTCTCCATTGCAGGTCGCCGCTGCCGGAGCGCACAACCGCGCGGAAAACGCCCACCACCGCGAGGTCCATGCTGCTCATGCGGCGATGCACCACGGCCATCACCACCACCACGGGCCCGCCGTCTGTCCTCCCCCGGCCTGCCCTCCTCCCCCTCCTGCTGTTCACGTCCACGTCAGTTTGTTTGTTTGCTTTGTTTCCACAGCTCAGTTAAAGGGGAATTATGCAACATTTTTGCACCAAATATTGAAATATTTTGTTGTAAAAAATATTCGTGTGGTATCGATTGTAATCATATTTACCGAAGGAAAACATACTGTTTTTTGCTCTGTTTCTTCTTCTTCCGTTCCAAACGCTGACCTGGTCAACTTGACCTAAACCAGACCGTCTGTCACCATGGTAACTGGTTTAGGGTTACATAATGTCGCAATTTTATATCAGGAGGGATTTATACTCCTGTCACCATATATGTGAATGTGCTTGAGTAAGAATTAACAGAGCAGACCATATACGAAGGAAAACATTAAACATACCTGTCTAGTTTACTTCCACTTTTTATGATATTTGTCATCTCACATTTCTGAAATCTATGATGACATACCTTATAGATATACGTAACAAAAGTTGAAATCGAAGCCATGTAAAGAGTGAGCTTTCTTTTCCCCAGCACACCTACGTGAACCCGACGCCTCCCGTGAGTTACCCAACCGGTACTGCAGCGCCCCCACCGGCATACCCAGCAACTGCACCAGGTCAGTGTTCTACTACTAGTACTAGAATTAGCTTATTGATAAATTATCAAATCACCTGGAAATTTTATCGATACCGCCTCTCCTGTCGATCGAATTTTCTCCGAATTTTCTTATCCGACCTATGCTAACGATTACAACCGCATATATTAGTATGGAAGGTACAAAACAGCATTTATGTGGCATAACAAAATCATTAAAAGCACATGCATGTCTTCTTTTCTTCCAAGGGTATCCACCGACTACCGGAGCCGCCTACCCTCCAGCCCAGCCTGCGGGATACCCCCCTGCACAACCGACAGGATACCCGCCAGCGTACCCCCCTGCACCGGCCTACCCAAACCCCTCCTACCCTAACCCCTCCTACCCTGGGTACCCGCCTAACTAGTGAACCGTACCACGTGCCAAGCAGATGTATGAAGGAGAAAGCTTATCATGTTGAACTCAATCCCCGGGAATCTGTTGCTAAGTGCGTGATTTAGTCAGGCTAGTAGAACAGTAGCTCGTGTGATCTACTAGCTAGTAACTAGCCTGGGTGAAATCCGATTTGTAACCGGGTAGCTAGTGCAAAGGAGCCCCGTTACAAAATTGAATGGCACCCAGCGCAGGTTATATATGATCTAATATATCAATTCACTTACCCAGCGCCAGTTTAAGGTGTCCTCCCTGGCTAATCTGGCATTTTAGCTTTCCATCGTTTTCTCGCAAAGAAATTTAGAAAGAACTGTAGTTGTACTGAATATTGATACCTGGGTACAAAAGGGTTATGAATATGAGTTTATGGACCATATGGATGACGTCATCACATTTTATTGCCCCAAATGTAATTATCTTTAAAGCTATAATATAGCACTTTGGTACAAGTAACTGAAATAAAAGTATGATTTTCATGTGCATAATGGTCAAAGCTACAAACGTACGTTTGCACAAATTGATATCTACTAATTATCTGTAGTTATTAAAGAATAACCTAATTGCCTAATTAAAATCTAGTTATTCTCTAATAACTACGGGTAATTAGTAGATATCAATTTGTGCAAACGTACGTTTGTAGCTTTGACCATTATGCACATGAAAATCATACTTTTATTTCAGTTACTTGTACCAAAGTGCTATATTATAGCTTTAAAGATAATTACATTTGGGGCAATAAAATGTGATGACGTCATCCATATGGTCCATAAACTCATATTCATAACCCTTTTGTACCCAGGTATCAATATTCAGTACAACTACAGTTCTTTCTAAATTTCTTTGCGAGAAAACGATGGAAAGCTAAAATGCCAAATTAGCCAGGGAGGACACCTTAATATACATACATACTTTTGTTCAGACTGATTGTCAGTCACTGATGGAAGATGCTATCCGAAACATCTGAATCCTTAGAATTTAGGAGAGTGAAGTGATTTCTCTCCCAACGTTAACATCGAACTTCGAAGAGCTAAACTTGGAAAAAAGTGAAAAATTAAGAAATAAATGAATCAATAAATAAACATGTAAAAATGTTAGCAGGAAGTTAGCAATAGAAAATTAGATATAATTCAGTTAGAAGCTCCGGAGAAGTAAATAAAAGTAACGGCCGGCCGTTTTAAAATGTGTTTCTTATTTTGTTATTAGGGGGCGTTGATGAAATTGCATGCATGAGGTAGTCATTGAATGGAGACAGGCTAGCGAATTTATAACTAGCTAATCTTATATTTCAAGAGAGTAGCTTGCCGTACGTTGTATTCGCTTCAATTGTTGTGCAATAAAATTTTAATTCACGGGGATTATATACGAGTAACTTCGTGTTTTTGTATAATTATTCACCTGTTTGATGATAGATATATGTACGCTATATGTTAGATATTAATGAGAAAAAAAGTGGAACGCTTCACGATTTTGCGTGTCATCCTTGCGCAGGGGGCCATGCTAATCTTCTCTGTATCGTTCCAATTTTAGTATATGTGTTGCCGAAGCGAACACGACCATCTCAACGTCATATACTCAATTTAGAACCTCAAAAGACAAAATATATTACGTTTGTGGTGAAAAGGTTGCACCACTTCAGCAATAGACTTAAATTTTAAGCTCATGCACGAGTTGAGTTATAACATTGCTCTAATAGAGCTCTTGTTATGTTTTAGGCCAGGAAATACCTTTTTTGGAAACATCAGTGTCTTTTAAGCCTGCAAATAACGAAATCATTGGAAGTAACGCTACAATGGCAACCCAACACACCACGAGTAGCGTAGGACTGACGTCCGTCGAGTAGCGCCACCTTGCGTATTTGAGCTGTACAGCACCTAGCCAAGAAAGACCACCAGACCCATCGTAATAGATAGAATGAGAAGCGAGAACAAGCCACAGAAAATACAATATAGATTATTTGCAGGAGTTGTTGCTCCGGAGAATATGTTCATATCAATATATAAGTTACAGGTTTGAGAATCGAGATTTGATACTGCTTTTAACACTTAAAAGTATTTGCCGGTTGCCCATTGTATGGGAGAAGTCGTTAACCAATAGAGAAAGAATGCTATCAAAAGTTGAATCTATCCGGAGACTGCTAAGGATTCTAACAAATAACCATTACTTGCTACTAGTATCTGCACGGGACACGGGACAGATGAAACAAAGTTCTGACCAATAACAGCTCTCCAAACAATCGCGAAGGAATGCGGGCCGACGGACCAATCAGCGCGCGGGTTACAATCCGGACACCTGTGCCCCGGGGTGGGGCGCCATTTTCGCACGGAGGGCAGCAGCCGACAGCAGCCATGGAGAAACAAATCGCGCGACAATTCCGCCAAAAGGTAGGAAAATTCCCGTTTTTACGTCCCGCTATCGAGGCCTGCCGTGCGGGAGAGGTTTACGCAGTTATCAGTGCTACCAGTTTGCGCTCTCTCGTCCGTAATTCTACGGTAAACGGGGTTTGTTTATGTATGCAGATGACGTCCGTTTGGAGATCTAGAAGAGGGGGGGGGGCATAATGGCATTGTCCCGTTACCGGATTGAATTATCCAGGTTTGAAGGTCGGAACTGGGGGATTCGCTCGATTTGCGACCCGTCTGTCTGGTTCTGTCGCTAGCTGCAGGTCACCCGTACGGTGTGCGTGCAGGGTTAGAGGTTTTATCGCTCCGTAAGTGCCACACACTTCATATTACTCGTAAGCGTAACCCGATTATTACACAATACCAATTATGTTCAGAAAATCTTACTAGTGTTAAAACCCATCCATATCTTGGAGTCCAACTATCACAGGATATGAAATGGGACACACATATAAATTATGTCACTGGTAGAGCTAATAGGATACTGGCAGTCATCCGCCGTAACCTTTCGCACTGTCCTCTTCGTGTCAAATCTACATGCTACAGAACACTTGTACGCCCACACCTGGAGTACTGTGCGACTGTATGGGATCCCCACACCATCGGTGGTTCCCAGGCGTTGGAGCGAGTCCAACGAAGGGCGGCGCGAATGACTGTTAGTGATTATGACTATACCAGCAGTGTTTCTGACATGCTAAAGCGCCTCCAGTGGCCGTTACTTGTTGACAGAAGGAGAACCGCTCGCTTGATATCTTTATATAAAATTGCTCATGGACATATTAATATTCAAATGGAACAATACCTCAAACCTGCCCATAGGCGTACCAGAGGAAGTCATGAATATAAGTATCAAGCAATACCTGCCAAAACAGACTGTTTTAGATTTTCTTTTTTTCCAAGAACGATAAATGAGTGGAACAAGTTACCGGGCCAGCTTGTAAAAGCCCAGACAGTGGAGGCCTTCAAGGCCGGGCTTCTGGCCGCGTAGCCATAGTCCGTCGCACCCCCCCCCTCTCAGTGATACCCCAGTAGGGGTGGTTAGAGAGTATCGAAGAAGAAGAAGAAGAAGTATGGTTTATTTTTGCGTTGCGGGACGTTTTGTAAATAACGGTACCTCCTGGCTATTTGTATCATGTTAATTGGCTGAATTCATCCGAGTCAGTCTTGCGTGCAGTAAGTCAGGAAATAGAACTTTTGTACTAATAATTGGCACAGAAACGGTTATATGTGAAGATACAGATTTTTGTATAATTGGAAGGTTGATTTAGCTGATTTTTCACCTGCTCAGGTCTTAATACAGCTGCACAGGTGGTTTTGCACCTTGACAGGTGATGCCTCACCTGGGAATATGAAATCATAAAGTTTTAGTGCAAAGCAATAAAGTGCAGAAACATGTAGAGCTATAGATTTTTTTAAATGTGTTGGTAGGTCGATTTAGGTGATTTTTCCCCTGCTCAGGTGTTTTTTTACAGCTGCGCAGGTGGTTTTGCACCTTGACAGGTGCTGCCTCACCTGGGAATATGAAATCTTAAGGTTTTATTGCAAAGCAATAAAGGGTTTGACTTCTATGCTTGCAGAATGTCAATATGTAAATTCTTTTATCTAAGTTCTAACCATGTATCTTGTAATTATCGTAAATTAACCTCTTGGTATCTATCTCTCTACTTAAGTATGTAAACAAATTTATGTAATGCCCAAGCCCTGATAACGTTCAATACAGGTGTTCCGGCCCGTGTGATAATTAACGTTATCACACAGGGTTCCTAAATGATTATCACACACGCAGGCTTTCAAAAGTTCTAAAGAATAATTCTAGCGGTGCACGTACCGCTTTCAAGCATTTGAATACAGGATTTGGATGTCTGAAGTTAGGCCTAGAAAAAAAATTGTTGTGTTTCCTGAAAAAGTTAGGGTCAGTAGGTAGGTATTTTTTTTTCGAAATTCTTTATTTATTTACTGAACTGAACTGAACTGAACTGAACTGAACTTATTTATTTACATGTATATTCGACTTTGGCAATCTCTGGAGTGATCCATGATCCAACTAATGTACAATACAGTTTAATAAAAGTGAAATTTGCATGAGGACACTTATATTTTCAATGTCAATGTTGGAAAACCGATTGTACAGGTGTCAGATCATGGAGATAGAAAAGTTAAAATTCGATCAGCTCGAAAATTTATGTCCCTTGCAGGGATCCGCCCAAAGCATTAAAAAAAAGGCTAGGGTCGGCAGTTTTTTCTAGGGTCGGTCTGGAAACAGGAAACACAACATTTTTTTTCTAAGGCCTTATAAGTTATGTTGTTCAGACAATATTTCTGGACACTAGAAAAAAGGATTTCAAGACCTGAATGTTATAAACTGTTACCACAGGTGACTCTTAGTAGTCTTACTAATACCGGTGTCCGAGCTAGGTGCAAAGTCTATGCACACATATCACCTCACAGTTGACCTGTCAGTCTTATCATTTATGTAGGGGGGAGGGGTTAGCAAGAAATTGGGAGGGGGCAGGTACAAAACATTTTGTGCATATTTGTCAGGTAGGAAGACTTGTGCAGAGCTTTAATGTTTTAAAAGTCACCAAGCTATCTTGTCATAAAAAAACAATGTCAATTCTGTTTGACGTATGCCTTCTGAAAGAGGACTCTGTTGACAAGTGCAAATAATACATGTAGACTGTCTGGTCTCATCAGAGGTATGAATACTATGAACAAAGTGGTGTAATAGGTCCTGACCCTTGGACAGGGTTAGCTCTTGGTTCAACATAGCTTAGGTTTTCTGGAAGTTCTTTTATAATTCCCTTCAAGCTGTCTGTAATCCATGGTACAGCACAACATTTTGCTTTTGAAGGATTGGATTTTCAAGGCTCGAAAGACTGGTTCAGGTTCTAGTACCCGTAACATTGAAAATAACCTGCACTGTCTAGACCAATTTTACCTGCACCCTGGACAAATTTACCTACACCAAGTTTGAGCCTTGGAGAAATGAAGCATGATGTGACAGTTTGAAAATACACACTTGACCATAAAAGTCTCATGACCTCACCAGTGGGATCATCAGCTGATTCCACCCTTCGATGGAAATTTCAGCCCTTAAATCAGAATTTCCTCAGGATGGCGGGCCAGCAGCGCTCAGCACCACCTCCCACTGGTGAGCACTTTAAAAACAACTAAAAACTAACTGCCAGTTCTCTGAATGATAAAGATCACAGGATTGAAGGTGACAAGGTGTACACAAAGCCTGTGACCTCAACACAAGGCCGATGGCATACACTCGGTATCCTTAACTACTAAGGTGTGAAAGAACGCAGGTCTTAGCGGGATTTCAATTATTCAGAGCCCGCAAAAGTTTCATTGACAGTCGAGGCTCTGTAGTAAGATTCCTTGGACTGCATCGGAGGAATTTCTATACAATTATAGGTCAGCCTGGTGTTAGCATTGTCACTGTGCCTAGTACTGAAAGAATGCCTGGGTCATGTGAAGTTTTGTTGTGAAAGAATGTTGCTCAATTTTTGTTTGTTTACGTTTAAGTGAAGCCATTGTCAGCTGAGTATAGTTCTTGTCACGTAATATTGGAGTTTTTTTTGGAGGCTAGGAAAAATTGGGTCATTGTTTCTAAGGGATAATTTTTTTGGAATGTAGAAATAACAAGAATTAATTTTGGGTTCCTTTTGCTAATGGGGAAGTTTACAAGTTACAAATTAAATTAAGTTGTGAAAAACACCTAGTGAATAATCTTTTTGTTTATTATTATTATTGTTTCATTTCAGGTTTCTATGATGTCCCACATTATATTTGTCAATAGAAACAAAATTGTATAGTTCTGTTTCAATCTTTTTTACTTTAGGTATGATGCAATGCTATGAATACAAAATTATCCAAACTCTATTGTTCTAATATCTAACAGTCCTTTAAACAGAAAAAGATGTACTAGTAGCTGGTAGAGAGCTGGCCAAGAGACCTTGTTTGTGTGTCTGCAAGTGTAACGTGAAACTTACCTAAAATGGCCTATTTTCGTAACAAATGCAAAACAAGTACACTACTAGTAGTTAATTTGTTCTGACATTTCTATACACTAAACAGTTACGACAATGGACATACATTACATAACTGTAGTTTACATCTAGCCTCGTTAATCAGTTAAAATCTACATAAACCTCTTTACAAACAGCCTTTTCTATTGGACACAATTAACCTGGATGCCATGAGACTTCATGGTGCGGAACCACCGCGCTTACATTCTTGGTCCTCACGTCCGTCTTTTCAAACCCACTGAAGCAACAAGCGGTCGGCGTTAGGATTACGACCAAAGCGTAGGCCACGCCCTGCCAGCAAATGGAGTAGTTTTGCTTTGGTGTTTACCAATAGTTCAACAGGGCCGCGGTAGAACAGTCTGGCCTGCAGTTGGCTGTGGGCCTTTCATGTTTTGCATGAAGAAAATTTTTTGTGCAATGTCTATAATGTGCTCAAGTAAAGCTAAAGGTTTAACTTTTGTTGCAACAATTGGGTGTTGAGTAAAATCCTTTTCAACTGTTAATGGCTGCGGTAGAACAGTCATCATTTGAGCATTCTTCATGTTTTGCATGAAGAAAATTTATTGTTCACTGTCTATTAATAGTTATAATCTGCTCAACTTAAGTTTTTGTTACAACAATAATGGGTGTTGAACGAAATCCTCTTATACCAGATAGTATAGTTCAACAGGGTTGCGGAAGAACATTCTGTCCTGTGGGACTTTCATGTTTTGCATGAAGAAAATTCGTTGTTGAATTTCTTCTGCTCAACTAAAGATTTCATGCTTGTTTTGTAGTTTAAAGCTTTGAAGTGTATCAATGTGTGTTGAATGAAATATTTTTATACCTCCAGACAGTTCAACATTTTTGCGGCAGAACATTCTGTGACCTGCAGTCGGCTTTGGGCCTTTCATGTTTTGCATGAAGAAAATTTCGTTGTTGAATCTCTTCTGCTCAACTAAAGATTTT